GGGCCACAAGGCCAAGGGCTCTCTGGCATCGAGTCTCGCCGAGCGTCGCCAGCAACACGCACCCAAGCCTGTCAACGTCCAAGATAGTCGTCAATACGGGGCTATCGTGGAGAATGCCGGCGGTATGTACCCATGTTCAGTGCCGGCGTCACTAATATGGTTTCCTTAATGCACGAGGGCCTGTCCGTCTCTCGTCTGTCGTATCTGTTCGCCTCCCGTCTCGCTTTTCAACACAAACCTGGCCTGGTCTGACTTGACTACCTGACCAACTTGCTTTTCTTTCTTTTTTTGCTTTCCTTTCACACACTCTCTATTGCATGCTAGTGATAGCGCTGGCACAAATCCCCGTACCCGCTCGTTTGTCCATCGTTTCTCCCGTTGCCAACATACCAATACACCACGCTGGCAATACACCACCGATCCCGCATCAAAGCCAGCCGTCTATCCGCGCTACAGTGTCGTGCTGTCCTACGTTTACTCAGGTATCCTCTGTGCCATTTGTCGCAGTGATATCATCACTCCAGGATACATCTGCTTTAGCTAGCATACTCATCATCCTCTGGCTTTTGCGTGAAGCCATTGTGACTCGCTAATAGCTTTACCCCCCTTGCCAAACGCCTCCCACATCTTCTCGCGAGCTTTAACAAGCTTCTTTTCTCCTCCATTCTGCCATTGACCATAGGTCTTCTTTGGGCTGAACGTCGAAATAATTCGAATACGGAAAGCAAACACGAAAAACCGCCAAATCCAACCAAGAAACTGCTTAGCTGCCCCTCCCCCGCATCGCACCTCTCACCCATCCACGATGGCGGCTCCCAACACGTTCGGGGAGCTTGGTCTGTCCATCATCGGCATCGGCAGCCAGTACCCGCCATACTCGCTAAAAACAGACTCAATAGATTACCTCAGTAACAAATTCTATCCTGAATCACCTTCGTAAGCATTGAAGCCGCCTGGAACAGCGTCACTTTCTCTAACTAGACTCGTTGATGTTTGCAGCATGAAAAAGGTCCTCTCCATCAACCGATTCACCGGCATTGACTACCGTTCCTCCATCGGCACCCACGAGCACGAAATCGTCAACCAGAAAGACGCGCCCTCGATCGCGGATCTACACAAGGTCTTCATGAGCGATGGTGTGCCCCTGGCAGTGGAAGCGTCCCGCAAGGCCATCGAAGAGGCGCGTATCGACCTCGGCGAAATCACACACGTAGTCTCGACGACATGCACCGACAGCGCCAACCCCGGCTTCGACCACTACGTCGTCAACGGCCTGGGCATCACACACCAGGTGGAGAAGGTCCTGTTACACGGGGTCGGCTGCAGCGGAGGCCTGGCGACGCTCAGGACGGCGGCGAACCTGGCGCTGGGACACAAGGCCCGCGGGAAGCCCGCGAGGATCCTCTGTGTCGCGCTCGAGGTCAGCACGACCATGGTGCGCAGCGAACTCAACAGCATTGACGAGCTGCAAGAGACCAGGATAGGCGTTGCACTCTTCTCCGATTGCGCGAGCGCGGTTGTGCTCAGCAACGGCGTCGGCGAGCCAACGGAACCCGTGTACGACCTGTTGGGCTGGGAGCACAAGATCATACCCGACACGGACGAAGATCTTGGCTTCGATGTTGACCCTGTTGGTGAGTTCTAGAACCATGGTGAAGCTCCAGGAAATCGGCCTATCCTAACTAGAGCATCACAGGTTGGAAAGTGATCCTTACCCCACGAGTACCGAAGCTCGCATCGGCGGCCATCCCATCGACATTCGCGGAGATGCTGTCATCCGTACCCTCACTACCGCCGAACTATCAGAAAGCCGAAGATTTTGACTGGGCGATGCACCCCGGAGGCGCGACGATCCTCTCAGGGGCCGAAACGATGATGGGCATCACGTCGTATCACATGCGGGCGAGCTACGACACCTATATCAATCACGGAAACTCGAGCTCGGCAACGATATTCAGCGTCATGGATAGGCTGCGGTCCAAGGACATGGATGCCGTGGCGCCGGAGGGCCGAGCCCGCGACTTTGTTGTGGGTTGTGCCTTCGGGCCGGGTATCTCGGTGGAGATGTGCATGCTGAAGCGGAATATGCGGGCGCGAGACGTCACGGGTCTGCAGACGCCACCGGAGACGGAGAGCGAGGGTAGCACTAGCGAAGCTGGGGACGATGGCGGGCCGCGGCCGGAGAATTGGACCCCCTCGGGGCGACAAGCGGACCAAATTTTTGTTGCGGCGGCAATGGAGGACCTGGAACTCGATTGAGGGGGCGGTAGTTTAAGTTCGGTTCGGAAGCGTCCTCTGGAGCGGGTGGTCGTATATAGCGAGGGTGAGAAAGAGAAGGAGGGAGGTACGGATACATACCCATGACTTGGCGGCGCTAACGAAGACATGGCGAGGCCGGAGAGATGGCCGAGATGCCCAGCGTTTCCCGGGATGGAACACAGGTAACGATGAGGAATAGGCTAGATGATTGTCAAGACGGCGGTAGAACTCACTAGAGGAGCTTGAAGAAATACCAAGGTTCAACAATCATTGGTTGACAGGTAATGAAAGGTTGCTAAGCCATGGCATGCCATATGCAAGCTCGTGGTTTTCACCCGAGATTCGAGTTCGTGTCTGCGCCGTAAGGTGGACAGGCGAAGTCTGGGAAGTGGAGAGGCACGATATCGGAGACACGAGATGAGCCGAACCGTGGGTAATTTCTCCGGCAATGAAAGAAGGTATCGCGCCGTGGGGTACGGTTGTGCCGAGGAAAAGCATTGCCTCGAGAAGCATTTTGAAGGTGTGTAGAGTCGGTTTTCGGCGGACAAAGGGTAGAAGCTGGACGCGATCCCGCATATTCCCGGGCCTTCGGCAATGGCTAAGGCTGGGGTGGAAGGACGTGGACGGGAAGCGGACGGGATGAGTCAATGGCCCGGGGGGAGGTTATCGTCATGGAGCAGCGCGATTGGTCTGGCCGTTCCGGGGCCCGGCGTGCACAAGGTAAGGGAATTATGCCCGGGATGGATGAATGAATGAGCGACGGAGACTCGTTGTTGCGGGGGGACACTAAAATACAGCAGCCCGAGCATGATGTTCGTTTTCCAACTTCAAAGTGGCTGAGGTGTAGATGGGACGACTACACCGAGAATTCGGCTCGGTGAGACATCACCTTGCGTGACAATAATAGTCGCAACCCTAGAGGTCAAATAATCGAGTCATTCGATAGGCGACAGGGCTATCCATTAAATATCGCAGCGGACACCATAATAAGGCCGAGAGATCTGGAGGTGGAAAAGTCAAATGCCATGATTGTCAGCAGTCGGCGTCCAGCCAATGGCGGTGTCGGCGCACCCAAGTGCTCCCGTTTGTCCATGTCTACCGTCTGCTGCCCAGGTGGTGGCGGCACTGGGCAGGCTGTCTCTCGGTGGTGTCAGGTCTAGGCCCCGCCATTATTGATGGCCCCTCGGCCAAAAACGCAGAGGCGGCGATTGGATCCCTGCAGTAAGTGGTGCAGCAGCAATTTTTTGACGTCAATTCGATGGCCCGGTGGGGGGAGGGGTTAGGTACTCGCGTTTGACGTGGTGGTGAGAGGAAATGAAAGAGAGGGGCTCGCAGCTGTCCCGTCATGTACAAAGTACCTCCGCTGCTGTCCGGTGCGTTCGACCCAGAGGTACTTGCGCTCTCTGCCCCTCAACAACTTGGGGCTCCATTGGGTTGAGACAGGCGCAGTGTTGTTGACGGCTTGTTTCTCAATCTGGACTTTTTGGATTCGGCCACAGATCAAACGTTCCTTCGGCATCAGCTACTGTCCTGTTGAAATTAAGTGTGTACCTCAGGTTGATAAGGTACTTAGGTAGTGAAGTTAAGTACCTTAAAATACCCAAGTTTCTCATGCCTGTGTTCGTGACCGATGCTCGGAAATGGTACAATTCCAGATGGAAAGTGCAATGAGCGCAGTCCTCGCTTTGCCGGAGAGACCTGGCACTGCCTGGGAAGGAGCGAGGGAGCATGGAGATGCGCCGTGGTGCGTGGTACGGGATACCTTCCATGGGATTGGAGCTGGCAGAGCGGAGCTGTCGAAGTCGGAAGGGGGAACCACGGCCAAATCGGTCCCATGTACCTCACACCTCACGCAACACGCAACACGCAACACGCCCAGCCAGTGGTCCAGCCAACCAGCCAACACTTGGGAGAGCACCCGCCGGTGACTGGACCGATGCTTGGCCGTGGCCCGTCGACGGTGAGGTGGACCGGGTCTTGCTGGCTCGTGGTCCTTGGTCGCTGCTGGCGGCTGGCCTGCTCAGCCCGAGTAAAATCCCGCTCGTGGGAATCAAACATAACTCGCCCGCGTCCACCTCAACCCCGATCCAAACTTTCCTGTTGATTCTTCTTCCTCTCCAATATCTCTCCCTGCATATCCTCTTACCTTTCCCCTACCTCTGAACATCAATCTAGCAACAGTCCGACTTTACTTGGGACAAGTTACTACACACAATTATCCTTCGCATCTTTTCTACCCCACGTCAGATACCCCGCCATTCACCATGGGTCTCCTCTCAGAGCTCAACATCAAGCCCGGTGTCGTCTACGGCGACGACCTCCTGAAGCTGTTCAGCTACGCCAAGGCCAAGCAGTTTGCCATTCCCGCTGCCAACGTCGTAAGTAGCTTCTCTGTGGCCATACCAGGCAGGTCAATCCCGCGACGCGCGCCGGCTTGGCGTCGCGGGCCAAGAATGGAGAGCACATTTGGTGACAAACGGCTAACAACGACCCCGCCTCGCAGACCTCCTCTTCCACCGCCGTTGCCGCGCTCGAGGCTGCCCGCGAGGCCAAGTCCCCCATCATCCTCCAGACGTGTGTAGATGCCCATTTTTGATCCTTTGGGTCGAACACTATACACAAAGCACAGCAAGATTTCTGACAGCTCTGCAGTTCCCAGGGTGGTGCCGCCTACTTCGCCGGCAAGGGCATCCCCAACAGCGCTGACAAGCAGGAGGCTTCCGTCGCCGGTGCCATCGCTGCCGCTCACTACATTACCTCTATCGCCCCCATCTACGGCGTCCCCGTCGTCCTCCACTCCGACCACTGCGCGTGAGTTCGATCCACCACCCAATTTCGAGACCAAGGAACTGACTCCTACCTCAGCAAGAAGCTTCTGCCGTGGCTCGATGGCATGATCTCCGCCGATGAGGAGGAGTTCAAGCGCTCCGGCCACCCTCTTTTCTCCTCCCACATGATTGACCTTTCCGAGGGTATGCAGCTTTGCGAACACCGTCTAAGAGCACAACTAACAAAGCTGTAGAGGATGTCGCCTACAACATCGAGACCACTGCCAAGTACCTCAAGCGCTCTGCACCCGTAAGTCATGATGGAGATTTAATTTCTCCTCCTGCCACTGACGCGTTTTCCACAGATGAAGCTGTGGCTCGAGATGGAGATTGGTATCACCGGTGGTGAGGAGGACGGTGTCAACAACGAGGATGTCGGTATGTCAACAATGCGCATCGCAGGATCCTAAGAGTGCCGCTAACTTGACAGACAACAACTCCCTCTACACCCAGCCCGAGGACATTTACGCCATCTACCAGACCCTGAGCCCCATCAGCCCTTTCTTCTCCATCGCTGCCGGTTTTGGTAACGTCCACGGTGTTTACAAGCCTGGGTAAGTCGCGCGTGCCTATGATACCATCATGTCCACAATTCTGACCCTCGCAGCAACGTCAAGCTCCACCCCGAGCTCCTCGGCAAGCACCAGGAGTTTGTCCAGCAGAAGCTGGGCACCGACGACAAGAAGCCCGTCTTCTTCGTCTTCCACGGTGGATCCGGCTCCGCCGTCGAGGAGTTCCAGAAGGCCATCTCCTTCGGTGTCGTCAAGGTCAACGTCGACACTGACCTGCAATGGGCCTACCTCACCGGTATCCGCGACTACGTCACCAAGAACATCGACTACCTGAAGACCCAGGTCGGAAACCCCGAGGGTGACGACAAGCCCAACAAGAAGAAGTACGACCCCAGAGTCTGGGTCCGTGAGGGTGAGAAGACCATGAAGGAGCGTGTCAAGCAGGCTCTGTTCGACTTCAACGCCAACGATGTTTTGTAAAGGAAGAGTAATGGGTGATACCTCCACAGAGATGAGACCAAAATGGGATGGGGTCTGCTCTGTTTCGTAGGGTGAGATTGGCGAAAAGCCCACCTACGTAGTTCTCAAAATGAAGTAAAAGAGACAACCAACCTAGCCATACATCATCAGTGACTTGCCAACATGTATATCATTCCCGCAGCGCAGTACACAATGATAGGGGTGCCTATGTTAGGTCACGAGGCCTCCGAGAATAACTGCAGGGGTTTCAACGGTCGGCCAGCAGTTCCGTTGAAAACACCCGCCCGAAGCGGTCCGAGTGATGTTAGGCCGATATTTGACAACTCAAAACCAACAGTGTTAACCCGGTGACACTTCAAATTTATGTGACCACAGTTAGCAATTGATTGCAAGCTGTTGTCTGCGATGACTTTGTATCTTACCGGCTCATTTGCCCGTGTAACCCCGCCGGGATTGAGCCAATCCTCCCGTCCCCTGATGCCGCCTCATCTCATGTCCGTCGGCGTACCACAAAGCCGGTGAGGAGAAGTATCTCATGCTGGCAACGTCACCCGATTGCTAAGCAGCTTCCCCCTGCATACGTATCCTGGCGGTGGATCACTCTGCTGAACGTCCGGTTCCTACTCTCGTACATAAATTGAGATATCTTGGCTATAATCGTGAGCTGCCCCCAGTTTACTCGGTCATCTGTAATCAAATACCCCGCCGCGTACCTCACAACCATCGCAATGACTTCTGTCTAGGGCTTCCTTCGCCGGAACTACCTCTTCCTCAACCCGCCCGTCGCGCCAAAACAAGATGGCGCAATCCGCTTCGGCATTCTGGGCGCAGTCAACATTGCGTAAGTGTCATCTCGGGCTGTGAATCTTTAGAAAAAAGATGCTGTCGATTCGCCTCAATCGCATCGCAAAGTTAACGCAAGATATAGTCCAATGGCTCTTATCGTGCCCGCCAAGTCCCACTCAGAGGTCATAGTCCAATCCATCGCCGCCCGCGACCGCACCAAGGCCGCAGCCTACGCGGCCAAGCACGGCATCCCAGACGTCAAGGACTCTTACCAGGCCGTCATCGATGACCCCTCGCTGGACGCAATCTACGTCCCACTGCCCAACGGCCTGCACTACGAGTGGGCCCTGAAAGCGCTGCAGGCCGGCAAGCACGTCCTGCTGGAGAAGCCCTCCGTCTCGAACACGCACGAGGCCGAGGCGCTCCTCAGGCTGCCGCTGCTCGCGGAGCCTGGAGCCCCCGTCCTGCTGGAGGCGTTCCATTATCGGTTTCAGCCGAGCTGGCAGTATTTTTTGAGTCTGGTGGATAGGGAAACGTCGAGCACGTGAAGGCGAGCGCGTTTCTCCCCTGGTTCGCCATCGGGGATGACGACATCCGGTTCCAGTATGATCTCGCGGGCGGTGGGCTAATGGACCTGGGCACGTACACCGTCTCGAGTATCCGCCAGACGTTTGGCGTCGAGCCGGAGGAGTGCGTGACGGCACAGTTCAAGACGATGCCGTCGCCCGAGGAGAGGGTGGATTACGCGTGGGACATAACGTGGAGGATGGCCAACGAGGGTACGGCTCACGCGGAGGGGGCGTTTAGGACGGGGACATTTGCCATGGGGCTCCCGCGGCTGAGTGTCACTCATAAAGAGGTAAAGGTCCCCGACGAGAAGCTGCCAACAGGCCAGGAGAAGACACGCAAGAGGAAGATTGCCTTTGCGAATTTCATGCTGGGCGGGATATGGCACCGCATCGACGTCGTGGACGAGTTCGTCGTGAAGCGGACGGGCTCAGGTGATGTTGTCAGAAAGTGGACAGAGAAGACGTCCAAGAAGGCCTATACGTTCAAGGGGGCTGGGTTGGCAGGCAATGGCGAGGAGTACTGGTTAACGTACCGGCATCAGTTGGAGCAGTTTGTCAACCGCGTCAAGGGGAGGGAGACAAGCGTGTGGGTTGATGGGGAGGACAGTATCAGCCAGATGAGGATGATTGATATGGCGTATGAAAAAGCGGGCTTGCCGCTTAGGAAATCGACTGGCGTTACAATTTAGGCACTCTGGAGCAGGAGGAGATGAACAGGGGTAGGAGAGGGTGGTTGGCGAGATTCGGCGCAAGCTCTTGACATGTTACTGGTCAGCATGCTTGGACTTCATGTTGCTCTCCCTTTCCTATGGGTCTTATCATGGAGTAGTGAAAAGCTCATCAATGTCAGAGACTTGAAAAGGGGAAAGACATCGCTAAGATTCCTTGGAGAGGACAACCATTTCTGGCCTGGGAATTGCTAATGCAATCAGAGACCTCGACGAGAGTAATAGCTGTCGCAAGATCAAGGTTTGGTAGCTGATAATATTATCATTGCTCCGATGTAAAGGGAACCTATGTAAACTCAATGCCTGGATAAATTTGGCAAGGTTGGCTTGCCGTCTCTGGCGGCGAGGCCACTCGTTCAAACACCTCATGCCATCGCAACCCCCTCTTCTTCTTGACGATACACACAGCATTCCACCACTAACCACGTCCAAACCCTCCCTTAGCAACCTCAATAAACTCTTCCTTGCTAACCCACCCCTTGCCCGAAATATCCGCCATGTCAATCATCCGCCGCATGTCCGCCTCGCTCAGCGTGGAATTCACCTCGCCGCACACGGCCCGCAGGCTCTCGAGCGTGACCCGCCCCGTGCCGCGGGGATCAAACATCTTCCACGCGTCCTCGGCCTCCTCCTGCGGGTCGCGGCGCATCAGCAGCCACGCCGCGATAGCAGAGAAGTGCTCCTGCGGCATACGCAAGCGGGACGGGCTGCAGGGCCCGCGCGAGGGGTCGTGGTCGTGCGGCGGGACGCCGTGGGCGAGGAGAAGGGCGTAGGTCTCTGTGCGGGCTAGGTCGAAGCCAATAGCGCGGAGGGCAAAGGGCCACTCGCGCGCGTTGAGGGAGCCAAGACCTTGTTGGTCGACGACTTCCCACTGGTGAGATGTGTCAGTTTGATGCGTAATTACGAGGGAGGTAAGAGATGTTAAAGTTGGGTGGTGTGTCGAATCCCAAAGTATATGGAGGGTGCGCGATAGAGTGGTGTTGGATAAAATATGGGCTTACAGCTTCTCTGATGTTTTGTTGCCAGTCGGAGGGCAGAGCGGCCAGATCGCGACGACCTTGTGCCATGTCAAACATGGCCGACGGGGTAGACATTTCGTCGTTTTTGTGTGTGATATTTTTATTGCTTTCCTTCTCTTGGGAACCGGTGTTTCGGGTATACCAGGTAGAGAGGTCTGTCTCGCCACTTCCGAAGAGCGGCTGCTGGCTTCACGAGGTAGGCGCAAAGATGCTGAGAATGAGTGAGTACCAATTGGTGTCAAATTGGCCAGAATCGATGGGAACAACAGCGCGAAATTGCAAAGGGTATCAGAAATATGAAATGTGCAGGCCAGAGCTAGAGGAGGAGGAGGTTATGAGGTCTTCATTTGTGAGATCTCATGCTCAGCGGATGGTGGGGCTCGACTCTGGATGTGAACTTTCAGTGAGATATCGATCCAGCGCGTTCACGGCTCAAGTTCCTCTCATCGCGAATTCAAGCGCGAAGAAAAGGTACGTACACGAGCACCAGACAAGGTTCGGTGGGTCAGTCTCACCAGGTCACGTGATTAAAAATTGCCATCTCAGCAACTACGAGGTCCAGCAACTGAGTTTTGCTTGATGATGCTTGGTTTCTCTTGATGAATGTGAGCTTACGATAAAGACCTAGGTTAATAACCTTTCAATAAATCATATTGTTGTCGTATGCCACCTCAGGTAGTGCCAGGAATTAAACAGCTCAGCCGAAGATACTCCGCAAGCAGATCCATACGCGAAGAACCAATTAAGTACATCCTCTCACCACCACCCCGAGTCGTTAGCAGCCCAAGTCTCCAGGTCGCTCTAATTGCTTTATGCATCTTTCTTTCAGGCTCAAGGTGATTGCGTATTGACTGTCAAATGCCAAACAATGAGGCCAACACTGTTCCGTCCGTTCCAGTCGACTCTTCGAGTCTTGGGCCATGAAAACCCCTTGGTACAATCCGCGATTGTCTCATGCTCTCGCTCACACTCTTGCGTCCCTCATACTCAGACTACTAACATACCCGGCAGGGCCTGCCGAAATCTGGCACACCACCCAACTGGCCTAGGAGGCCCGCGAAAAGGAAGATCACCGGTGTGGAGAAAATAATTGCTGTTTCTTCCGCCAAGGGTGGCGTCGGTAAGAGTACCGTTGCAGGTAGGTCATGGACTCGAATTCGAGGCATGCCAAGCGGGAAATGATAATTGACATTTGAAGCAAATCTGTCATTGGCTTTCGCACGACTAGGCTACCGGGCGGGAATCCTGGACACCGACATCTTCGGCCCTTCTATTCCAACACTCTTCAACCTTGCCGGAGAACCCAGGCTCTCACAAAGTAAGGATTCTAGGCCTCTTTACCGATCCAGCCCGCCGACTAACAATGTCGTCAGACAACCAGCTGATCCCGATGACTAATTACGGCGTCAAGACGATGTCCATGGGCTACCTCGTTCCAGAGGATGACGCCGTGGTATGGCGAGGGCCCATGGTAATGAAAGCCATTCAGCAGCTACTTCACGAGGTTGACTGGGGTGGATTGGATATTCTCGTGCTCGACCTGCCTCCAGGCACAGGCGATACACAACTCACCATTACACAGCAGATCGTACTTGATGGTGAGTCATGTTCAAGCGTCGAGGTCATGGGCGTGAGCCTGTCACTAGGCACATAATCAACGGCAACCGCTCATCAAAGCTAGGATCCATCATTGTCACCACACCCCACACACTTGCTGTCAAGGACGCGGTCAAGGGCGTCAACATGTTCAACAAGGTCAATGTTGACATTTTGGGCCTGGTCCAAAACATGTCACTCTTCAACTGTCCACACTGTCACGGCGACACGCACGTTTTTGGGTCAAACGAAAGAGTCGAGCGCATGTGCAGAGAGCACAAGATCGACTTCCTAGGTGACATCCCGTTGCATCCGTCCATTGGCGATGATGCGGATCTGGGTAAACCCACCGTCGTATCGGAACCATCGAGTGCTAGGGCAGAAATATTCCTCAAGATTGCAAAGGACATTGCCCCGAAGATCGACCTCCGCGCACCGTGACTCGCCAAAGATTTGCGGCGGCCAGTGAGCGGCGTGTTCTGAGGCCGAACTGAGAGTGTAGGATATCCTGTACAGCCAGATGTTTAGTCAAGATGGCCAAGAAGCTGGGGAAGTTGGGCATCTCATGTATTTATATAAGGAACCCCTCTGCGCGACCAGCGCAGAGTCCAGATGGGATCACAAATCCACGGTCGTCTGGAGGGAGTGGAACTCATGTGTACAAACTGTTAGCCTATGTAACGCGGAAACAAGACACTTTACCATGAAGGGAACGAGAGTGCCAAATCACCCATTAACGCCAAAGCCTCGAACCACCTATCTTTGAAAATCCTCCTGCATGCCTACACCCTAAGAATAATTAGTCGAGCTCATCATTCTGCTGATATACGTGTCGACTGCGGGCAGTGTCTTTCCGCATAGCTTGGCCAGAGCCCGTGAAACCGACTGTGGCCATGTCAGCATCATCGTCAGGTTTGATTTGGCAAGAGCAACACACCTCGGCCGCCGACGCCATCGGGTGTGCGGAACATGCTGTCCTTCTTGTGTTTTCCGAATTTGGATTTTGAGTTGAATTCTTGCCACTTGGATTTGCCCTTTTCCAATTCTTTTGTGGCTTTGATCTTTTTGGCTTTGGGTGGCTTTGAGGCACCATCGGCAGCATTTTTCTCTGCGTCAATCTTGGCTTGTTGCTCTGGATACAGACTAGCTGCAGCGGATGTAACAACACCATTCGACGGGCCCGGTGGTGTCGGACGCGCGGTCTGCTGCGAAGTGCTAGATACGGGTGCTGGTGCTCCGTCAGCTTTGCGCTTGTTGGACATTGGGCGGATGTCCTTGGCCCGCAGCGTTTCCGTGTTATCGTAGCTCTTGAACTTGACAATATAAATGGGGGCTGTTGAAGAGCCGGTGATGGATGTAATTCGGGCAGGGTAGAAGCCTCTGTCGCCCGAGGCCCATTTCGCCATGACGGTGTCGTTGACCTGGTACGTCACGGGCGGTTCATCCTTCTCCTCGGGGGTGGGAGCGGCCTTCTTGAAAGCTGGGTGGTTCTCTTTAGACCACTTCTCGGGCTCTGGCGGACTGGGGGCCTTCTGGAGTATGGGCTTGGACGCCTGCTTCGGCTGCAGCTCAGCAAGAGACTCGTTTAGGAGGGAAATCATGTCATTCAACTCCGCCTGAAGATTCTTGAGTTCGGCATTTTCGGAATCATCTTTGAGGCCGGCAAGAACAACATCAAGCTGTGACAATAAGGTTAGCAAATAAAACAGACATTGAGTTCGATGTAGGGGTGAGTACATACCTGCTCTTGATACTGTTTGCGATCCTCTTCCAAGGCTGCAATTTGGCTGGACATGGTGACGGGTGCCGCAGTGGCCTTTCACAGGTTGTGAATATTGAATGGAATTAGAGTACTCGATTTATTCAAAGTGCACTCGGGCGAGGCTGGAGATGTGTCGGTGTTGAACTGCTGTGATGTTACGAATATGTGAGGTTGCCTGTGGATGATTGATCTGTGACGGATGGCGTCCATTTGCGGCAAGAAGCTTATCCGGCAGAATCACGTGCAGATAATGGAGAATTCCAGCAGCGTCATCCCAGCTGTCAGCCAATCATGATGCGCCTGATTGGTGCGGTGCCCCAGACTCCCGTCGAATGTGGGATTTTTTAGGAATCGTGGAATGCAGGGGTGGAAAGCGGTTGAAGTCGGGTCCAGGCGCACTTGAAGCAGCACGCACAGGTGCTGGCATTGGACGTTAGCGGGCGTGGCATGCCGAGAATGGATAAATTGAACCTGGATGGCGCCTGAGCCAGTGGTGGAGAAGGTACAGTGCCTCCCATGGTCTCGGGTACCTTGTCTAAGGTAATTTAGCCAAAGGGTACCTTAGACAACCGGAAGGGGACTTCGACCTGGGCCTTTTTCCTTTCTTCGCTCCCATGATTTCCTTCTCGCAATCTCTGGAAGAAACAGCGCAGCATCTTTCAATCTTTCGTCTCCAGACGCAGAAACCCGACTCCGACTACCTACCTTGCCTATTATACGAGCCTCCTCCAGCTTAAGTCGTCTCTGGCACCCGTTGCCATCCATCTCCTTTGACCGCGCAATTCCTCGTCGCACTCGGCCCCCAATTGGGCGCGCCCTGTCCATCCCGCGCTCTCCAGTGCCCTCCCTGTAGTTTGCGAGGCATTACCTCATTGAAACAGCAGCGCGGGCAGCCACCACCTTAATCCATCGGTCCTCCGAACGCCCACGCACCGCACCGCACCGCACCGCACCGCACCGCACCCGCGCATCGAAGAACAAGCCTTGCTCCTACCCCCAAAAACCTGTCGACACCCATGACAATGTACCTTGGCTGCAACGGCACATCATAGTACCTATTCGTCAAGTATCACAGGGGAGGTCAAATAAGCAACCATGGTTCGAGACAGAGACAGAGACGGCGATGAATCTTCGGCGCCCAGCCAATCAAGACGCCCTCCTCTCAATCATCAGGAGAGCGATTCGACAAACAGCGATCAGGCTCACCGAGACCACCATCAACAGCACCGCTCAAAATCCCAGAAGCACGTTGTTGGCGGGGGTCGGCTACATGCACGCGTTCCATCCTCCAAGGCATTACACAAACACCATGGCTCAACAGCCTCAAAGCTGAACAACCATCGCCGACAAGCATCCCCTTCCCCCGATCGAAATCGCGCTGCCGCAGGTGGCCATCGTCGAGTCCAATCCGAAGCTAAGCTATCCCGCGACAGCTCCTCTGCGAATCTCAGCAAAACCGCCTCCACGACTAGTCTACGGCGGAATAAATCCCACGGCGAAGTCAATAAGCCCGCAAAGATCAAATCGGTGGAGAAACTCAAGAGGACCAGCTCGAATCCGGCTGTGAACAAGGTCAAGTCCCAAAAGTCGCAGGTACATTTCGACTTGGGTAACGACGGGCAAGACGACGAATGGGTTGACGCCAGCACATCCGCTTCACCGTACCTATCAAGACGAGGATCGCTAGCCAGTACACAAGCCTCAGCGAAACCCGACGACAGCAGCGCAAATAACTCCGCCAGCAACTTTGCGAACAACTCCAGAGCAGAAACCCCTGCGGCGCAATCATCACCTCTGGTTCCTGCGACACCTGATCGCGAGACCGTACAGCACAAGGCCTATTTAACCTCGAGATTACTTCAACGCACCCCATCCCACGGCGCGCCTCCAAAGATGACGGCAGACACAGTCTCCCTGTCACGGCGGGGCCACTCCTCATCCCCGGACTCCATCGGCCGCGGCTCAACCCTAGGCGACTCGCACAACGTCAGCACCTTACCGGGCAGCGCCGGCGACGAGCTTATTTCGCGGTTCGTCAACGCGGGAAGCTCCGGTGCAGCGCGCGAAGGATCTTTCTACCATCCCACAACGCCTGGGCCGGCTAGCTTGCGGTCGGAAGAAAACTCTCGAGGACGGCCGCAGTCCTCGGGATCCGGGGGCCAGGGAAAACATCGCGATCTGCCAATGTGGGGCGACGAAGATGGCGAAAGCGCTCACGAGAGCCGCAAAAGCCGCGATAGCGATGGTACAGCGCTCGCGCCGCGGTCAGGAAGGCGCTTCGCTCCCCCGGCAGAGAAATCACGAACGCAGCAGAAGCTCAATCTACAGCGCGCAAGCTCCGTCATTGAACCAGGACAGGCGGTTGGAGGAGGCGTGGGCGCAGTGGGCGCGAGTCCCCTGGTCGGCATTGGCGGGCCGGGCTACGACGGCGGCGCGAGCCGCGACCCACGCGTCGCGAAGCAGCTGGAACGGACAGGGATGGAGTACCTCAGCGTCCGCCGGTTCCAGAATCCCGTGGTGCGCTCGCTCGATCGCCTTGCGCAGGTGAATCGCGCGAATAAGAATCAGCGGATACCGCGCAACGGGGCCGCCAATGGCAATGGCAAAGCCGCGTCGGTGCGGGGAGGCGTCGCTCCGGGAGGACAACACATGCGCAACTCAAGCCTGAATGAGGCTGCTCTGGTGGCTGCTGCTTCGGGCGGCACCGGCTCCACCCGGAGACCCGTCACCCCGCGCGCTTATTCCATCCGAACCAACGGCGCCGGGTCTAGCTACGAGGCCGATGGCGATGACCATCAGAACAGCCGGGCCCTACACGAGGGCACAGGTGTTCAGGGCCTCAGTGGGTCGAGTCTGGTGGGCGGAGAGGAAGACGAGGGCATCACGGCGATCCTCCGCAACCTTTGGGAGAAGAATCCGGACCTTAGTGCCAGCCAGGAATAGGTTGACCAGGCTGACTACGTGGATCTGGATTTCATCCCGTCTGACTCACGAGGGTGTGAGGAGGCATAAGACGACAACCAGCGCTGGTGAGAGGGAAGTTCAAAGCCGACTTTCTGTCGTTCTGGTGGTGGCAGTCCAATGGGATGTTCTTGATATTGTGTTTGCGATTAGAAGAGGGAGGAGAAGGCGTGTTTTAACAACGGACAAGCGGCGTACTACAAACGGTCTACAACGGGCCTGGACCGATATGGATGGAGGGGGATGGTGATGGGTGGGTGGCTCATTGAAAAGCTCTATGAGGCTGCAAATCGGTCCTTGATATCTAGGGTTCATTGCGGAGAAGGGCAGGCGAATGGAAATCATGGGACTGGTGGGATACACACAATAAGACGTAATAATTCACAAGCTTTGATTCTCCGAGATCCTTTCCCCTGGGCTTCGTGTGGGATTACCAAACCCATCCATAAGGCGCTTGTCCTTCAACGGCCATACATGTATACGGTGCTGGATCTCAGACATGAGCGTTGAGTTGGGCCAGCCACACACATATACACACCTCAACAGGTGAGTTCGGTGAAACCAATTGGACCAGGGTAGATTGCACACCTCAGGTGCCATTCATTCCGCTCAGACCAAAATCTCACCAAAAACAGGCCAGTGGCTCACACAGACACTGTTGAGGAACACACAAACCCCCCCACAGAAAAAGAAAAAAAAAGGGAAACAAGGGGGGGGGGGGGGTTAACACAAAGGCACATACATGCAGAGATACAAGAGGCATACAGGTATTTACGGCTGGATTTTCTTTATTCAGTTCCCAAAAAGCGTGACGGGGGTCAATACACCGACCCACGCCCTTGCCCTTGCGACGGAGCTATGTACGTATGTCTTTGTCTGTCTGCCTCTCTCGTCTTGTATCCCTGTCCAACAAACTGATATAAAATCAAAGCGAAGCCTACACTATTTACTTCCCTAAGAAACCCAACTTGCAATAACACCAAGAGCGCCGGGACATTAGGAATGACTGGTAAAAAGAATGCAATGCCCAATTGGTTGGGAGAGGAGGCTATGCTCTGTTGCACTCCGACCAGGGGAAATATCCGAGACGATTGAAACTTCGAGGGCGCCGGTGGTTGAGTGAGAATTATGTTCGTGCCATTCGCATTCCGTCTATTTGGTGATGAAGCCAAGGTAGTCGGCAACAATGAGTGTTACCATTCTGTTGAAAACACACTATTGTTAGTATACAAACAGGGTACCTAAAACACGGACACATGGTGTTGAAAAGGTCCACTTACGCATGAGGAGCAATGCGGACGTAGTAAGTGCCGAAACCGCGATAGAAGCGCATCACGCCCTCCTGCTTAGCCACCTTTGCGAAGCAGTCGACCATTGATTTGTACGGAAGCTTGCCGTCGGGGCCCTTGGACTGCTTTTGCAGGCGAGTCTTGACGAAGTCGAAGGGCAAAGAGAAGAAACTGGCAAAGAACCCAGCAATGGCGCTTGCGGTGAGGGTCTGTACTTGAGAGGACAGCTGCGTGTTCTGCTTGAGCTGCACCTTGGCCTCGCTGAAGAAAGCGAGCTGACCGAAGTTGAGAGCCATAGCACGGACGACCGTGGGCGCGGCGCCGGCCCAGAGGGCGCCAACACCTTCGGATTTTGCGATGCTTGAGAGGGCGTCGATAACGCTCTTGTAGTTCTTACGCTCAGCCAGGGGTTTAAGTCCGTCGCTCTGCATGCGAATGAGAGCGAGGTCGGCAGGATTGCCAATCATGGCCGCAAGACCTCCAGCAGCAAGACCTGCGGTAGCACGTTCCTTGAAGCCAATGGCCTTGCCTTGATCTTTGGCCCGTTGGCCGAGCTTGCCCATGAAGGTGTCAAAGAAGCCCAAGCGGGCCGTTGTGTAGACAGCTTGGCGCAGGAGACCGGCCGACAGACCGGTATAAAGGTCGAGGGCCTTTCCGCTGGCAAGAATCTCTTTGGTCACGGACAAGGGCGTGGGCTTAGGTCCTCCAGAAACACCCTCGCCAGCGAGCTGGATGCGGACCTTGATCATGTCGACTGGTTGAATGACGGAGGTGGCTACCATGCCACTAATACCGCCGTTGATGAAGGGCAAAGCTGCTCTCATGAGTGGGGTGTGGAGGAAGTCATTGGCGACCGCAGCACCGTCTCCCTTCATGACTTCTGAAGTGCGAGTTCGTGCGGCCTCGGCTGCCTGCTTGAGGGATGAAGAGCTCATGTTGATATCGATCTACGTGTAGGACTGAAGCGCAGTATGTTACAGTATCGAACTCGGTGTATGTTGGTGAGATCGTCGAGGACAAGAGCCGCTTGGGGTAGACAGTCGAGCAAGTTAGGCTTGAAGGTAGGTAAGCTGTCGAAGAGAAAAGGAGAAAGGTCATTAGTTAGCGGGAGTTCGACCCGAGAGGTTTCACAGGTAGCTTTATAGTATGACAGAGAGCTCCTTCATTCTTCCGTGCCTGTCAAACACCATTGTCAAGACACACCCCCGGCATAGTCGGACGAGAACGAGGACCAGATCCGGTGGGGGTCCAACAAAAGCATGAGACGGGACACAAAGACGCAATTCCACATTTGGGCTCTGGCAGGTCCCACATGCAGAAACGGGCGCACGATGGACAGGGTACGCAGATGAGTGGTGTAGTGCAAGTGCGTGTGCATAGGTGCAGAAGGAGACAGGGGTTGGGCATCCGGAGGAAATAGATACAGTGACCGAGGTGACGGTCCCGGGTCTCATCGGCCTGGATGGGGAGGCGGTGGGGGCGGGGGTATGTCATCGGAAAAGATAGGGACGGGGGTTGACTCCGGGTGGGTGCAGCCGTGGTTAAGGTGTTCCGCTTCCTATGTAAGTGGAAGAGAAGCTCGACGATGGTGTGTAAAGAGGAGAGGGCTCCGCACTAGACCGGACATAATTTGGACCAGTGGAGGGGGGAGACGAAGGAGAGTAAAACGCATGGTGGGCTGGTGTAAGGCGGGATGAGGTGGATCGCAAATGAAGTGGCCCGACTTGGACTGGAGCTGGAGCTTGAGCTGGAGCCTTGAGCTGGAGATGGGTAAAGGTCTCGGACTTGCACACTATGCAGAAAAGGTAAGGGTCGACTGCAAAGAGCAAAGCCGCAGCGGGGGTGGGGTTGAGGGGATGATGAGAGGAGAGAGACGGTAACAGCTCGAACGCCCTTGTTGAACGCCTCGCGTCCCCAATCAAAGCTTCCGAGACACATTGAGAGGGACAGTCGTTGACACGAACGTTTTGACTTACATGGAGAAGAGATGTCTCGTTGAATGGGTTACGGCAAAAGTTTGACGTCTCGCGGTCGATACAGGGTATAACAGTGCCGAATAAGCGTCGCAATGACTCTGTACAAAGACGGATGTTGGATTCGAAGTCGCGTGCCGTTGGGGGAAAGCTGGAGCGGGAACACAAGAGGAGGGCGGTGTTGGGCTGATGGCTTGCTTGGGAGATGAGGTCAGGGAGTAGAGAGCAAAGTCGGGCAAGATATGAGTCGGATGAGCAAGCAAATAAACAAGTTGCGGTCAGTGAGGACTGGACGTAGTCATCACCTAGAAAGCTTGTGAAGATGCGATGATGGCCGACGCGACCAAAAAAAAAAATCCTTCTTTGCTCGTGGATGGCTCCTTCGGGAGTTGACGGTAGCTTGGGTAGAGATGTCAGGTGCTTCTCGGGAAGATCAAAGTTCAGCAGTAGCTGCGCCCAGGTGGGCTAGTAAAGGAAGGCGGATTGGAAAACCGTTGATCGGTTCCAGCAGTAGCCTTGCTTCTGAGTCTTGTTGAGAGGAGGACCGAGGCTTCGGCTTGATCGAGATGTCGCTTTGCGTCTCAAACGGAAGGATGGGCGTTGCCAGAAAAGGTGACGGACGACAATGGCAATTACAGTACTTGGGTACGGGAGAGACGAAAGTATGGATGGTGTGAGAGATGGGCATTTGGTGCGGAGTCGAGGCAGTCATGTCGATATATTTATGAGAGAGACACATGCCTAGTGCCACATACCTTGGCTGAGCCTGCTGTCCGAGACGAGATGGAGGAGATACTTGGTAGTGAATGCCAGACAAGTACCGACCTACACAGTACATCGTAGGCATTGTCGGTATGCCAGTTCACACGCAGGGTCACAGTCGGTCGGTCGATCGATCAGTCGACCATTGGACTACGACGTATTAGCCAGCAGAGAGACATGCCAGCCCCTCGAGCGGGAGCTCCAAAGACAAGAGGTACGACTAAAAGCTTCCCACCCTCCCATCCAAGCGGCGTTGTCCCTGGCGGGGGAGGAGAGCACCAATGGGGATTTGGGGATTCGCCAGCGCGAGGCCGTGGTTGCGAAGCCAGGCGCATTGTCTGTCGCGTTGGTCTGGTGCCGTCCGGATGCGGGGTTAAATGGTTTCGGCACACCTCATCCATCAACGTGTCGGAGGCGATAAGGGGGGTGGGGATGGCCTTTCTGGTCTATTTGAAGAAGGTTGGATGGACGGATGGATGGGACGGGTTACAGGGCGGAATGGATGGATACCTGGGGGAATCGCTCGAATCTCGGGAACATCCTGCAACGTGCCTCGTACTGCTGTGAAGTGAAAGCGAGGCTAGGTAGGCAGTCTGAACGGGGGGTATCGGGACGGCATGCACATCTGTGGATATTTAGTGTCGAGGGGAACATGGAGGTCCGACATGAAAACCGTCACCGGGGCCGCCATCAGGAGAGGAAATCTCCTGACAATCCCAAAGAAATGGAGAGGAACGAAAAACGGCGACAGGCTCAAGACGGGTGGCGGCGATATTTGCGCCGTGGGAGAACGCAACCCCTGGCATAGCCGAGTGCTCTTGGACCGTGTATCTCTACCGAGTTGTGACAAGCCTTGCATAGAGTATCAATTACTGGCGGCAAAAGCTGGGTGAAACGGTGCCTGACTTCGAAAGAAGCTTGGATGGCGGTACGACAGAAATGAAACGGGTATCGATCATTGACTGACCTTGTGCGGCTGCGCTGGCGGGGGGTTTGCTGGTGTGAGTGTGGTTAGTTTGATAGTGGCAATCATACGGATACCCGAGTAGGTAAATGGAGAAAGAAGGCTTGTTGCTCCTCTCGAGGGGACGACTTGGATTGCTCCGCGCTAACACGGACGAGAGACACGCCGCGGACGAAGAAGGATTTGCTAACGGATTGCGAACAAATAATGTAGCGATTGCTCGTTCCCACGTTCTGTGTCCTATAGCGTACCATGTCGATGCCGTCCGTGTCTCTGGTATTGATTTCGCATCAAGACAAGGCGACGGTCAGCTCCGTTGCTCCTTAGCTGCTCCTTTGGCTTTCCCTTGGTCCTCCCGAGGACCGACGAGAAAGCCCCGACGATGCCGATTCAGTCGTCGTAGTTGGTCAACCGTCGGGGTACTTGAACAAAGTTGGGGTAAAGGTCACTCGCCATCGAGCTGTGGGTTCAAATTCAAAATTAGCATATAGAATAGGAGCAACAAGACATGGCAACGGCAGGACGTCTAGGCTCTGGGCTCTGGCAAATGGGATGGATTTGCAGAACGCTGTTCTCGTCTGGGACTGGTCTACGAACTGCGAACTGCCAACTGCCAACTGTCCGCTGCGCGCTGCCACCTGCTGCAGGAATGCGGGGTAGTGACTACCTCCTGCACGGATCGTCTTACGAACAATGGGTGAGTGGGCACTGCATCCTTCTCCATCTACGAATGTTGCTTATGTAATCGTTCCATCGGGAAGAGCCTGGTTCACTTATGGTGCCTTAGGTTGATGAGCTCCTGCTCAGCATCAAACGGCCAGCCCAAAAAGCCATGTTCCCAGAAAGTCCATTGTCACAGTCATAGATTACTTCAATTTTAGATCACATTGGCCAATCTTGCATCATGTTACACCCCTTGGACCTTTGAGAAGCAAACATCGCATCTGCCTCTCATGCGTCCCCCGGCAGACAGACGCCTCAGATGACGTAGCTGGTTTCGATCCCCTGTGCTGCCTCATGCCACGCCGACCAAACAAGCGCACTTGACGCCGGGATTCTCGTGTGAGCCTGCGAGGAGCCCAGCTCTCCCGCGACTGATTTGAACTGCAGCTCTTGGGACTGGCTGAGTTCGAATAGCTCTTATGCCACCCCCGTATCTCATGCACCACAGCTATCCACTCAGCCCGTCGGATTTCAACACAGCCGACAGGGCAATATGATTAGCCTTACACCTCGCCGCTGCCCCTCGACTCACCTCGACTCACCGAAATGAGGACTAAATGCCACGCGCTCCGTTGGACCGCTCCGTTGGGGCCACGCCCGATCCCCTTAGCCCGCCATGTCTCACCGAGAGGCATCTTGTTGGAATTGGGAAGCATTGAGCTCTCTCAAAATATTGGACTTGTTGTCTCTTTGGCGGTCCGGGTACTCTGCTTCAACCCCGAGGTGCTTATTCCCGTATCATTTCCCGCATCTCCATGCTCGAGCTCGAGAATTGCAAGCCCCAAGTCATGGGAAGCTGTTGAGCCACCACAGCCCTGCCGCCTGCTGCCGCCTCTGGTCCTCAACGAAGCAGGATCGTCCGCGCCGGCGAGCCACTCTCGGCCCTCAACCTCTGCACGACGCAGCCCGTGGGCCAGCCATGCCTTGCAAACTAGTAGACTGTAGACCGTACACTAGACCTCCAAACTCTAACCTTTCCTTCCGCGATAATTCGGCTATGCTGTTCAACAAGTTGAACGAAATGTGCCGATACCGCAGCGGAAAGTCGCGGTTCAAGACATTTCGGGTACCTAAGGTAGATCTCCCAGAACAACATGAATCAGATGCATGCTGAGAAAATACAACAAAGCCGCTTGGCTGATGTCGGCGACTTCAACGTTTTCGCCGTAATAGCGAAGACGCGAGATGGCTTCAAACTCACTTGCAATGTTGCGTTTCCGTATCCTTACGAGCTCTAATTTGGCCAAACAAACGCCCGTGCGCTACCCTGGCGTTGTTCCCGACGGTTCGGTAACCCACCACGGCACTGGTGGAAAAACCACCTATCCCCTGCTCTCCAACTCTCTGCCCTCTCATTTCCGTCGATTCCATCCACTTACCGGAATCTCTCCCGACTGAATCCGAGCTCATCATCTCAGGTCCGGAAACGCTACAGACCTCTCCACTCTCAAGCTCTGCCCGAAGGAATCAAACATATGGAATATGCACCTCGGCCTTCTGCTTCCTGAGCGGAAGCGTCAGGAATCTCAGGTACCGCCAACCGAGCAGCGCTCATTTGCATACCGTCATCCCATCCCGCGGGATGACGCTTGTCCGTCTCCAAAAAAAAAACCAAAAAAAAAACCGGGGGGGGCAAATACACGATACACCCATCCACCGGGCGTGGTTCCGATGCTACTTACCGCTTACCCGCCTACATAATCAGTCTCAGACCTCTGGTTTGATAATTGGTTGATTTGATTTGAACTGCACTTATGATGAGCTGCACTAAATCAATATCCCACGCGTCCCAGAAACATTATTCGTTTTCCGGCTACTCGTCCCCCAGAAGCCCGGGGTGGCAGCTCAGCTATCTTAGAGCTCATACTTACAGTACGCCTAGCATCCCCTGGCAAATCAGCTTCTTGGGAACGTGGGATGACACACGGGCGCCCAGATCAGGCATCACTAATCGAATCCAAAATGGACGTTGCTTCTCCCTTGTTTCCTGGTCCAGAATGTAAGTAGTTGACCATAGTGCTTGTTGCGCTCACCCAGTGGCCCAATGGCCGGCTCCACCCCCCTCACAACCCGGCCGCTTCCGTACCTTTCCTACGTTTAAGCCGAAAACCCTCGCTCCCCCTCGTCCTTTCGGCTTGAGCTTCAGGACCATCCTTGATCCAGACGTCGCAAATTGCGTGCTTTTCCAGGCCCAGAACGAAGTGGAGGGCCTCAAACATGGACAGAACTAAGGCCTGGCCTGGCCACATCGTTCACGGCCCGGCTCTGCTACGAGGCCATCGCTTCTTGCGGCTTGCTCTCCTTTCTCGGGGGAGATAGGGAGGCAGCCCGGGAGACCTTGTTGAGGTGGTACTCTTCTTCTTCGCCACCTTAACCATGACCCAGTCGACAACACTTAGTGATGAAGGTAAAACTTGTCCATCTCACATGCCGTTGTTTTCATTCTGCCTGGCTGGAACGCTCTGCTTTGGAAATACCCTCGATTGCTGCAATTATTTGACGTCCCACACGCGTTCAATAATCTAACAAGCCAGATATGGTGCATCGTCACTTGAAACCAATCCATCTCACAGGTACGATCAAAACCAGATGGCCTAGATGGTGGGGTGTGTCATGGGTTGTGCAGTCTTTCACGTAATATGGCAAAACATCAACTAGATTTCCAAGACTGGTTGACATATTCCAAACGCTAGGTACATCAATATAAAAGTTGTGATTCAAAAAGTGGAAAATAATCGACAAGTTGCTGCATGGCACTGCCCTTCACCATCTTGACGTAAGGGGGGTCCATATTGCACATCATATAGTCACTGTAGATATCTCAGCTGGTCCATCGAAATATCATGACACTTACCTGGTAAGCTAAGTGAGAGTTGTTTCCAGGGTTCTGCGCAACGAACAGAAGCACGGCTGGCAGCCACACACGTGACGGCCTCCAGTAAAGTTGCAATACGCAGTTCCCGTCCAAAGGTCTCATAGGAAGCCTTTGATGCATGAAGAACTGGGTGGTCGAGGTATCATCTTGAAACACTGGATGATTCCGCCAAGCCTGGCAGCCAGTAGAAACAGGAGCACCTGCTACGTGATGAGTGCTCGCAGCAGCTTTTCTCATCTCCGACTGGCTTGATTTCATTCCATCAAAACATACCGGCTCTCGTCATACTAGCCTGTCTCGCATCGACCTGATCGTCGCCTACCGTCATCTACAGCAGCGCAGGCAATATCACTCGAACCGTACTTATAAGGCGACAAGATATAAAATCACCACTACGCCGGCAGTGCGATGTGACAGGAGTGACTCGCAGTATTGATTGGAAGGGTACCGTGGGTCAATGATAGGCTACTTCACGAATTGGATGCACTCGAGGACAGCCACACTGCTCTAGAATGATTTATGCTTGAGGCCTGTAGCCGTACTTCATCCGCGTGGTATTCGCGAGCACGAACAGATCACAATGTTGCTATCGAAAGGCGTAGGTGGGTAGCACGGATTGTATCAGAATCTGAAATTTCAAACCATACGTCAACAGGCATATATCTGATGGGAGCATATCACCGGAATAGCTTGAATGAGACATCTTAGCAAAGTCCAGCAGAAGAGAAGCAAAGACAGCCAGCAAAATAGTCACGTTGTCACTACGCGGAGTATCTAACACGCTCCTTAGTCAGTACATGCCGAGGTAGCGAATGGTCAGAGTCAGATATCTTGGCCTCATGGCAAATCGAAACGACCCCTTATGATTATGTGCCGATTGCATTAGACAATGGCACCGAAATATGATTGAATAGGGGTTCACTTACATTATGCGTTTAAATAGTACGACGGCATGTGTCGAAACATTTCAGAAGTTAGTTGAAGCCAACAGGGATGCAGAAGAATGCAAAGCCTACCATGCTGATTGAGTCTGCTAGTTGGATCTGTGGTCATTTGCTCAAAGTTAGCAGATTGAAGTAGCCCAGGGTGCGAGAAAACCCACTGTTCTGGTTAACTCGTTCTATGTAGCAGGCATATTGAGATTATATAGTAGTAGATAGCTGATAAATAGCAATTAGATCATCAGCGAGGGAGTACAATTACCCTCCCGAACGAGGGACCTATCGACATTAGCTGACCAAAGAGGGGGGAGACGACAGTAGGGAAGTGAGCAAAAACAGAAAAACATGAAATAAAACAAGCGCAAAACAAGAACCCCAAATAACGACTCCGTTAGCCAAAGAAGAAGAAGCAAAAACAGGAAAACAAATAAGAAACCAGAAACCAGAAAGGACCTAAGACCGAGGGACGCGGCGGGTGATCCTGAGCATCGTGCCGTTAAAAGCCCGGATCTTGGTCGTGACAAGAACAAACTCAGGCTCAGGAGCGGGTGCGGGCGCGGGCACTGGCGGGGGCGAACGAGAACCGTAAAGCTCCAACAAGGAAGAGATCGAACCAGAAGATCCAGGAGATCCAGGAGATCCAGGGGAACCAACGGAGCCAGGGGAACCAGGGGAACCAGGGGAACCAACGGAGCCAGGGGAACCAGGGGAACCAGGGGAACCAGAGGAACCAGGGGAGCCAGGGGAACCAGAGGAACCAGGGGAGCCAGGGGAACCAGGGGAGCCAGGGGAAGCAGAAGAACCAGGGGAACTAAAAGACGTTTCCCATTCTGCCAAAGCTCCCGGGACCTCCTCGGGGGCGACAGGAAAAGCGCCCTTGGTCCAGGAGTATTCGGAAATCCGATCCTCTTCCAGGGTGGAGTCCCAGTTCGAAATGGTATGCGGCGTAGGAGAATCCGTGCTGTAGTCGTAGGAGGGCGCGTACCTTTTGGGAGGTGGCCAATCGGCTATAAGAGCCCGGAGTTGCGCGAACTTCGCCTTGGCCTCTGCGCTGAGCTCCCGGGCGCGGAGCCGTTGCCTTTCAACGCTGCGATCGAGGGTATCCATCTCACGAGGGGGAGGGGTACAAGGAGGCGCGAACGGATCACAGGAGGGCGAGGCAGACTCGGGAGACGAGGAAGTCACGGGAGGCGAGGAAGTCGCAGGAGAGGGAGTCCTGGGTTCTGGGGTCCTGGGTTCCGGGGTCCGGGGAGAGGGGGCAACTGCAACGGGGGCAGGTCTTCGACTCGCGGTGTAAGCACGAGCCAGGTTGATCTGACGGTCGGCAAAGGCCATCAACTGTTCGAAGTCAGGAGGAGATCGGATAGGCGACCCAGAAGACCGGATGGGCAAATCCGAAGAAGGAGAAACAGCGTCCACAAAGGGGTCCTCCAGGCAGGAAACGGAAACCGAGCCAGATCCTGGAGAAGCGAGCAGAGGAGACGTGAAAGAGCGCGAGGGGCTTTCCCGGGGAACCGAACCAAAGTAATGGGACATACTAAGGGTAAAAGCACGCGGAGACAGGCGGGGAGGGGTACAAACAGGCACCAAAGGTGCTGTAAAGAGAGAACAAAAGCCCTTGGAAGAGGACTTACCAAGAGAAGAGGACGGCACCGTGATCGAGGGTCGAGAAGCTCCAGTCTTGGGGGATTGACGAGGAGACGAGCTTTCGACAAGCATCGCGGGGGGCGCCGTGGCACGGAGGAAGCGGCTAGAGAAGACAGGTTAGTCAACGCGAAGAAAGGAGGCCCGCCGAGGCCAAGTGTCCCGGGGGTTGTGGGGGGGGACTGACAGGATAGGACGAACAGCGGTTGTGACGGCTGCTGCGAAAGGATGGGTGACGCGACGAAGAAAGGAGCCGAGCGAGGCCACGAGGGTGCTGGCGTTGGCGGGGGTAGGGACTTTAACCCAGGACTGCGGACCGGTCTCAGACAGGCGGGCGGCAGCCGAAGCAGGCGAGAAGCGAAGAGAAAACATCGTAGCAGAGCTAGAGCATCAAACGATCAAACCGTGAGGAGAGAAAGGAAGAAGGAAGAATGGGGGCAGACTGGGAGGAAGAGTATATATAGACGTCCAGAGCGATCAGATCAGTAACATCTGATTGGCTTAAAAGTCGTGTACACCGAGGGGGTGGGTTTAAAAGCCGTTGATAAGGCTGAAAACTAAGCTTGATACGGTATAGCGCACGATCTGGGATCGCCACTAGGCCTAATCGAGATGACGCGTTTGGTCATCTAGATGGAGGGGAAATCGTGCAACAGAGAGGATTCCAAAGGCGCAATCACTTATTCGAAGACGAAAACCGTGTCGTTATACTGAATGTTTATATTAAAAACCATCTGCAAGTTTTTACAGTGATGGAACCGTGTTGTGGCGAGAAATACCGCGTCGGGGATGGGACTGACGGTTCCAAGCAGAGGAACGACGAGGGCCAACCGAGAATCATCGATTTTTGGCGTCGGGCACCAATCGCTCGAAGCGTAGATCATGCAGCATCGTAAAAACAGTAGCCAAAGATGAAGCAGGGTGAGAAGATCGAGATTCTAGTTGGAGATGCTGGCGCAAGGCCGTGCTGTTGAGGTGGCCGAAAGAATAGGTCGGATTCGGCCAGGGGATGCCATCCTTCGTCGAGGATCAATGATTGCGGTGTGTCGCAGCGCAGATCGGGACGCATACTATACTTTTTCATGGTACTTATGAGAGTGGTAGCTTCCTCTTGATATAGTTTGAGTCCATACCCTTCCGCCGCAGCCCAGTAGTTGCTCATCGTAATGGCGACGCCTTCCCTGGCGTCCGGGTCGAAACTGCTACCCACCACCTCCTGGCACAGCGCGTGGCCACGCCAGCTCCAAACTCGGTGAGAACACCCCTTGTGTCTCTCTAAACAAGGGTCCGTCAACTGGGATCGATGAACGATGGCTTCGCGGAATGAGATTGGCGTATCAGCAAAACCACCACTCAATAGGAACGAGTACCACGATCAACGGGACAAATATTGGTAAAGAGACCTGCAGTTCTATTGATTCTGCTATCTAACGAAGTTAGAAAGAATATCGGTTGAGCGCATTCACCACCGGTGAGTCCCCGGCGATGCGTCAACCACCTCATCGAAGCGGCGATCCCTTCCCCGGCGTCCATGTCGAACCCGCCCCGAAACCGCCACTCGACGAAGTCCCAACTCCCGGAGCGCCGGGTGTAGAGGGAGCTACAGCAGTCCCGTCATTGGGTAGGGGAGGAGGCGTATCTGTTCTTTGGACATCAGCGGCCTGTCCGCTCCTAGCAGGCGGCCGGAAGTTGACGTCTCGTCCGCCCCGGTAGATGTCTTGAAGCATCGGTTCAAGGATACCTGCATCCTCAAACTCCAAATACTTCCGATATAGCTTTAATGCTGTCCGGGCGTCCTCGATAGAGTCATGAGTCTCCAGCTGGATGTCCTCTTTCAGCAAGTACCACGCTAAGAAAGCCAGCGAAAGCTTCCGTAGGCGAGACTTCAAGAAGAAAAGATCGATTGTGTCGATGACCTGAGACCTTGGTATATGAATGTTGATCACTCTGAAATCCTGCTTGAGGCCATGACCAAGAAACTTGCAACCCAGGTTCAGCAAGATCCAGAGCTTCTTGTAGGCAACCTTCAGCGGCACGAGATTGTGCTTTGAGATGCGTGGATCCAGGTCATCGTGGGTAATACCCGAGTACGATGTCAGGTAATCAACGATTGGCTCTCTGATCGAGATATAGTCATCGATGAAGGGCAGGCCTTCTTCTTCTCCTTGTCCCCGAATGACAGAAGCTCTAGCGAGCGCGTACACGATTGGCCGAATCGTTTCTCTCTCGCCGTCGGAGTTCATCTCGATTTCAGGCTGACGGACGGCGACAAATTCCGTGTCTAAAGCGACAATACTCTCCGGTCCGGGCCTTTCAACCGCCGAATCGAGTGCACGATACGTCTTTCCATCGTTATGCGGGCTTTGACGGGTTAGCAAGCTGCCTACGGCAGGACATTCGAGAAGGGAGCCAACTTGTTATCCTCATACAAGAGGGAAGTATCGATATTCTTCTTCCAGTCCATGTCTATCTTGTTATTCGCCTCCTTGACTTGGAAAGCGATTACCGAGGGCGTCTTCCAGGGCGGGTGGAACGAAAGTGCTTCTTCGATGCTCACGGACCGAACGAGGAAGTCGTTAAACAAATGCCATTGACTTGTCGTCGGGGCTGTTGGCTGGGCATGGGCAACTTCGAATAGTAAGCGCGGTCACTCTACAAGCGATTAGAAAAACGTACCGTTGGCCATTGCGACCAAATGAGGCTTTTGACCCGGACCTGGGTCAATATTCATGGCCATGCCTACTAGCGAATACACAGTTATGTTATGGATACCGCGCTGCAGGTGGAGCTTTAAATCCTCTCCCTCGTAGCAGAAGAATTGGCCGTGGTCTACTATGACGCCAATTTCCTCGGGAAGGAATCCAGGTGTCGACCAGTAACGCCTCTGCTCCGAGTTTCCGATTGCTGTATTCAGCATGAAAACGGCGGGGATGTTGTGGATAGTCTTGCGGGTTGCAATAGTCTGATACCGCTGGCATCTACTACACCAACCCTTCGAAGTTGTCTCCCTCTCGACACTGGACTTCAAGATTTGTGAGAACGTCACCTTCGGCGCTTTCTGAGTCCGGCTGGCGTTCTTCTGTGAGAAATTAGTACCCGAACAGAGAGGAAATATCTCGTCAAAACAGGAGGCAAAGCAGTTGGCGACGCTGGCTTTTCGCGGATTACGGCAGCCGAGAACCACAATCAGTAATGTTGCGAACACAGACGAAAACCACACTAATTTGTACTCACCCCTGTCCCTGTTGATTGCGGGTACATCAGATCATTAACAAAAGTCGATCCAGGACGCGTATATTCGGACCTGCAGTTCATACACCTAATGGAGCTCGTTGCTGAAGTCGCGAGCATCTAGAGAAAGTCAGCTACTGAGATGAGACATTTTCCACCCTGCTTTCGACGAACCTGTTCCATCATATTCGAGCCAGGCGGGATGGAACGAAAATCCTGGACCATCTTTTCCAAGAGAAATCTCGTCAGGCCCTGCAGCATCACTGTTAAAGTTGAGCCATTGGGATCTTCTTCAAGGAGGCCAAGAGGGCCGGCTACTAAACAGTCAATTTTCGCCACGGACGCAGGCAGTTAAAGGACAGACCTTGGGGGTGGTGGCTGAGCGTCTTCAGCATATTGGTTGCTTGACAGATGGAACCTTCGGCCTTCTGGAGCATATCGAACAAGAAACCCAATTCGCATAGCAGGCAGGTATCAGCAACACACGCAGTAGCCGCGTGTTGGAGAGCCATGTTCCGGATCAGAGGCGTAAAATTCATGACCTGCAGCAAAGAGTTGGCGTAGGAGTTGGCGATGTGGATCTCGAGTCCAGAGTACTGCGTTCTATTGTAGAATCTGGATAAGGTCAGCCAGTGAACAGGATTCTGTCCCATCAGCTGACATACCCGAAGTCAAAGTCGTCAACACCAAACTTGCTGTACTTGATCTCAACATTGCGGTACATCGGATGGCATTCTTGTTTCGTGGGGTCGATTTCCATTTGCATCAGGGAGTGACCAACGTCGTCAACATTTTCATCGCCGCTAGCAAAGCCAACAGAGGTCATGGCAAACTCTCTAGCCTTCTCGCTCAGGAATTTGGGAGCAAGAATTCCCGAAGTGTTTCCTCTATCCAAGTTCCGGGTATCCTCGACTTGGTTTCTTCGAAGACCCCGTGAATTCCGGCCATAGTGGCCAAATTCGGACTGTTTGAGGCCCGCAACAAATTGTGGTTCAAGTTTGGTCGGAGGAGCCCCAACATCAGAGAGAAGATCTGGCCATGCGGACAGCAACGCCTCACGGTAATGGGGCATGCCAATAGAATTGAGGGGTCTGGTAGTGGGTCAATGATCATGACGCATGTCACAGAATGAGCAGAGAGAGGTGTTACTAACGTGTCAGCAGCCCACTCTATCGTAGGCAAAGGCTCTTCCGGAGTTGCGAACTCGGTCTGCGACGCAAAATCAACGAAGCGGAGCTTCGAAGGGGAACCCCATATGTGTATATTGTAATCAGCATCTGCCAGAGCCACGGCTTCGCCAGATGGGGCGATTTCGAACATGGTCAGGTATGTCATCGTGTTGGCCTGCCGCACATTGCTAGTGTTTGGATTCATCAGGTCGACAACGTGCATTTGACCACTCTGGGACATGACGATACTAGTCGTCGACATTCTTGGGTGCATTCTGACAAATGCAGCCCCTGCAGGAAACGGAATCGGCGACATGGACGACATTTTCTTGATATCAAAGACATTCAAGAACGGGTCAAGCATGTAGTTCTGCCCCTGTCGCAGCGAATAACCGCAAGTGACGATGAAGTCATGCTGCGCATCCATATCGCTGATCAAGGCGGAGTGGGCGTTCCAGCTCTTAACGAGGGAGAAGTTGGCCGCGTCAATCAGGTTGACTGTGCCGTCCTTTGTGGCGGCACAGATGTATCTGCTCTTTTTCATGACTTTGTATGAGTGCGCGGTCGGAATCTAGGCTCATCAGCAACACGCCCTTATCATGCCATCTACATCAAACGAACCTGCTTGACCACCTCTCCTTTAGCAAGGTCGATCACAAACATGGTGTCCTGGAATCCGGCAACAAGAATTTCGGATGTCCCCTTGGACGTAAAACTCATACATCGTAAGTCTTTCATATCATCATGTCTGCGTTTATGGCGTTAGGCAGAATTCCAACGGTTTAGGGTTGTGCTCTTGCACCTTATATGCCATATCGGAGGGCCCTTCCGTGAAGCCATGTGAATGTCCCGAGATCCCAGTACCACAACACCCTTGTCGTTGACGAGAATTTGCCTAACCGGGCCGTCGGGTGTCGTATGGGCCTTGAATGACGTGTAGCGCTGCAACTCACTGCCGTAGAACGACGTGACGCGGCCCTAGGACATTGTCAGTCTTTCTCCAGGCGGGTATCGAATTCAACGGGTCGTACGTAGTCGTTGCCGGTCCATAACAGCTCTTGAGACGTGTCAAAGGTCATGTTCGTCACGGGCGTCGCCATGGCGTGGACGCCCGGAGGCGGAAAGGGGATGCGAGCGACCTATCGGCCATGAAATCGTCAGTCAAAGGTACGGGTTCTAGAGACGATGCGCAACCTTTGGGAGCTGAGCTGGAGGCAAGACGTGGGGAGGCGCGTAGCTTGCGACGAAAGTGCATCGAAAGGGCATTGAGGGGTGATGATGGGCTCCGACTTACCTCGTCCCAGTCTCCGTCCATTTTGGTCTGCGTTTCCTTGCCCAAATGACCATAGTAATGGAACAGAAGAAACGACGTCAATGGATGAGCGACAGACAGGTCGCAGTCAGGTGGTCCAAAACAACTGAGATTTGGCCCAAAAAAAAAGAGAGAGAGAGAGAGAGCACCTCACTGGATCCGAATCGCGACGACGCTGGAGCTTCGCGCAGCTTAAGCCTTGGGGCAAGCGTGCAGAGACAACGTGCTGCGCGCCCGAAAGCTAAGCCACTTGCATGAGCCGGACAGGGCAGGGAACAGAGTGTGGGGGATGCTAGAAGGTCGTCTTTTCCGGTTTCTCTGCCTCTCTCTCTTCCCCTCCTCTGCTGGGTTCTCACACGGGCAGATGGTGTGGTGACGGCGCTAGCCGGTGTATTTCCGAAACCGGACCCATGTCAGACATACCTCACTCAATCTCTCACCGACGCTCACCGAGTCGTGGGTGCTTGATGCTTGCTGTCACTATCTACCTACCTACGTCGCGGCTACATATGTACTTTATTACCTCCTAGGTACCTCCTCACCATTTCTTGGACGCGCTATCAGCGAATATTTTTACATTAAATCAATGGATATGGATCAATCTTTAGAAACGCTCTGGCAGCACAAGCTATCAGCAATGCTCTCTCGGCGCCTCTCGGGGCACCTATGGCAAAGCACAACCTTCCACGCACCTTGGCCATCGTGTGGATACAAGTCAATGTCTAGGCATGCCATGTAGTAGGGAAGTTTCCAAGTCTACCACCATCCACGGTTATCACCGCACCGTTGCAATACGCCCCAGCTCTGGATGCAAGATAGAGCATGACGCCTGCCATGTCTCGGATGTCCCCCATTCGTTGAAGAGGGACCATCTCCTTTGGGACACTGCCGTCCTCGGCGTAAAGCTTGGCTATAGGAGCCGACATTTCGCTTGGGAACACTGATTAGGGATCAGTCTGGAATCGCATATTGCTGTTGCTAGAAGACTCACGGCCGGGGGCAATGCAGTTGGCTCTAATGTTCCAACGAGGCAGGTTACTTGACAGTTGCTTGATAAGCAATGTTGCGGCTGCCTTGGACTGACCATACGCCCAGCCACCGGGAGCGATCTTGTTGAAGGCGGCAATGGAGCTTGTCGAGACAACCTGAGAGCTTTGTGACATGTTTCCCTTCTTGTTACCGAGGTCAAGAAGCTTGACGAAAGCCATCGTGGTGTACCATACAGACGTGACATTGACATCGAAGACTCGCGTGTAGTCGGTCATGTCATGGGCAAGATGTTGCTCCGCCCAATTGGCAGCCGTTGTCTCGGGGGTGGGAGCCTTGACCTGGGGTCCTCCGACACCAGCATTGCAGACTAGGAGATTGATAAAGCCAGCCTCCTTCTCAATAGCTGCGGCTGCTTCCTTGAGACTGTTCTTGTCACTGACATCGCATACCAGAGGGACAATGTTTGGTACCACAGATGCAGCAGCTTCTTCTAGGACCTCCTTGCGCCTCCCGAGGATGTAGACCTTTTCGGCGCCGTTCACCGCCAACGCCTTGGCCATCATGAGACCGATTCCTGCCTGTCATTAGCACAGAAATGACAGCGATATGGTTGTCGCATGATTCACTTACCTGAGCCGCCACCAGTGATAACGGCAACCATGCCATTGACACCGAAGAGGTTGCCAGCTCCAAGAGCAGTGAGGTCATTCTTGCTGTCAGCCATTGCTTTAAACTTTCAAAGTGCAAACGTTGTTCAAACTAAACAAAATACGTAGGAAGCGCGGCTTATACTATCCGACGGACAGACTCATTTGTAATAGATGTCCCACGGGTATCTGCAACGGCGGGGTGCTCGAGTGCCCCTCCAAGAATGAGCGTCATCCTGGGTGCTGAAGGAGCAGCTATGGCCAATCGAGTTAACCGAAATCGGCAGCTATGATTTATGACCAATCGCATTGTACAGAACGCAACCCCGTAGTGGGTATCGCTCTCGGGAGCGTTCAGTCTTATCGATTAGATTTTCGTTGGCGCTGAACCACATTTTTTTTTACCCTGCACCGATCAGCGTTGAGGCTGTCGACTGCCCGCGCCTACCTGTTGTATCGCGATAAGGAATAAGCACGAAGAGTTCGGACAACCGTCACGATGGTCAAACGCAAGAGGTCGCGCGAGGACGACATCGACGCGAAGCTTACCGACTACAGAAAAGAGATATTCCGGGCTCTCAAAGGTGCAAAGGGACTGGAGCGTCAACGGTATAGCAAACGCTTGCGCGATGACAAGGCGACACCCGACAAGGTCAAGCGGCTGGAGGGGGAGATCTTGGTGTTAAAGGTAGGTTATTTTCCGCCCCAGGTTGACGTTCTGCTCATAGGTCCGCGCTGCTAACAAGGCCCTCCAGTCCCTCGATCTCCAGCAAACCGCCGACGCCCACCTCCATTCCTCGCTTCTCAAGGTCAAGCAAATCGCCGAAAGCCCTGCCCTCCCCGAAGCGATCAAGCAGGGCGTTACCAAGCCGGAACTTTCAGAGGAGGAGAAGGTAGCGCTGCACAATGTCACCAGTGGCCTCTTCAACCGCGTGCACGTCCGGGATGCCATCGAAAAGGCGGTACGGGGCGTGTGCCTCATACTCAACGTACCTATACCAGAAAAGAAGAAGAAGAAGAAGAAGGGGACGAATGATGCTGCCGCTGAAGGCAAGAAGCTGGAAAAGGAGGATGAACCGAGGGAATCGAAGAAGGCAAAGTTAGTGGGCGCAAAGGATGTTTCTGCTAAGCCCATGGCCGAGTCCAAACCTAAGGAGAAGGAGGAGGAACCGAACCCGTTCGACGAGATGGACGATGAGATCCCAACTGACAGCGATGCATCGGAAGGCGGAAAGAACGAAGCCGCCGGGGAGGTTGAAATCGACGAGGAAGAAGAGGAAAGAGCTCTGTCCAAGATGGAGGCCATGCTGGGCGGCTCCGACTCGGAAGAAGAAAGTCCTGACGAGGATCTCAAGGCTAAATACAAAGCCCTGCTAGTTGACGTCGCCGATGGAGACACCGCAGACGATGAGAGCAACAGCGATGAAGAAGACGAGGACGAGAACGAGAACGAAGAGATGGCGGACCCGGACGACTCGGACAGCGGCAACGACTCAGACCGTCAACGCCGCATAAACGCCGCCAACGTCTCCCTCTCCCCAGAACCGGAACTGGCGTCCAGCAGCAAAGAGAAGAAGGTCAAGCGTGCCAAGAAGCCTGCGGGCCGGCCCGGTGAGACGACTTTCCTGCCCTCGCTGATGGGTGGATACATTTCAAACTCCGAGTCCGAAGCCTCGGACCTCGATCTCGCGCCGCCGAAGAAGCGGTTGGGACAGAAGCAGCGCCAGGCCATCTGGGAGAAGAAGTATGGCGCGTCGGCGAACCACGTCAAGAATCAGGCAAACGGGCCGAGAGCCGGTGCGAGGGACAATGGGTGGGATATGAAGAGGGGTGCCGTGGGCGCTGACGAGGATGGCGGGAGGAAGCCCTGGAAGAAGGGTATTTCGAACCCGTTGAACGGCGGCAGAAACAGAGATCGCGGCAGAGGGGAGGAGAAACCGAGAGCGCCGCCGAAGAAGGATGACGAGGGTGTTCTGCATCCTAGTTGGGAGGCGAGGAAGAAGGCCAAGGAAGCGCAGATCACCGCTGCGTTCACGGGCACCAAGATCACTTTCTAACCACTACGATATTTCAAGTCAAGTGTAAAAGCCATTCGCTGTCTGCCTATATGGCTAGATATGCAAGTGAGCTAATTGTCTCTATGACATATGCAACGTGATCCGATCCAGGCAAGACGCATATCGGCTTCCAACTTCGCCAACCATACCCTCAGCCGCAAGGCATGCCGCTCCTAAAGTCGTCTGCAAAATGTAACTCCAAATCGCTCGCAATTCGTAAATTACCGCAATAATTTCAAAGAAGCAGAAGCTTTACGAAGGCAATAACTTCTGAGATGCATGAGAAACCCCGATGAGTTACAGTCTACGCCTTTTATTGAATGGACAGTCATCCACGCTAGTAGCGCTGTTGAGACGCGCAAGTCGAGGAAGACGTTCTCCAGCTGCGTGGTGTTCAGTGAGACTGGGAATGAAGTGGCCAAAGGGCCCGCTGACAACCGGGCGTGATGAGCTGGCCAGAGAAGAACTCGGGACCCCGGTGCTAATGGTGCAGGTTTCGTCATTCTCCGCAGTCAGATCGATGGCGCTCAGGATGTCCGACTCGTCATATCCTCTTTTTCGCAAGGTATCCATCATGGCGGTGGATTCGGGGCGCGGTCGATAGAGAGACATTGCCGGCGAAGAGCCGACGAAGAGGCCGCCATTACTGCCGTAGGATCTTTCGCTCGCAGCCGACGATACATTGCCAATTGATCTAACATCGGTTTGCTCTCGCTTCCCACGGTCTAATCGGTCGTCTTGTTGAAGACGCGACAGACGTGATCGCATCTTTGGTGCCTCAATGCTGTCCAAGTCGATGGGATTAGTGGCATTTGAGCCTGCCAATGAGAATTCGTCGTCATAATCGTTCGCGATGCCATCTTCCGTAACCGTGGAAATGGTAAGTTCAGTGTCCGCTCGAGTATAGTGGATAATTGCCTTCGGGGTTACGTCGCTAGACGCCTCGGACTTAATATCATCTTGATGTGCAGCATTTCGCTTCTCAGCGTACATTGCCGTCTTAGCATGAGCAATCTTCTTTTCCTTGGTGGGATGCGATACATTGTTAGGACGTGACATCCCTGGAGATACCACTGCTGTGTGCTGCTGCTGGACCAGAACCGGGGTTTCAGCATTTGCCATCTCGATATCCCCATGCTCGTCTCCCTCAGGAACGGGCGGCGACACATACACAGCGTCGAAGGCTTGGCTATTGTGATAGATGCCCTTGATTGCCTCAATCTCCTCTTGTGACGCCTCATAACCTGGAAGAACTGGGCTTAGATTGGCTAACTTTGCGGCTTCTGCCTTGTCGTCTGTTTTCGGCATAGCCGTTACGTTCTCGATGTCCATGAAGAAAGACCAGTCGCGGATGGGATGACGGCCACCATGCTTGTGGGACATGCCGTAGTCGTAGAACTGAATGAGCTCCATGCCGCGAAGTGCATGGAGGAAATGCAGTCCCTGGAGTCCCCGAAGCGACCTTGTCATGCGGAAGTTGGGCTGACCAGCGGTGACAGACGCCATCCAGTCGACATGTGCTTTGGGCTCATGACGACGACTCGAATACTGGGAGCCGCTCTCGTCCACGTGTATAATCAGAGTCTTCAGACGAGGCATCTGGCAGAGCCACGACACATCCCACGTTCTTTTGGAGACCCATCTAAGTCCACCCTTTTTGCCTTCCTTGACAGGTCTATGGGTGAGATACTGATTGCCCAGCCACAGCAACTCCACATGTTGAATCCTCTCTCTCCTTGCCTCTCCGATGCCGGTGCAGAACCGACCAAATTCTCCCAGGCTCGAGAAAGCGAAGGTATTCAGACCGTAGAAGGCGTAGATTCCAAGGTAGTGCCATCGCTTGCAGACGGTCAGCAAGGCGAGGTAATTGTTCGGTTTCATGCTGTAGGTGATGTTGCAAGATTTTCCGGAAAGGTGAAAGCGATGAGGTAGACCACTTCGGTGCCTGTCAGTCTGTGTGGGCTGCTCTGGAGGCATGAATGGATCGAGGCGGGTGATGCAGTGGATGAGTTTGCCTTCTTCGACGAAGACGAACTTGATGATGTTAGCTTGGACTTTGGTGGGCAACCGGTCAAAGGGAAAATTCTTGAGGAAAACATTCGCCTCTGTATGATTATCCTCTGCCCTTCGGGCATCCTTGGGTGGCTCATCGTCCTGGACGAACAGTGCCTCAGGGCCTTTGCGGCTCTCTTCAAACCCGTTCTGATCGACCGCATTTTCGTCGCGGCCTTCAGATACTTCAACCTCAAGTTCTTTGCTTGTTGGTCCCCTGAATCGCAAATTAGGATGGACATTGCCAGTCTTCGTACTCATGTTCTCCTCCTTGCAGCAAAGCTTGTAGATATCAACGTAACTCAGTGCCTGGCAGTGATTGGGGTTAGTGAGATATAAACGAAGCCTCTTGTGCCATGTTGGCTCGGTTTTTTTTTCATTGTTTCGCTTCTTCTGCATCCTGTCGACATCCGCTCTCAGCTTGTGATTTTCTAGACTGAGCTCATGGATCTTGCGTTCGAGTCTCTCGATTTGTTGATTGTAAGTGTCAAAACCTTGTCGGATTTCCGATCGACACTTTTCGCTGCAGCCAAGACGACTGAGGTCAAGGGCTAACTGTGACGACAGCTCCTCATCGTTCTCGTCCTCATCTTGGTTGAGGGCACCAAGCTCATCGCCGAGCTCTGCTTCCTCGTCCTCGCCGGCCTCCTCATTGTTCTCGTCTTCAGTTTGAAAGTTACGGACTCTCTTATCAGACTCTCCGACCGCTTCCCGATCTTCGCTCTCCTCAAACTCCACTCCATCTTGGGAAGTCACTTCGCCGTCCTCGGACTCAACTTCGTCATTATCTGGGTCGTAGTGATGGCGTGGATAACCAGCGTAATTGGAATTTGAGATTGCAAGTCCGTTCTGATCTAGCTGGTCTCCAAGGTCTAGTGCCCGCAGGATATAGGAGCTGGTGCTCATGCGAGTATGAGGTTCACCGTAAGCTTCGGCGGCGGCGGCTGGGGAAGATGATTCGTAGCGGACTGAATCGCGCAGACCCTGCAAAGAAGATTCCGAATCGGAGACCTTTGGTGAAGAAGAATTGATATCTGGCGACTGCTGATTCTTGGAGGTGGTTTCATTAGTGACTGTCGGTGGCAGAACGCTGGCCGAGCTTTGGCCGACAGATGAGCCTGACGCGAGAGGAGGAGAAGGGGTGAGCAGGTTTCCCAAGCTTCCATGAGCCGCTGAAGCAGCCCGGGACATGGATTGCGAAGCCCCTTTCATTGTGGCTGTTGTCAGCGGTCTGTCGAAACCGAAGTATCCTCAAATCGAAGTTGCTTTTGAGTTTCAAAAGTCTGTGAGGTGTGAAGGAGTAGAGATGTGAAGGCTGTAAGAAGCAGAGGCGAAGACGCCAAGGCGTAGAGAGCAATCAAGAAATACTTCTTGTAAAGACGGGTAGGAGCTATTGTAGCCACGGAAGGTGCCACGGTGTGCAGAAAGGACGATCAATGTTCTATCTCAGACCGTATGCTACCGCTCATGAAGGGTAGCCAGTCGTATTCATGGAGCTGAAAAGTTACTGTTTTGAAGGAGTCAGTGTCTTGTACGGTTCCAAGCGAGAAGAAGTTGAGCAAGCCCGAGCTGGAAGGGCTGTTCAAGCTGTACAGCTGGGAAGGGGCGCCTGGGCTTGTGAGTTCAAAGTTGCGTAGGTAAGGTTGTAAGATGAGGCAGAGGCGAGCTCGTGTGGACGTTATAGTGAAGCGGGCACAGAAAGAAGTAGCGCGTAGAAGGAAGGCAAGACCTTCTGGAGGCAGAAACTAGTTAGTTTTGAACTGGAGATGGAACGCCACAGGGTATGTCTGAGGTATGCTGAAGGAAAGCTGTATAAATAGTCAGGACGTGAATACCTAAAGAAATGTGAATTGCTAGGGGCCAGGGCAAGATTCGGTCTTCAAGTACTCGGATCTCGCGACAAGTAAAGACGCTGCTAGTCGGAATATCTGATCAGAGACGGTCAATCGCCGGACCACAAAGCATTGGATATAACGCTAATGAGCACCGTGTCTTGCCCTTGACAAGGGCAATAACAAGGTCAAATCAAACTCAAGCTCTGGAATGGAAGAGTGCATTGCTAAGCGCCAGAATCAAAAAAAAAAAAAAAAAAAAAAAACCCTCGGTGTTGGTATCTACCTGTACAAGATGTACAATCCCGGTTTTCTCTCTCTTTCTCTAGGTTTTCGATTCCTTTCATTCTAGTTGCGGATTTAAGCGTTGGTCTTCAGGGTGCGGAAGAAATCCATTACGCCGGTGAAGACAACAAGAAGGATACCACCTCCAGGGCCGAGACGGAGCACTTTGGGGAGGAAACCCTTGTACAGTGCACTGAAGCCTTCCTCCTTGGCAACTGTGGCAACGGCAGGCCAAGCCCAGTTGTACTTGGGGGTCAGTCCTGGGACCTTGGGGCTGTTCTGGATGCGGGACTTGACGACGTCCATGGGCGTGTTGAGGATTGTACCGACGGTTCCACCAATGGCACCGGAGATTAGGTCGTTAGTGACCTGGCCGGCCTTGTTCTCGGCCTTGGGGAGGAGCTCGCGGACCTGGAAAATGCAGCCAAAGTAGCCAGCGTTCCAAACAATGTGGCGCCACATGGTGCTCTCGAGGCCGTTGTACATGGCCAAGACACCCTCGGCAGCGATGGTCTTGCGGATGACGTCGAGCATGCCGGTGTATTTGCCGGCAGAGGCCTTGTCTTGTAATCTAATCTTGACGAGCTCGAAGGGGACAACGACGAAGGCCTCGGTGGCACCAGCACTGGCTCCAGTCAAGATGGAGAGGGACTGGTTCATCTTTGCGGCGCCGAACAGGTTGCGGTAGATCTTTCCCCACTCGTCGTTGGCGGCGAATTTAGTCGCACGCTTGGGAGCCTCCATGAGGATGGGTGCGGTGATTCCGCGGTAGAGTGTTGAGAAGCTATGTTTTGTAAGCCTGGCGAAGACACTTGCGAAGACGGAAGGGGTGGTTTCGCATACCCCTCGTTGCGGACAATCTTGCGGAAGCAGTCAACCATGCCATTGTAGTGGTCGGCACCTACGCCCTTGCCGGTTTGGAGTTGCCTGAACGTGCATGTCAGTCGGGGTTTGCACGAGCGGCTGGCGATTGAGCGGAGCTTACACTCGTGTCTTGACGACGTCCAAAGGGTACCTGTTGGCAGGTCAGCAGGTTGGCCACGTGAGCTTGTCGCAAGATTATTCTAGACTTACATGACCAGAATCTAGAAATGCGGAAGGCGTAAGCATATCTTAGCAATCCATTACCGTGTGGCATCGTTGTGTACTGACCTCCGAGACGCCGGCAATGGCGCCTGGATGTAGTGGTCAATATTTCGGGTCCGATATCGCGGCGGTGGGGAGGATCTCGGGGAACAAACCTGCAGCGAACTGGTACTGGAAAGGGAGGGGTTTGTCGGTCGACATCTTGACGGTAGACAGCTAAAAACAATTGGTTAGCTGTCAAAGAAGGGCAATGGCGGGTACAGTTGGGAACTCACCGAGGAGCAAAATCAATCGGGCGGGTTGAGATGCTTAGGTGGGAGGGTTTGAGGAAGGACTGGAGTGAATTGGATGGAGCAGAAAATCGAACGAGGCACGGAGTCTAAGCTTTCGCGGCAAATGGGCTCTTATCGCCAGGACCCCGGCGGACGTCTCTTATCGACCTTTTTGTGTAGCAAGTCTCCAAGTTACTGAGCGGCGCCGGACCCCACCAAGGCTGGCTCTTGCTCATCGTCCCTAACACTTGCGACGCCCATGATTGGTGCGCTCTCTCGAGAAAAGCGGGATTACGTACCTATTGGCATCTCGCTTTGGTACTTAGCATGGCGGCAAGCGGTACGCGACATCCCGGGGACCTGAGCGGGGGATCTTTCTTTACCCCAGGACCCGGGCCACCTCATAGTCTTTTTGGGCAGTCCGTTGCCGATAATTATGCATCTGCGAGGGTGAGACTGGTTCAATGTGCCGTCTGTTGCCGAGATTCGGGCAACGATTCCAATTCATAGGCGACAATGTTCAGCACTTGGCTTTTCCACCGCCTTGGTTTTGGCAGGCAAATCAAAATCGTTTCTGGGGTCTGCATTGAAGATTATCGTCGAAGACAGACTCGATCAACAACTGTTCTCTACCTGGACAATGATGAATAACGCACCAAGTTGTCTGTCTACACTCCAAGACCCATTTGAATATAACACTCCTATTCGGAATTCCAGGCCCGAGCAAGTTAGTTCAGGACGATGAGAATAACCACTTTCACTCACTGACACGTCCTATGCATCCAAATTCTCAAGATACCAACTCAGTTAGCTAGCTGACCGGCGTGGGTTGCCGACAACTTGAGGGCAAGCTTACCTACCTTAGCCTACGTTGTCCAGATGCCTCGGTTTCTTCTCACACACCATACAGGAGACAGTGGGCGCGACGCAAGCCTGCCGAATGAGGTACTGGTACGCGGCCCCTCGTGTGGTAGGCCGAATGCGATCCCGACGCTTACAGGGGCAGCACCGAGGCGGGGTGCAGCAGCTGGCGGGGGATAGCTAGCTCCCCACACTGACCTACCGGCATGGCTTAGATAAGCACCCAAGATAAAAGGTCGCAGCTGTTGTTCCGTTCCAAGGCTGCTGCAAGCTGGGGCAAGTTGTCCGGGGACTTGTTTCCAGGCTCTGCCCAAGTGAAGATGGATGCTTGGACATTCATATAAATTGGCGACTTCTGAAAATTCAAGTTACCCTACGTGTGAGAGAGCATCCGCGAAAGTGAATGTGAATGAATCTATTTAGGTTCCCAAGGTATTGATTAGATCACATTGTATGGCACAGAGTGACATCGACTTGATCGTATGAGCTTGATTGAGATAGGTACTCAAATGACACAGGCCAAACTACGACCTGTACCAGTGTAGGTAGTCTGGATTTGTTCACCTTGCCATCGCCGCGGCCTCTCGAGGTGATCATGTTCGGGCAAATATCCTGCAAATATCTGGACATGCCAGGACCAGGATGTCTTGCATTGTCTCCCGAGTCGCGATCCAGCGCTTTTCACTGTTGCGGCTTCAGGTGCACCACTGCAGAAAGCTAACCACCCCACATGGAGCGAGAACTTGGAAGCTTGTCTGGCCTGCAACCAGAGCACAAGCTCCGGACCAGGCGTCTGATTGGCTGCGCGATAACGGGCCAAAGTGCCTGTCACCCACGGCCCCGTGGAGCCGGGAATTCGCAGCGCGGCGGGCTCTGACGCGCACAACTGGCGACTGAGCTGAGGTGAATGAATACCTTCAATTTCCATCGCTAACCCCACCTCCGACTCACCTCCCTTCCGCAACTCCCCTCCCGCAACCTCCGATCTTGTCCAACCTTCCGTCTAAACCGACTTTTGCAACCATCGAACACAAAGCTCTCACATCCGCGACACCGCCCATAACACCAGATACTCTCGCCACTCGAGTATTACTGCTCTATCGTATTTTCAAGTTACGAGCTCAACGACCAAGTGGCAATATCGACAAACCCTTCTCTCATCTGGGGCTCTGTAGCATCGCAATATTTACCGTGCACCCTTTCGCCGCCCTCGAGCCGCATCGATTAAATACACACGATTCCGCTCTTCTCGCGCTCGGAATCGCACCTTTAAACAAGCCGTGATCCCAGAGACTCACAGCGAGGTGCTATCCTAGTGCTGGAAGGGTCCCTCACTTACCCTCTGCCCATGAGTCACCTACTTTGGAAATACTACTGGGAAAACGATGTCGACAGGTTTCGGCGTCTACTGGTTCCGGCCGGCCACACGGCACAAACCGCCACAAGGAGCCTGGGGATAGGTGCTGGACCCCTTGGGGGTAGTCCCGGACAATACGGAACCTCTCCCCGGAATGTTAAACAACGCAAATCCTCCGCCGTCGGCTTCGGTCCAGCCGGATCAAAGAACACCAACACAACTCTCGGAAAGGCTGAGATCAACAGCCGCGACCACGCTGGTCTGACAGTACTCCTCCGCGCTGCTTCCTCAACAGACTCGGCAGCCATCCTTTTCGTCCAGGCCCTGCTTGACCACCACTCGATCGATCTATATGTCCAAGACCCCGAGAGTGGCTGGAACGCTCTGCACCGAGCGCTCTACTCTGGAAATATCTCTATTGCGCGCCTGCTGCTTGAGCGAGAGCGCAAGATCTTGACGGAACAGACCTTGGGAGGCTCGATCGCCAAGGTTGGACAGTTGATAAAGACGAAAGACCGCGAGGGCAACAGCCCTTTCGATCTCTACAACTCAACCATCGCCGTTCGAATCCTGGGCGATTCTGGGAACTCTGATGACTCGGATATCGACTCGGATACAGATACTAGTTCAGATGGAGGGAAAGCGTTGATGAGATCTGTTGCCGCACTTGACGGCGCAGCGGAAGGCGAGGAAATGTTCGTTTTCGGAAGCAACCGCAACATCTCGCTTGGAGTGGGCGACGAAGACGACCGGCAGTATCCCGAGAGGATTAACCTGAAGCGCCCCGATGAACTTGTCCGCAGATTCTACCAAGAGTACCTAGAAAAGACCAAACCTGGGCCTCACGGCGTCGGCCTTCCAGAGGAAAATGTGGATTTGGAAGAGATTCCAGCCCTGATTCGCAATAGACCCTTGCGGATTCACGATGCTGTCCTTTCTAAGTTGCATACGGCTATATTAACAACTGACCCAGTTTCGAACTTGTACATCTGCGGTGTTGGCCGAGGCGGGCGACTTGGGCTGGGTGACGAAAACACTCAATATCGCTTCGTGCCGGTGCAAGGAGGTCTCGCTGAAAAGAACGTGGTGCAAGTTGCACTCGGCCAGAACCACACCCTGGCAGTCACAGACGTTGGCGAGTTGTGGACATGGGGCTCAAACAGCAATTCTCAGCTGGGATACGGCCTACCGCCGCCAGCCAGACAAGACGAAGAACCGATGAGCACGACCCCACGACAAGTATTTGGGACACTCAAGAAGGAGGTTATACTGGGCATTGCAGCATCTGCCGTGCATTCAGTAGCTCACACTTCTTCGTCACTGTTTTGCTGGGGCAAGAACCTCGGTCAGTTGGCGCTCATGGATGCGGATTCGAGATCCTTGGAAGTCCAGCAAACTCCCAGAAAAGTCGCGGCCTCGCTCTTCTCTTCCCCCATCGCCGCAGTCTCTGCTGTTGATAAAGCGACCACCGTCTTGCTGGCCGACAGTACCGTCTGTGTCTTCACGAGCTACGGTTACAATTTTGTCAAGTTTCCGTCCCCTGACGTCTTCGTAAATCACCAGTTCACTACGTCCATGTCGACAAGGTACAATTCAGCACGGAATCAAGTGAGTCGCATCACATCTGGCGGGGAGACAATTGCTGCCCTCACTACAAGAGGTGACCTCTTCACCATGGCACTGATTCACAAACCGGATGTGACTACTGCGGCTACCTCCACGACAAACCCAGCCAAGATCAAGGGTGCTGTCACGACACCACAGTGCGTGTGGAACGCTCGGAAGGACGGCGTCAAATCTGTCAGCGTTGGTGAACACGGCGCTGTGATCATCTGCACAGAATCTGGAGCTGTTTGGCGGCGTATCAAGCGGGCAAAAGCAAAAGATGCTGCCACACCGGGATCAGCAGACATCAAGAGAAAGGACTTCAAGTTCCAGCGTGTACCGAGCGTCACCAATGCCGTTGCTGTCCGGAGCTCCACGTTTGGTGCATTCGCGGCAATCCGTAAGGATTGCAATGTCATGAAGGAACAGATCAACATCAACGAGCAGTCGCTGTGGGAGGACTTTGCCTCCCTCTTCGTACTACGAGACTTCCAGGCATCGACGCCCGGCGCCGGCGATAAAGACACGATTGGATTCTGGAAGGCCGAGGATCTCAAGTATCGGATCGGGCAGCTGCCTTATGAATTTCTCAAATCCGTGGATTTGGAGCGTGACTTGCGACACTTTTTCCTGATGTACCCACACTCGGACGTTGACATGGATCTCCGTACCTCGTCGTGCCCAGACATTAAGATTCCGGTGCACTCGTGGATCTTGACGGCCCGAAGCTCTGTTCTGCGAAGCTTGCTTAGCGACTTTCGCAACGGTGGTCCAGGGGAAATTCCCCAAGTGCTCAGCCTGGAAGAGGAAGATGGCAGAACGACAATCACTGTCGATTCGGTCGACTTGCTTTCTTTAGTTAATTTGGCTGTTTACTTTTACGACGATATAGTCGTCCCGGCTTGGAATCATACTCGCCAAGCGCCCGCTCTAGCCCACAGGTATCGCCAGGTTCGGAATGAGCTCATGAAGCTTGCGACGAAGCTCAACATGATGAAATTCGAATCGGCTGTACGTCTGCAGACGACTGCGGAAAAGTCGCTAGACAAAGACTTTGCCAAAGCCATCCAGGATGTCAGGTACTTTGAGGATGCGGATGCTCTGGTTCAGCTCGACGGCGAAGAGGTACCGGTCCACAGCCGGCTGCTACGCCAGCGATGCGAGTTCTTCGAAGGCCTGTTCCATGGGCGAGCGGGCGGTATGTGGCTTGCCGGCCGTCGCGACGAATTAGACGATGAGGAGCTTGTTCGGGTGGACTTGAGTCACTGTGATCCTGAGGCATTCCAATATGTCTTGCGATACTTGTACGCTGACATCGGAACGGAGGTGTTCAATCAGACCACAGCAGCTACCATTGATGACTTCTCTGATTTGGTAATGGGCGTCATGAGTATTGCAAATGAGCTCATGCTTGATCGGTTGTCCCAGATCTGCCAGTACATCATTGCACGTTTCGCCAACACTCGAAACATCGCTCTGCTGCTGAACGAGATCAGCGCATGCTCCGTCACAGAGTTCAAAGACGCCGGACTGGAGTACATCTGTCTGCAAATGGAGGCGGTGCTAGAAAATCACTTCTTGGATGATTTGGAAGAAGATCTTTTGGAAGAGTTGAACAACATTGTTCGAGAAAACCAGCTAGCTCGCTACCCTTTCGCCAGAAGCGGTCGGGCCGAGCTCCTATTGTTTGAGAAGGATCCTGATCTGGCTCTCGACATCGACGAGGAACGCCGTCGAAGAGTGCGGGATATGGCGTTCCGGACTACGCAACGAGACGACGAAAAGAAGACCTCATCATCCTTCAAGACCAAATTTGGCAGTCTCGACGACTTGTCCGGCGCCACGTCTCCCAGTGTAGATAAATCTCGACGTAAGTCCAAGACTGGTCGCAACGAGCCTTTCAGTCCCAGCCTGAGACCGAAGGAGTCCCACGCCGATTTAATGTTCAATATGGACGACGAGGGGCCCTCTGGTCTGGGTAGCCCTACCATTTCACCCACACAGAGGGCTACCGAGGCCCAGATCCAATCCGATATGGAACGGCTGCCTTCGCTGCCTGGCCCCCGGAAAGGCACTAAAGGCCAGGGGGGATCGCCACAATATCCAGTGCAAAGCCCTCCGGTGGGTATATCCGCCCACCTCGGCATGATTCCGTCGCCAACAGACTCCCGTAGGCCGAGTGCCCCGAGGGCTGGCAGCCCGTGGGCAGCCGCAGCATTCCCAACTCAGAAGATGGACCTGCGTCGAGTTCTGACAGAAACGCCAACCGAGTCTGCATTGTCCGCCGGCATTGCTGCACAGAAGAACAAGGAGGCGTCGCCCAAGCCGGCTCAACTCAAGGTGTCGCAAAAGGAGCGGAAGAAGCAACAGCTGGTACAGGCCGCTGCACAGGCGGCTCTTGAGGCTGAGGTCTTACAGCCTAAAGCGGCCTGGGACAGGGAAGCGACCGGCAACAAACATGCGCCTTGGAAGGCAGTCACGAGCGGACCGAAGACGCCGTTGAAAGGTATCCTGGCCAAGGACTCGGCCAAACCGGCGTCACCACTGGCGGATAACCAGAACGCGAAGCCGTTGCTCTCGGTCGAGAGCACTGCGATATCATCGCCGCGGAGGGCCGCTTCGCCCGACACACGCTTCCCGGGCCAGGCCCGCATCAGCAGCTCCCCTGCCGTGGCGGGCGCCTCGACAAGTCAGACTGCATCGAAGCCCCTGGTGCCGCACTCCAAGTCCTACATCACCCCCGCGACCAAGGCCGAGCCCATTTTGGGATTGAGCATGGCAGATATCATTGGCCAACAAAAGCGGGAGCAGGAGATCGTCAAGGAAGCCGTCGCGAAAAGGTCAATGCAGGAGATTCAGCAGGAGCAAGAGTTCCAGGAGTGGTGGGACCAGGAGACACGGCGGGTACAGGAGGAAGAAGCGAGGAGGGAGACCAAGGACAAGGCGGCGAAGGAAGGCAGGGCCCAAAAGGACAGCAGACGAGGACGGCGGGGCCGAGGTGTGGCGAAGGGTAAAGCAAACGGCGGCGCTCTGGGTCAAGAACACGGCGCCGGCAATGTTGATGTCGGGGGGGGCCCAGCCAAGGCACCTAGCGGGCCGGCGAACAACCCCCGAGGGCGCAGCCACCGGGGCCGGGGAAGAGGTGGCAAAGCATCGACATCTACAGCGTCGTCTACATCGTGAACCCTTTCTTTTTTTCTATTTCGAAACTGATTTGCAGGCGTTTTACGGTGTCACGGAGCCAAACCCCAAGGTAAAGCACGTGGTTAGGTATAGTTACGTTGGGGAATCCCGGATTGGATTTTCTATACGACACGGGCGGACACTTTTGTTGTTCCAAATTGCTTTCCGCTTGGTCCAATAGACGAGAAGAGAGTTTGCTTTTAAGGCAAGACCCCGAGAGAGAGAGAGAGAGAGAGAGAGAGAGAGAAAAGAGACTTCTTCACTCCCATCCTGTACCACCACTCCCAAAGCAAACAAGTCGCACGGCTCGATTGACCGTTGTGCGCTAAAGATGGCATGTAACGAACTTGTGCTTTGATAGATGGGCGTTTTTTGCAGGGTGGATATAGTAAGGTAGGTAATACCATGTGACCGGGGGAAACGTTGCCAAGAGGGGCTACTCCGGGCCACAAGCTCCCCGCCATCGGCGAGTTTACCAGGATGCCGTGTCCGTTGATCAGGACGACTTCATGGCCCCTCGGATAGGTATGGATACAGATGTAAAAAGGGGACACGAGTGCTACTGTCGGGAGATGGGTTAGATCTGCAGACGCCGGATTGGATGCAGCGTGCCAGAAAAAGTCACCTTGGTTGCGTGGTAATCAATACTTGTTGACTAAGGTACGGACGGATACCCTAGTTTGCCTTATGTTGGACGGGTGCGGAGAGAGTGGGACCGGGCCCGAAGCATGGCCTTATCGTTATCTATAACAAGTAGCACAGATAAGATAATGGTCAACCAAAGGTGACGGTGGTGATGCTGATAAGGGGGCTGGCTAGCTGATGGATGTGCAGGTTGTTAGTTCATTAGCGATGGGTGCGATGACTCGTCCGCCCGGGCCCTGGGGAGAGGCTGCATATTACTTGGCTGCTCGATTTGGGATTGCCGCACCTGCCGCTGGGGGGAACTCGACGACAGGCAGCGAAGCGGCAAGCCAGATGAAGTAGGTCGTTCGGGGTTTGCCTACCTTGGTACCTTATACGGTGCGGGTTGGGCAGGCAGTGGACGGTGAATGGATCGGTCGGCGCGAGATGGACTTCTCGGACGGTGCCATTTATAGGAACCTACTAGAGGCTAGGTCCGGCGCGTCACAGATTCACCGCCTATGGGTAGACGAGATAAGAGAGGCGGGCGTAGACGGGGAAAAGAAAGGAAGACGGGTTGGCACTACGTCGGAGGTAGAAGAATTCCCGGGGTCAACCGAGGACCCGGGTGAGTTGAGTGCCTTAGTGCCTTAATAATGAAGAGTCGGCGGCGTGCATGCCAACTTCAGACCCTGCCATCCACCTCATCCACCTCATCTGCCTCTTCAAACTTCTCGTTGCCCTTGGTGGACTCGGGCGAGGGAAGGGTTGGCGACCTTGTTGATCTCGACGTTTACTTGATGGTTCTCAGCCGCAGGCGCGCCGGGGGTAGGGGGGGTGAGGGGGGGCACGGTGGTTTGCTAACAGTGCCCTGACCTGATAATTGTGGACAAGGGACATGTCGAGGCGATGAATCGAGCGTACCTTACAATGGTAGACAATCAATTGTGCGTGGATGGCCCGGCCTGGATGCCAGCTGTCAGCACCTAAGGCACCTGAAGTACCTGAAGTTGGATCGAACCCTAATTCTTGCCGCATTGCATTGGACGGGGGAACTTGCGCAAGGTAGGCAAGTTAGGTACTGTCTGCGATACAAGCCCAGTCGAATACAAAACAAAGAACCACCAATGCGGCGAGAGGACCGGCCTCGAGGCATGGCAGAGACGAGCAGAGCAGGCTGAAGCAAGTCTACGTACGGATACAACAAGACGCAAAATCACCCGAGGCGAGGGAAGAGTGAGTGAGTGACTTAGCAGAGCCGCCCACCATCCCTTACCTGTTACCCCGTCATTCCGCCCCCAGAACCCAGCCGTCATGCATGGGGTGGTGTTGAGGCCATTCTAAGGTCCGGGCTCGGAAGGGAGGCCGGTGGGCTTGATTGCCTGGCCACTCCATATGGTAGCAAGTGTTGGCATGACTGTAAGTGCGAGGTGCAGTCCCAGGCGCCCCAGAGACGTGCAGGTCAGCAAGACTTGATAGTACACATCCGACTGCTTTCTCGAGGGGTCGAGTGGAGGTAAGGCGACTCTGGCTGCTGTGGCTGCTGGCAGTCTGGGAGAAGAAGTTGAGCCTCCAAGTCGAGGTTAGGGTTGATTGTTGGAGATGGGCTTGGAGTTGGAGTCAGAGACGGAGTCCCTCTCTCTATACCGCAGGACGATGATGCCGACACTGACTCGGATGATAACCGGTGTCATCCTCTCTCCTGTTTCTTTCTTGTTTTCTCCGGTATCCTTTTTCCTCCCTTTATTTTCGTATTTCCTTTGCAATTATTGTCTACGGTTGCCATGGCTTGCCCAGGTCAGCTGGCGGAATCAATCAATTGAGCCCAGTGAAGCAACACAAAGACCCTGGGAGACTGGATGAAAAGCATATGCATTTCAGGAGATGAAAAGGTGGAAGAATGGGGGTATCTCAGCTGCCCTGGTCAACTCAACAAGCACGGCAGGGTAAGGTAGGTAGGCACACCGGACATGGACTTTGGAGCACATCAGTACCTCAGAGTACCTGAGGTAAGAAAATGGAAGGCAACACTCACAACACTCGTCGTCGGGCAAGGGGATGCAACTGCAAGTTGCAGCAACAAGCAACCAGCAAGTCCATACAAATACTATGCACTACAAGGCCATTTCCAGCGCCAGCAACACCTCCTCGCTAACCTCGAACTGCAGCACCTGTCCAAGCCCTGGCTCTCCCGTCCCATCCCACCCCATTCAAGTCAACCTAACGGAACGACGCATGTCTTTCCACAAACCAGCGGCCCACGGTGGTGTGTGTGTGTGTGTGTGTGTGTGTGTGAGTTGGCCCACTGCCCATCACAAATGCAGCCCCATCGCTCATCCCCCTGCTGCTCCCCCTGCTGCTCCATGCCATGCTCTGAAGCTGCCCGGCCCACGGATGCTTCCATCTTATTAGGGTGCCGGTGCAGGTGCGCTTCCGCTGCAGGACCCAGACCAGTTGGTGCCAGCCCAGCAGCTCCTCTCCTCCCTACCTACCTGCCTGGCCCTACCAGCCTGGCCCTACCACTCTTCTTCTTTCTCGCTCCCTATCGCTGGGGAGTCTCTCCAACAAGCTGCCCTGCTCCTCTCTATCTACCTTATATACGTATACCGCACCCTACCTTGCCGTACCTTATCCATACTCAGACAGCTACGACGAGAGATCCATGTCATCGGCTGCTCACTGTCTCTCCCTTCCGATCTCTCTTCATCTACCTCCCGTACCACCTCCAATCCAACTCTACTTTTCACCCTTCCTCTCTCTGTCTTTCTTCTCACCCTTCGACTAATTACCCAGACAACAATCCCTTTGTCTGTGTCTGCTTCTTGTTCTCTTTGCATCATCGGCTCTGGTCCTTGCGCCTTATCACCCTTGGCCCCCATTCTGCCGCTAAACCTCCGTCCCTTCTCTACCTTACTCAACCTTTTTTCCCCCGTCATCAATCATCGTACTACACTTTCTCTCGCCCTCGAGTCAGCATATACCGTCTGATCTTTCGGTGCCTGTTTCTTCTTCTGTGCCGTCTTTGGCCCCCCCTGCCTCTTCGTTACGAACGCATCAACAAGTATACATATACACCGCCTTGGTTGCTTCGCCTGAATTACAGCCCATTCTGCTGCCCCCCAGGTGACTCGATGACGGAAGGGTACTTGTCGACGATCACGAGGCTCAACAACCATTGAGCGGATGACACCAGCGCCGATAACCCCCGACTCGACGACCACAGGACAGCGACTCCACACATCATCGCCATCCATTATTCTCTAATTGCCTCTCTTTCCCTGGAACGTCACACCAGTCGCGCATTTTGGAGCGGCTCGTCTGCGTTGTTGTTGGAGGACGTGCTTAGGACCTTTACCTGCTTGGCGGAAGCTTCTCTCTGCTACCACCATTTCTCGCTTCGACCTGTGTACCCCCCCGTGCCGCCGTAGGCAACCGAGAGCCATGGTCGAAGCCACCGCCTAGCTTGTACATTTTCGCCCTCACCCTCGCCTTCGCCCTGCAGTTCTGCAGCTCTACCCTTTCGCGCCCTGAGCCTGTTCGTGCGTTATCGCTTCTCACCGTTTCTCGCCCGTCTCCACGTTGACATTGTCGTCGCCTTGCTCGCCGTTGCCTGCCTCGTCGCGCGCTTTTCCCAAAAGATCCCGCAGGGTCCCGCAATAACTGCTTTGTCTCCGTGCTACCGAGTTACCTTTCCTGACCAACCGATTCCCCTCGGTTCGCGCTCAAGGACTGGGGATATCGAGGTTTTGGAGTACCTATCGCAGTTGTCATGAAGCATGGATGAGCAGGTTCGGTACCACCTTGACTTCAACACCGCGAATATCCTCCCCCGCGCCGCCCAGAACTTCCTCTACGAATCCTCAACGCAGCTCATCATTATTTCCCCGAAGCCTTGCCTGATATCGGCGGCTCTATAGATCAATCTCGCCCTCGGCTTGCCCTCGGGGCCGCAACCCGCCAGACGAGATGCATCAACAGGCTCGACCCGCTCCACGGGTCTCCTCCCCCGCTTCTGCGCCCCAGACGAATCCCACAAGAACGAATAATCCGAGAGAAGCAATGCTCGGTACTCGCGAGAGAGCAAGCTCCGGAGCGTCTGGCCGTGATTCTACTGCGGCGTCGCCAACGGTCGAGAACCTGCCAGGTTCCGTGTCGGCTGATGCTGTCAAGAAGCTGGATCAGATAATTCAGGTGTGTAGGGGAGAGGTCGAAAACCGCTCCAGCCATGGTCAGCGACTAACTTCAGCTCAGAACTTTCACACCAAGGCCGCATCGTTAGTCCTGCAATCGCGTTTGAACCTCAAGCCCATATACGCGGCCCGTGGCTCTGGGAACAAGAAGCTTAACAAATGGGTAAGTGCTGGCTCGCCTGCAATATCTTGAAACATTCGCGCAACCGGTTATTAACGCCTGCGCCGCCCTAGTTCCAAATCGAGACAGAAGAGTTCGACGATTTCAAGGAGGAGCTTCGTATTTGGCGCAACTGCGGTAGCTTCGAGCATAAGCCCATGCCTCTCATTATCGAAACCTATCTCGATACATCACGTTTGACCCCTAGCCAGAGTCTAGTGATTGTGGACGAAAATGGAAAGAGATGGGATGTTATGGAAGCACTCAACTCGTCCGATTCGAGCGACGACGGCCGCTCTTTGCCCGCAAAGAGAAACACCGAGGTAATACTGGAAAGATGGCGCATTGAGCTCAAGACACTACCTACAACCGACCTTGATGACTTTGGCCCGATACTGCCAACCATTTACAAAAAGAGCATTGTCTTCTTTCGGTCTCTCTTCGTTGCAACCAGGATTCTTCCTGCTTGGAAGTTCTCTCAAACATCTGCAACGAAAGGTGTCCATCCTTCATTGGAACCCCGCTGCCGTGTCCGAACCGGCGAACCAGATACCGGTGGCCTTGACCGGCTGAGGCATCCGTTGTACGATGGCCGCCCGGATGTCGTAACCGATTACGTTTTTGGCGACTTGGAGGTACCTGTTGGTCGCTTCTATGCGTCTGTCACTTACAGGAATGAGTGTAACTTCAGGGTGGATGATTCAGAGGCGCTCTTGAGCTCGCGGTTCATGGGGGTTGATGAGAACTTCTTCAAGCCGTCACTACCTCAGCGAGCATCATCCACCCGGCGAAATGACACCGAGGTGGGTTCTCTTCCATCTCATAGAAGGAGCCGCACCCTTGCAGAAATGCACCAGACCTACGGCAGCCTCTCAACCTTTCACGGCGAGGGAGCATTGGGCACCAGTCCTATATCAGCCCTCAAGGCCGTGAAGCCCCCGGGGTCCGATACGAGCTCTCCGCCTGGATCTGCTCCAACGAGCAGCGAGCTGAACCCACCAAATTCATTACCTGTTACTGGTCTTGCAACGAGACCCTCTATGAAAGGCTTCAGTAGCAGTAGCCGACGTCCGTCTGTCTCGTTCCAGCCCTTCAAAGCTGGTTCGCTGTCTGGATCTCCCATCCCCCGAACGCTAGATTCTGAACCTCCCGCATCTCCAATCTCACGCGCAGCGGCACTTAATGCCCTTACACAACCTCGCAACCGGACGTCACTGACAGCAGGAATGCCTGCCACCCTCCGAGGTGGCCCTCTGCCGGCCGAAACAGCCGTTGTAGGCTCGCCTCGACTATCTTCGACGAGCCGGTACAGCAGCAGCTTCACTCATCGCAAAGGGCGCTTATCATTCGGCGGCGCTAGCAAAGCCGGCGATGATGAACAAGGCAGCAGCGGTCGGCAAAGCCTATCTTCGTCAGTGGCTCAGCCAGGTTCTGGTCTTCTAGCCGAGGCCAGTGGAGGCGGCAGTTCCGGATCGCTTCAAACAGATGACGATCAAATTTCAGAGTTTCTGAAGGCGCTGGACAGCAAGAAGACGCTCAAGAGCTTTGAATCAAGCAAGAAGGGTGAGGGCGCAACGAATCGGACAGTTGCCCAGCTTTCGAGGTTCCATCTCATGAAGGAGTCAAACCAGGCCCTCACAGACTCGATGACTTCGTCAATGCAAATGCAGCGCTCGTCAAGTTCATCCAGCCGACTGTTGTCGAACGTGCCTAGCATGGCCGCACCAGCGTCGGTTTCCGTCTCCTCCTCGCCAGGAAAGCCCCTCTCTCCTCACACCCCTCATACACCGGCTGTCCCTTCACGATTGAGCGAGAATTCAATCATCAACTACAACACGAGCCAGCCTAGAAGCGACCGTACCAACCCCAGCGCCGAGAACACACAGGTCCCTAGAGAGGACACGATCACTCAGGACGGTACTACTGCTATTGACATACCCATCTCTCCTAGAATCGGCACTCACCCTAGACGGTCCAGCTCGGTGGCACAGCAGAATCGCGCAATGGTTGATGACGACGATGGGGATCTTGCTTTCGCCGCCAATCGCAGCATCAGCTTGGGCGCAGAGGATCGCGAGCCGCCCACGCTTAGTATGTTGCTAGGGAGGCAGACGGAAGCAGAGTCTGCGTCTCGTCGAGCAGGAGCTTCGCTGCAGCCGACGGTAGATATTCCATCATCGGGTTCGGCAGAGATGATGAGGCAGGGTTCATCAGAAGGATCCAAACCTCCAGGTGGTCTGATGGCTGTTGCGCCATCCAGTTCACCATTTGGCAGGCGCCGGTACGCCGGCATGCCATCTACGCAAGGCCGAGGCCAGACGCCTCCCCAGTCCTCAAGAGGCAGCTTCACGGGTTCCATTGGACGGTACGGACGTGGTGAAAACGACTTGATGGACGAGGAGCCGCTCCTGTTTGATATGTCAGAGATGGATGCCCAGTCGCGGAGAAGTCTGGAGGAGGGACGCGGCGGCGGTAACATTGGTTCTGGATCTGGCAGTCGAGCCGAATTTGAACCTCGCGGTATAAGCCGAAGGGGATGGTGAGCAAAGTGCTCGCAGCGATGATGAGGGACAGTTTCCATTAACGATCTAGTTGAAGATGGTCAGGGATTGCATAAGGGCCGCAATTTTGTTAGGTTGTACTTGGGAGGAACGGCAGGAGAGCGCTTTTTTTATACTATTTTTTTTCCCCCAATGAGGCCTGAGAGGACCTGAGGGCAGGTCCGGCAGAAAGGGGTCACCGAAACGGCCTCTTTTTTATTCCCCGTCCATTCCCCGTTTTCAAGATACATATGATCGGGTCTGAGAGAGATAGGGGTTCATGGCGTTGGATGGGATCGGAATGCAAGACAATTCCAAGTGCCGGTAAAGACGGCGGGAGCACCTTGAGGTACCAAGGACATAGTACAGATACGATAGAAAATGCACAAAGACTGGCATGCATATATACACACTGCTAAGGACTATCTGCTGCCTTTGCGAGTGTGCGAAGAGTTTCTCAAGAGGGCCGAGTTGAGTCAAAGAAGCTGAGGTGAAATTCTGCGAGCATAAGCCACGAAAGCCTGGGGATAGGGAGTAGCTGTTGCCATGTTGTCCGGGCTTGTAGACGGGAGGATGCAAAGAGGGCGGGTGTCGTAATGAGCATGGCCTGATGTTGACACAGGCATCGAGGCTAATGCAAGGTGGAAAGGATTGGGGTCGTAAGAATACCTGTATACTTCAAGCAGTCACTAGCAGCGAGAGGCAGACCGGCCAACTGAGGAGGATGGAAGCTTAGAAGATGAAAAAGCATAGAGAAAAACCAACGGTGCCAGGCGTCTGGATGTAGCTTGACATCGTTGCTGGTGTTGGTTGGCTGGGTTCCCCGCAGGCTGTGGTGGTGTGGCGCATGTAAGACTGACGTTGTGGTAGGTATTGTAGGAATTTGTTTCTTATCCTGTTTTCCCTCTCTTACGGATACTCCTTTTCTATATCTATTCATACCTTACATCAAGCGGTCAGGGAAAGAAGGTCGCGAAACTAGACAAGATGCCGTCTTTGATTTCGCGGCTAGGCGGCGGTACTTGGGAAGCTTTGAAGCTCTGTGGAGAGAGAGGATATGCCGGCGATTGCAAGTAAAGAATAGCATTGCACACTCATTCTTGTACACTACATGGATAGGAAGAGCTTGTTGTGGCTCTTTTTGGGCAGCGGGTGAAGATGCTACTGGCTACCCTAAAAAGAGACTAAATGATCGCGAGAAGCCTCGGTGGGGCAAACCAGGACGCTGACCGACGACGAATAAGGCAGGTCGCAGAAAATACAGTTCATTTGAATCGACTGGTGCCATGGTCGCAATTGGGCAGGGGGAAAAGGAAGTAACAAAACAGCTAAATGCCCACGCGGTTGGTTACGCATGCCTCTACCTACCTTACCATACCTAGTACTAGGTATGTAGTTGTCGCGACTGCGGAGTGTCCAGTGAGAATTCACACATGCGGCGATGCAGCGATAGAAGATTGTTGGCTGCCTGGCCGCGGAGGAGCGAGTCCGCGTAATTCATGGGCGAGCCGCGAAACGAGCTCAGCCCCCTGCTAGATTTCACTGGGTTGATGACGACCGGCTCCCTTTTGGGCTCTCCAAGGCGCACCCGACTTCGGTGGTGGCATGGGTAGGTGACCAGCCCAGCATACTATGTGTCACTTTTTGCCTGTATTTGTATGTAAGAGATACATAGAGCATCTTCCCCTCCCCTCCCCTCCCCCACCGCATATCAAGGCACTTCCCTCGAGGAAAGCTGAGGAAAGGAAGCTTTCACTTGGGCGTGGTGGTGGTGGACTGGTGGTCCGGACCCGGTGACCACTGACGGCCCATGGCGGCCCATGGCGGCCCATGGCGGCATGGCCACCTCCCAGGTGCCAGGTTTCCCAGTGACCCTTCCCCAAGGCACCCGACCTCACCTTGCCTACCTAAATACCTTCCATGCCTAAGCGTCGGATAATTAGAAGCTGCTGATACTTACCTTACTACCTTGTTACTTTGGTTTACCGCAAAAGAGATCCGAACGAATATCCAACCTGGGGTAAAGGGCGACGAAGAGCTTGTGCGAGACAGCCACAAGATTCTGCCAGGCGTGCCTCAGCACTTACGTACCCATCACTGATTACATCAACCTTGGCGACCTTATCCATCACCTTCCTTTCCCTCGGGGTCACGCTTCGCCTCAGCACACATACACACACACACACCCGCGCAACATACCCACCGGGACGAGCCCCCAAAACACCCGCGACCTTCAAATCCGCCAACCGGGCCCCAAGACAGTCAGATCTACTCGACCAGGCCAAATCTCGAGCGCTTCCACGCCGCCGTACACGCACATTACCCATATTCAACGTTGCAACCCATCGCATTCGCCCAACCGACAACGACGACGACGACGACGACGACGACGACGACTACATTTCGCCTGACCTAATCGGCCACTCTACCCGCTCAAGGCATCTTCCTGCCGCCAACGCACCCACAATATATCCAACCACTTGAAACAAGACAGCTTCTCATTCCGCCGTCACTGTACAACATCCGCAGCGGCTCACAACTTCTACCCAACATGTTTCGAGCTGCCGCAGCTGGTCCTTTTGACGAAGGCGTCGGTACGTCTGCAGCCTTGGGATCAAACGGCATCATTGGTCAATGTCGCTAACCTGACCATCTTGCATCATCTAGCCAAGGCCACCGACGAGAACCTGACATCGGAAGACTGGGGAGCTATCATCGAGGTCTGCGACCGCGTAGGCAGCGACCAGAATGGCCCCAAGGAGGTCGTTCAGGCCATGATCAAGCGTCTCGCCCACCGCAACGCTAATGTCCAGCTCTACACCCTCGAGGTTAGTCCAACTTGTCCCCGTCTCCTTGCTGCGGCGCCCCATTGGGTTGAACCGTCACTGACCGCACCCCTTCCCCTGCGCAACAGCTCGCAAACGCCCTCAGCCAGAACTGTGGCAAGAATATGCACCGCGAGCTCTCAAGCCGAGCCTTCACCGACGCCATGTTGAAACTCGCAAACGACCGCAATACCCACACCCAGGTCAAGGCCAAGATCCTCGAGCGCATGAAGGAGTGGTCCGACATGTTTAGCAAGGACCCCGATCTCGGCATCATGTATGACGCATACTTCCGTCTCAAGCAGAACAACCCAACTTTGCAGGCCCCCTCGGCGCCCCAGAAAACTGGCCTGACCGATCTCGACCGCCAGAAGGAGGATGACGAGCTTCAGATGGCATTAAAGTTGTCGCTGCAGGAGGAGGAGAAGAAGAAGGCGCCTGCCGGGTCCAGCGCCGGTTTATCGTCTGCTTCCGCTGCCGCTGGATCCTCGACACAGGCCGCTGCACAACCCCAAACTCACGCTACACCCGTAGCTGCTGGCACGACGGCTGCTACGGTATCAAGGGTGCGAGCATTATACGATTTCGTTCCTTCCGAGCCGGGCGAGCTCGAGTTCAAGAAAGGCGATGTTATTGCAGTCCTCGAGTCGGTCTACAAAGATTGGTGGCGGGGCTCGCTCAAGGGAAAGACGGGCATTTTCCCCCTCAACTACGTTGAGAAGCTCACAGATCCGACTCCCGATGAGCTGGCACGCGAGGCACAGATGGAGGCCGAGGTGTTTGCAGAGATTAAGAATGTAGAGAAGCTGCTCACCCTCTTGAGCACGTCTAACACGGCGCCGAGAGAGGAGGACAACGAGGAGATATCCGTAAGTCCCACGGGCGCTACCTCAAACCAACCCGATGCTGACAAGCGGTCGCATAGAAGCTTTACCACCAAACGCTAGCCATCAGGCCAAAACTGATCAAGCTCATTGAGAAGTACTCACAGAAGAAGGGTCAGAGATGCTCCACTCGCTTGCCTGTGTCCCCTAGACTGACCAACCAACATGCAGACGACTTTACACAGCTGAATGAGAAGTTCATCAAGGCTCGCCGCGACTACGAGTCTCTCCTGGAATCGTCCATGTCGCACCCCCCTCAGCCTAGCTACCACCAATATGCTATGAGACCCGGTCCCGGCGGATACCCAGGCGGATCGGGGTCGGGTTACCCTCCCCAGGGTTCTCAGGGCCCCCCTCAGGGCCCTCCGCAGCAGCAGCAGGAGCAGAGATACTATACCCCAGCACCCCAAGGTGAACTACCTTGATTGCCTTCTTCCAAGCGCACCAAGTTTAACTAGTTTGTACATAGACCAACCACAATACCCCCAGTCCACGCCCTCGCCGAGTTTCCAGCGTCCGGCACAGGCAACGCCTGCTCCCTTTTACGTTGCCGGTGCAGAGGTTCCTTCAGCAAGCGGACCGCCTCACAACCAACCACAACAGTATCCCCAGCGTGACCAACGTATTCCATCCACGGGAAAGGCACAGGTGCCTCCGATCAACACCTCGCCAACACCGCCAGCCAATGCGTATTCCGCGTACACTCTGCCTCCCAATCAAAGGCCACAGAGCACATATGGCCCCCAGGAGCTGGCAACGTCTGTGTATGACTCGCCTATTGCTACCCACAACCCGAGCTCTGCTGCAACATACACATCATCCGTCTATTCACAAGACGATTACAACAACGGTAGCCCCGTCGTAGGTCACTCGATCGTCCCAGCCCCTTCGTCTTTCCAACCATCGGCACCACCAGCCGGGCAGCCTTCAAAACCACCTCAACAACCGCCGCAACATCACCAGCAGCAACAGTACCAGAGCTACCAGCCACCAGGAGCTCAGGGACAGGACAAGTACATCAGTGCCCCTACTCAGGCACCGCCGCCTGTACCGACCGGGGCAGCTCCGCCTATCCCTGGTGCCGGTCGATCTGAAGTGTTGACGCCGCCTCCCCTGCAGCCTGGCGGCCCAGCCTACGATGCCAGGAACAGTCTTCCGAGCCAGGGCCCCTCACAGCCGCAGTACAGAGCGTACGTTCCGCCAGGTGGTGCTGCCGATGGACCGAGCGCACCGCCCGCTGCGGACTACTACCGACAGAGTGGCGTTTACTAGACGCAGGGACGGGACAATAATGGCGTTGATTTCAAGGAGATGGGATGGCCAGTCAGAAGGGAGGCCATCTGGTTGTTCAATGACGTACATTCATTTCGCCGGACGGTAGCTATATCTTTAATGGCTTCTATTTATTGTGTGTGGGGAGGCATCTTGGGCATTCGCGGTCGCCGCCGGGCCACACACGTTGTGAAGTAGTTGATTGTATTAGTTGGACTGGGGGAGGCGAACGGTATTTGGAGTTGCGAAGAAGCCCATGCATAGGGCCTTGTACCCGACATGGCGGGCAGTTTGTTCATTGCGAGGAGGGCGGTGTGTGAGAACCTAGTTGATGTAGAAGGAAAGAATAAGGGAGGTAGGGTACATGAGAGGCAAAAATCTGTACACTATCTCGTCATTCGTGTCTTTCTTCCTCCTAATGTCAATTCTATATTGAACTAGTGCGATGGAGAGCGGAGGGTGCATCAATCCTCACATACTGTCTTGCATGTGAAGAAGTATTCGTCGCCGTAAAGCTAGCCAGATCAGACGGGTTGTGCGATCAAGAGAAGACGTAGTAGAAAGGGAGTCAAGGGTTTGGTTTGGAGCAGGAATTGATCAGACATCTTTTGATATTCATTTTTATTTTGAGTCGTATCATAAAAAGAGAATCCTACAACTCTAATCGGCCCATCAACACAGGCAAAGTCTTAAACAGTGTCTCCTTGAGAACCACTGGCTTTAGGGATGAAGCCGCCATCTACACATATAGCACAACTCCTAAGCGTATACCGCCTTCCTCATCATGAGCAAATGATTTCCTTCGACTCCTTGGTATGCCAATAAGCAGAAGGTCTTTAGTTTACCATCGCCGGCCAAACATCTCGTGCTCAGGCTTCCTTAGCGCCTTCTTCTTTCCTGCCACCAAGCTGGACTCGGGGGACCCTTGCCTGCTCGTTCTGGCCGATGCGGCGTGGGAGGACGGGTCGACGGGGCCATCGGCACCACGACCGGGCGCATCGGAGGCATCGCGACGGAACAGGTCCATGATCTCCTTGAATCCGAGCTTGAAGGCATCCTTTTTCATGCCGCCCTCGATGGCCGTCTCGGCGAGCAGGCGTTTCTTCTCCTGCAGCGCGAGGATGCGCTCCTCGACTGTATTCTCCACGGTGAGCTTGTAGACGACGACGTCGACAGTTTGCGTGAGACGGTGCACTCGGTCGATGGCTTGTTCCTCGACAAACTAGAAAACAGATTGATCAGTATACTGGTGAAACTTCGATGATCTAGACGCTGTCAAGCTTACAGGGTTCCAGAAGGGCTCCAGGATAATGACGCGAGTCGCTGCAGTCAAGTTGAGACCCAAGCTACCGCATTTCAGACTGCAGAGAAGGATGCGCGTGTTCTTGTCGTTTCGTAGACGGTGCAAGCTGGCCTCACGCTCGTCGTTTTTCATACTGCCGTCGTACCGAGTAAACTTGAAACCCTCCTTGCGAAAGAAAGGTTCGACGAGGTCCATCATGGACGTAAATTGCGAGAAGATGATGAACTTGTGCTTGCGGACTTCCTTGTGAAGGATCTTCATCATTCCGCGAATTTTGGCGGAGGCCAGAATCTGAGATGCCATGCCCGTAGAGTCGTAGTTGGTGTCTTTGTCGGAATAGAGCTCCGACTGATCTATGCCCGTATCGTCGTCTTGGCCCATGTCGTCGTCTTCCGAGTCAGCGTCGGAATCCGAAACAGGGGACTGCGAAGATTTGAGTTTCTCCTCCTTGACTTGCGACGCTATCGCTCCTATTGAAGGGAGGCTGTCGTCGGAGGCGTAACTATGCTCAATGTCCTGTTCGTTCTTGACTTCGTTATCCTTGACGACAAAGCTGTCGAGCTGACTCTCGTCGTCTTCGTCTTCAGAATCGTGCTTGGAATCATCCGAGTCAATCCAATCGCCACCTCCCTCTGCATTCTCGTCCTCTTCACCGCCAGCCTTGCCCATCCGCAGTTGGCCCTGCTGATCCTCGGGCACAAGCCAGCTACCGTCTGCCTCTTCGTCATCACTATCGACGACGACATTCCTGTTCCTGGGTCTCCTGGCTTTGGGCTTATACGGGCTTTCATCTTCAGCATCTTCAGCCTCTCCTGCCAAGGACTTCCGCACAACCTTCTTGATAATGCCCTTCTGCTTCTTTTGTTTCCTTGAATTCGGCGTCTCGTGCTCGTTGAAGTACGTCAGGTCGTCGTTACACTCCTGACAGGTGTTCTTGCCGCTATTGGTTACGTTTCGCGGTAGGTCATAACCGCAGATGTCGCATGTCTTTGTGACTATGCCCATTCCGCCAAACATTTCAGCAAGAGAATCAATGTCTCCTCGTGCGGTCTTCGGGGCCGCGTCAGTAGACAACGCATCACTATCCTTTTCGAGCTTGCCTTCAAGCAGCTTTGGATGGTTACAAGCTTGTCTGAGCCGCAGAAGCAGAACCAAGGCATTAGCGTAGTTGATCTTTCCCTGGAGCATTCTCTCGATGCTCTTGTCGGCTCGAGCTTCCAGCCGGGTGTAGAAACGACGCTCCGCTGGGGAGAAAGTTGTGGCAACTGTGAGAACCTTCCGCTCCGTGACCTTGAAGCCGGTAGTAGACTTCTCGCCTGCTTTGATCGGCTTGCCGCCAGGATTGAGGGCACCGTCTTCCTTGAGAATTTCCTTCGTACGGCGCTTCATGAAGCATCGCAGAAGGCTGTGAAGCCGGCCAATCGCCACATGTCCCTTGCCATTCTTGAGAGGCTTCTCGATCTGCTCTTTCCACTCCCTTAGATCATCGTAAGGCTTGATACGGAGGAATTTTATAAGCGACTGCAGCTCTTCCAAATTATTCTGCATCGGAGTTCCTGAAAGACACCATCGATACTCTGAGCGTAGGGCGTAGCAGGATTTCGTCGACTTGGCGTTGCGGTTCTTGATGGTATGGGCCTCATCGAGCACGACCCGCCACCAGTGGAGGCCGAAGCAGCCTGCTTTGACACCTTTCTCATCTTCGGTGGAGTGACCCCATTCGGACACCAAGACTTGGTAGGTTGTGACCACGACATCGTACAAAGCCAGGTCCTTGAATCGCTTCGTGCGTTGAGGTCCATGGTGAACGCAGACCTTGAGCCCGTGCGACTTGGTCACCTTCTCTTTAATCTCCGACTCCCACTGCCTGATCAGGGCCAGAGGCGCTACCACAAGCGTTGTCTTCTCGATGCCATCGAAATGCTTCTTCCAGCCCGGTTCGCCGTTCTCGGGCTTTTGGTTGCTGAGCATCAGGGAAATGGTCTGAAGAGTCTTGCCGAGACCCATGTCGTCTGCCAGAATACCACCCTTGGGTACTTTGCCTTTCTTCACCGGGCCAAGTTCGCGGCCTCGCATCCACTCCACGCCTTCGACCTGATGAGGCAGGAGCTTCACTTTGAGACCCTCCACGGTACCGTCATTCACGGCCTCCTCTTTCTCATCATCTGCCCCCTCCTCCTCTGACTCCATTCCACCCTCCAATAAAGCTTTCAGATCGGCCGATGCTTTCGCAGGGTCTGTGTAGAACTCGTTTTCTCCAAAGTTTCCGGTGTATGTGTAAGTCGAGGGGTTGGCGTCGGGGCCTATGGAGCTATACAAGGTGCGTGGCTCAGGCTTCTTATCTTGGTAAAGGGGAACAGATGGCACAGCCATCTGCTGAGGTCGATGGTGCTCCGGGCGCGACCTTCGCTCATTAAATATACCTGTAGCCTTTTGCTTAAGAGAAGACAAGATCTTGGTAGGATGGCCAAAGACTGGCTGCGAGGACGAGGGATGGAAAGGGTCGTGACGCTTGACATCCGAAAAGAATAACTCCAAAGCATCGGAGTGCAGCCTTGACTGCTCTTGTTGCGAGCTTGGTTCGCTCTCTTTCGAAGCTGGTCGGGGTGGTTGCTTAAAGTCATTGCGGGATATTTCGATCAGGTCAGGGCTCGATGGGCGATAGACTGGCGCGTTGCGCTTCGCAGACGAGTTGGGGACCGCTGCGGGCGGTTTCGACTTGGGTGTGGTAGACAAGCGCATGGCATCGACTTGAGCGGCAAGAGCTTCGGGGTCAAAGGAAATTGTGTCTCGACTTCCAGCTCGTGGAAGTGCATGAGAGATGCCACGAGGTTCCTTGCTTGTGCTGCTTATCTTGGGAGGCTCGTGACTAGTTGAGGACTGCGAATCCTCGTTAGGATCGACCGGACGCAAAGGGCCTCTGGCCGGGTTCCTTTGGTTGACCATGAGGGTATAAACTAGGCGCGAGCCGTCTTCGCGACCGCTACCGGAATGTAGGGTTTGTTTGCAAGGCGATGCGGGGAGACCGGAGCGTTTCTCGGAGGGAATCGTGTTTCTGGACTGGAAGGAGATGTCGGGGCCTGGTTTTCTGTAGGTTCCACTGCGAAGGGGTCAGTCAGATGTTGGTCTCGTGGAGGGGTAGATTCAGAGGGGAAAACAGAATACAAGGGGGGGAGAAGAAAAACAAGCGAATGTGGGCTGTACCAATTTCATAGAAATTTCATGGGGGGGATCGATATAGCGCCAGGACTATGGGGAATCTTGGTGGTGATCGGTTGCTTCTTGTAGTAGAACGGTTTATCGCGTCTAGGAAGCTCGAAATATGTAAGCAGACGCGATTGTTGGGGACTATGCCTAGATGTGAATGGGATATGGAAGCCAATGCTACCACCTACTTCGCAATGACATAACTCTCCCCAGCAACGGGTAGGCAACCAGCACAACGCCACAACTTTAGCTGCTGGGGGTCTGATGCGACGGTGCACGCCTACTACCTACCTTGAGTAATGGACAGTGCGGGACTCTAACCCGCACGCCAAGTCATCTACTTCACCGAGACTCACCGAGACTCACCGAGGGCATGGGCGACACTTTAGTTTGCCGACTAGCAAATAAACCTTATCTTCTAATTCAACAGTGGTTCTAATTTCTAGATGGGGTATCAGTATAGGGATCAAAACCAACACGCCTTTTCGTTTCCGTTCGAGCTCTCAAACGCTCTTCCCCGGTGAGCCCTGTCGTGGATGATTCGTCCAAAAAGAAGTTCAGAATATGGTCGTGCATCGTGAGGTGCGATGCCTGCTGAAATTCTTGCAGGCTCGTCAGTCGAATCAGCATCTCCATGAGTGAAAGAGATGTGACGACGGAAACAAACGGTGATCTTGCCACGAACGAATCCGTGCTGTCCGGCGAATGTTTTGCCATTTCATTTGAGAAGGACTGCGTTGGCGCGTGTGACCTCATACTTCTACTGGACGGGGAAGACTGCACAGATAGGCTCTGGATCTGTGCCATGAGTCTTGAGTCTAGCGAAGTCCTCGAGCTTCGTTGAGCTGGCATTGGAGACCTTCTTGCCGAAATAGGCGTCGCGACTGTTGGTAACTTAGGTAGCTGCTCAAGAACATCTTCGTCTTCAGTATCGCTAGTGTCCGACTCATCCTCTTCGAAAACCTCCAAAGCAATCCATTCCGGATCCAAGTGGCTTGGAAAGCTCCTACGAGAGCGAGAGGTCGCAGGATCAGGCATTGCTTGAAGCATATCCAGCGCTGCACTTTCTTCCCGAAGTTGCCTATCGATACCATCCTGGTCATCTGTCTCTTCCGAATCGCTACCAGCCTCGGAGGCTGTTGGTGAGTCTCTTCCATCCTGAAAAGACATAATTTCCTCTTGAGTCTTGAGAGGTGGCTTGGCGAGGACGTCCCGTTTCAACAGCAAGACAGGGTTGTTGTCGCCATCGTCACTGCCAACGTTGAGAATCCGGCCAGTATTAGCGTAGAAAATCCTGGATATTTGATAAATTGGTATAGACTCGCGAACACCGGCGCGGCTGATGCCGTCGTATGGTGCGCATTCTGCGTCCAGATCGTCATGAGCTCGACCATCATCCAGGTCCTCGATGATTTCTAGGTGGTAGGCATACTCGTTGCGCTGGTCGACGCCGAAAGCAGTCGACCGATAGAACCCTGATTCGTCGTAGTTGCGATCCCTGGCTGTTGTCGGTTGAAAGCCCTTTTCAGAGTCGAAAACATGCTTCATGGGTGTCCGACATAGCCGCACTCTGGCTTTGTGAATGACCTCTTGCCACAATGGTTTGCGTTCTCCATCACCAATGCCGTAAGCTTCAGCTTCTTCATTGAAGGAGCTTTTCTGAGGTGTTTGCGGATTCTCGGCATGGCTCTCTGCGTGTGTCCTCCTAGATTTGGAAGCTTTTGAGGAGTGACCGAGGAACAGCATATAGATTGATAGTGTGAAGACGGGTCCAATCTGCACCGGGCGAGTAGGATCGACGGCAAATTGACTATCGCCATAGGTCAGGAACGTTCCAGCTTGCAAGAACCTCGAAGGCGATATGTTAGGGGACATGGAGGAATTCAAGCTCTCCCCTGATGCGGATATGGCCATATGCAAAAGGGGGATATCGTTATCCAGCTGGGCCAAGAGATCTTTCATATCCTTGATGATTGCTTTCAATTCTTCAAAATGCTGCTCAGAGTCGATACTTTGTCGCGAAGACACCCGCGATGCTTCCCCTGCTTGAGCTGCTAGCTCCACCCGGCGGCCTAGGGCTACTATATCTCGACGAAGACTCTTGGCCAGAGGAAGGGCTGACTCCAAGAAGGCATTTCCTCTGCCTGATCTAAATAGTTGTCAGCAAAAAGTCTTGTTTCTCGGTGAAAGAATTGTGTACTTGAACTCTATGAGATCTATGGCAGGAGAGACGATCTGTCAGCCAGGTCAGCATGTACGAAAATGTGATCAAGAATGTGGTTTCTTGCCTTAATTTTGCTATCTAGTCTCTTCTGGAGCTTCTTGATATCTGAGCGAACAGTCCGATCGTCGACAGTCTTCATAAGGCGTGAACACTGAGAAAAGGCATAGGTCGAAGTCAAGGCAATGCCTGACCTGATGGCCATGTTCATTGCCTGGGCTCCCAGCTTGGCAAGTAAGGCGTCCATGGCTGTTGAGATCCCATGCTGTAGTGGTATGGAGAAGGACAGATTGTGAGGAAAATGCCCAGCCAGCAGATTGTTTTGGCTTGCAGGTTGTCATACGAATAAGTGAACAAAGAAAAGGACGTCCCCCTGCAGCCAGTGGTGATTTATTCGACCGGGATACCTAAGGCAGGTTGCCATAGGTGAATCTCGAAGGTGACGGGATCGCAAGGCCTTGTCAGTCCATGGAAGCCCTGCAAGGATCCGTAACTAGGTAAGGTAGGTACGGTAAGGTAGCTATACCCACTGACCAGTAGTACTTGGACGCCTGAATTGGGTAGAGGTCCAGAGCACAGTGCGAACTTAGTCACCAGCCCCGCACTTCTCACGTGCAAAGGCGAGGGGCAGGATGGATTTTGCGGTACAAACTACCCCTCATTGGCTATGTAGCAAACAGTGCGGTGTCTACCTTAGGCAAAGTGACAGAGTGACAGAGTGGCAGCACCCCGCCGAGTGGTGGGGCCCGCACTTCAAAACGTTCGTCAGGTCTCGACGCTAGCAGACACGGAGCCGCTGCGTTATATCATTGAAAAAATGAGATGGCCGGGTGGGAAAAGCTTCGAGAAAACCGACCTGACAACTTACCAGATACTTATCCAGAGAGGCAGGACAAAACCACTGCTTGGGATTCAGGCGGCATTCATCAGCCCTTAAAGTGAGTCATCCGAGCCCAACTTGAGTCACATTCTCTCCCCGTAGATACTTGCATTGTTGCTCATCTTTCGCCTCCCGACGTGCCACTCTTCCTCCACTGTCTGCTGGTGCGACGTGCGACTGAGGCTGCCGTTCACGTCCGCAGGAAAAATAAACCCTCCAGCCCCTCTTTAAATCTTTCTCGGGACGCATCTCGTTAACGACCCATCCCACTTCTAGCTCACCTCTGGCCGCATTCTTCCCCCTCCCCCGATCCCGCTTCCGACTGTTGTGCAAACGATACCTCAATCCTCGATAATCCATTCATTCATCTGCCGCCCCGCTGCAGCCCATCACAATGTCGAACCTCAACTCGTGGGAAGACGACCCATCCGCCCAGGACGACAACCTGTCGCGCCAGGCCCAACAGCAGCTCAACCTCAATCAGCAGAACCCTCAAGCGGGCGCTTTCCGTCCAGGCGGCTCTTCCTTCACCCCAGGAGCCTCTTCATTCACCCCCGGAGCTCAAGCTTTCCAGCCCGGCCAGCAATACGGTGGCTATGCCCAACAATACCAGCAATACTACGGCCAAGGCTACGGTGCTCCCAGCGCTGCTGGCGCTGCTGGCGCTGCAGGTGGCTACCCTCAGTATGGCGGCCAGCAAGCATTCAACCAATACGGCCAGGGCAACTATGGTGGCAGTTACCCCCAGCAAGGCTACCAGCAGCAAGCATACGGTACGTTTGAGACATCGATATGTCATCAACTCTGCTATGTCAGAAACCTAACATAATCAACCTCCAGGTCAAGGCTACGGCCAGTACGGCCAGCAACAGCAACAGCAGCCCCAAGCTGCAGCACCTACCATTGCTAAGCGTCCGACCGACGCCTCGGCCTCTGGTTCCAACACGCCAGCTCCCGGAGCCGCACCTCAACCCGCACTGAAGAGTGAGGGCGGTGCCAAGATCTTGAGCATCGGCGGCGACGCATCTAAGCCGAAGGCCAAGGTTCTGTCCATTGGCGGCACTGTTCCCCCCAAGGAGGATAAGAAGAAGGAGGAGCCTCCCAAGGAGACCTCCTCTGCAGCTGCAGTCGAGGCCGGAGCCAAAGCAACCGCTTCCAAGGCGATTGAGAAGACGGGAGCTTCTACCACTAAGTCTGGCAAGACTTCCCCTGCTCCTTCGTCAGGCCGTTCGAGTCCCTCTGGGCCGGAAAAGAAGGGAGTCGTGAGAGATGTCGACGCCGTCCAAAAGGAACAGACGGCCGACGTTGACGAGGCGACTTTGAAGGAAATCTATGGAAAGGAGCATGTCAACATCATTTTTATCGGTCACGTCGATGCCGGAAAGTCAACCCTGGGTGGCTCGATCCTCTACAACACTGGTATGGTCGACGAGCGGACAATGGAGAAGTACAAGAAGGAGGCCAGGGACATTGGCAATCCGTCCTGGTACCTGTCTTGGGTCATGGATCTGAACAAAGAGGAACGGTCACAGGGTAAAACCATTGAGGTTGGCAGAGGCTACTTCGAGACGGAGGTACGACGATACAGTATTCTCGACGCCCCCGGCCACAAGACATATGTCCCCAACATGATTGGTGGTGCCTCGCAGGCAGATGTTGGTATCTTGGTCATCTCAGCCCGCAGGGGAGAGTATGAGACTGGCTTCGAACGCGGTGGCCAGACTCGTGAGCACGCCATGCTTGCCAAGACCCAAGGTGTCAACAAGCTGATTGTTGCCATCAACAAAATGGACGATGCCACCGTTGAATGGTCTCATGAGCGTTATCAGGAGTGCACGACCAAGCTGTCCCAATTCCTGAAGGGTACCGGCTACAACCTGAAGACGGACGTCTTCTTCATTCCCGTTGCCGCACAGCAATCGATCAACATCAAGGAGAGAATCGCCAAAGGCATCGCTGACTGGTACGACGGCCCGTCATTGCTTGAGTACCTCGACGGTATGAAGGCTCTGGAGCGCAAGGTCAACGCGCCGTTCATGATGGCTGTCGCCGGCAAGTACCGCGATCTTGGGACCATGATTGAGGGGAAGATCGAGGCTGGTGTCATCAAGAAGGGCATGTCGCTCGTCATGATGCCCAACAAGCAGAACATTGATGTATCTGCTGTGTACGGCGAGACCGAGGAGGAAGTGCAGGTTGCGCAATGCGGTGACCAGGTCCGCATTCGTCTTAGGGGCATCGAAGAAGAAGACATCATGCCAGGATTTGTCCTGTGCTCGCCCAAGCGCTTGGTGCACAATGTCCAGACTTTTGAGGCTCAGATCCGTATCCTGGAGCTCAAGAGCATCTTGTCAGCGGGTTTCAACTGCGTACTGCACGTCCACGCGGCCATTGAAGAGGTGACTTTCGCCGCACTGCTGCACAAGCTGCAAAAGGGCACTGGCCGCAAGAGCAAGCTGCCTCCTTCGCACGCGAAGAAGGGCGACAGCATCATCGCCCGTCTGCAGGTCATTGGCGGTGCCGGATCCGTGTGCATTGAAAAGTTCGAGGACTACCCGCAAATGGGTCGCTTCACCCTTAGAGACCAGGTTCGTTGCATGCCTAATTTCAACACGTGCTCACCTGACGCAACTGACACACGGGGTTTAGGGACAAACCATTGCCATTGGCAAGATCACGAAGCTGATTACGGAGGAGACATCTTAGGTTGACACCAGATGACACGAAACCAACAGCTGACTCAGGCGGAGGGAGCGAGCTGAGCGCTTCTTGAATTTGGCAGGTGCAGGGAACGTTCGCAGGAACATCATGAACTTGTTCTGGGCCATGATGAATATCCATAGAGGGCGGCGCGAATGTGTGTAAAAAGAGAGAAAAGCGAGGTCATGGGAGGGGGCGGCAATGCCGCGACACGAATGGGCCGCGCCAGGCTCGGCATGAAGGACCCGTACGTGGCACTCTCGGAAGAAGAGGGTAGGAGGATAAGGGACAGGAGAACGGTTCTAAAACTCAAAATCATTCTCAAACCTTGTCAAACAAGCGCATGACGATGGCTTCATGTTTTGACCCTGTGCGTGGTGCGTACGAGGGGCGACTTTGTGCGTGAAACAGGATTGACAGATTCCGAGGTGACTGCGTGGAACTCTTAGGACTTCCGAGAGATCCCGATGATAAGGGCATTCTCGGGGCGGCGGTGACGAAAACTCAAGGAGTGATAAGAATAGCCCGCGGTATCGGCAGCTCCGAGTTATTCTCGTGCTGGAGAGGGTACCTTGGGCCAGTGCCTTGACTTGGAAACTGGACAAGGAAGGGGGCAGAAAAGTTGGTGCAGTGGAGCCGAGATATGATGGACCACGGCAATCTACAGTGGGGCGTAGCGGAGCCGAGGGGAACCCGGCCTAACGGAGGCGTGCCAGTTCCAACTGACTTGTCGCGCTGGGAGCGTGTGTAATGCATATGTTTGTCCCGAGCCGTCAGTGACTACTATGTAGACATCGTGGGGTTGGTGGGAAGAAGGGACTCAGGGAGGGAGCCTCCGTTCGTGGCCAGGCCAGTCCACGGGAAGTGCTGCAATCTCAAACTTATTTTCTTTTTCTTTTCTTTTTGTTTCTTTGCCCTCCTCATTACCCCAGGAATGAAAACGTGCAAGCTTTGAGTGACCATTTACCCCATGCTGGAATCCGGACTTGGCCTGAACCAAGTGAGTCGGTGACCCCTTTTCTCTGTCACATGGCTCTGAAGACGAGCTAGGTACGTAATGCTAACGATTGTCAAAGCGAGGAACATGACATGGCGCGCCCTCGTAAACACATCATCCCCAGGCTAGCTCGCCAGGCACAGAGGAATTTCACAAAAAAAAATTGACGGAACGGCCGTGGGATCAATATTCAGCCAAAGTGGCCTCTGTGCGAGTCTTGACCCCCTGCATCGAGTTGTGTCATAGCCCTGAAGGAACAAAACAGATGCATAAGTGACGGTTGCACACTAATGCTTTTCCTTATCTGTTTAGTCCAAAATCGGTCAATCTGATACAATCAGCCTGGTGAAAGAGAAAAGCTGGGTTTTCCGAGCAGTCGGAAGATTTCGGAATAAGAATCTGGAGTTTGGCTTTTATGGTTGAATAGCAACTCTCATTGGACAAAACAAGTGGGATGCGGGGTAGCCTGCATTAGCGTATTCGTAGGTACCCAGGCATCTATCTAGGTATCTGTATTTGTACGGGTAGACAACCTTGGAACTGCTCGATGTGGACTCGTGGAGGGGCAATTTAGGGGAGGCGGCCCTCGAGTGTGAGATTTGAAGCGGGGCTAGGCGGCTCTCGATGTGAGGTAGCCGCAACTGAACGTCATCTTTTTGTCAGGTTTCGGGGCTCATCCCGTCTAAGCCAAGAAGAATTATGCATAGGCGCGAATAGATTCAGAGCTGTTGTTACGTCTTCCATGCACACACCTCGCCCCCGTAAAAGCCCGATCGAGAATTACGGAAGACGGGGGGGGGTGAGCATCTCATAGACTCACGAAAAAGAAAAAAAAAAGCAGCGGAGATGGATCGTGGTACCGGTAGGTGTTCCGTTCCACGCATTGCATTGCCGCGATGCGTTGGCGGGGTGGCTTAACAAGCAGAGCAGACACGCGCGCACGCGCACCCACAATGATTCCGACTCCAGACATCGGAATTGTGTCTGTTCCTAAACATTATCGTGGACGCTGTTTCAGCTTTCTTTGCATAGATAGAAAGCAGCTGACGGCAGTAATGCGCCGGTCAGAGCAGCTGGAACTTGACAGGAAAGGTTCAAAACTGGACGCAAGTACCAGAAAGGCAAAGGGTGAAAGCGTGACGGAAGTACCGTGAAGGGTTCGAAGGACTGCCTCAAAGCGGGGACAGAAGATGCAGTGAGGGAGAAGAAGAATCAGAAACCAGGTGGATAGACTTTCCGAACAAGCGCTAACACCGGGGTTCTCTTTCTCGCTTCAGATTTGTGGAAAGATTCGAGCCAGCGACCCGTCTGCCACTTACAACTTGCAGATTGTCACCTATCCAGTAGGCAAACCTAGGATGAGATTTCCCAGAACCCGTAGGGTAGTATCATGCTGGTAGGGCCGCGCAGCAGCAGGCAGCTAAAAGATCGGACCAAAAGAGACTTGGCCCAATTGTTACCATGTCAGACCGACAACCCGTCTTGTTGAAGGCTTGGCTGCGGGTGCTTTCCCCCCTGTTGCTGGGCTCGATGGGCTGAGCGGGAAAGTGGTGAAGGCGGGCTACCTTAGGCTTGAGGGTACGAGAGGGGAAGGGGGAGGGGGCCAACCTAGGTAGATGCGGCAAGGCACCGCGGGAATCGAACGCGGGTGTGAGTCTATGCGAGGTATTCAGGCGAGCTTCTACATGTGCAACTGCTGCCAATCGTCGGTCTCTGGCACGGAGCGTCTAAGTACAACCGGACGGACGACTCACGAGCCAGGTACGGCACGGAACAGGTGATTTGGTCCGTACTCCCTTTCTTCAAGAAACTTTTTTTCAAGAAAAGCATTTCTATTCTATTGGAACGGTACGGATATTTCGAGTTGCTTTCTACCTGAGCACTAGCACAGCGTGATTCAAGGCTGGCTGGATGCCGAGTCAGAAGCCGAAGTTTTGGCTTCTTTGGGCACTTGCAGACACGGTTTCGGCGTACACACGGCTTTGTCCGGTCGACGACCTAAAGTGCGGCAAGGAGGTTGCCCAGCAAGATTTGAATAATTAGCCGGGTGAGCGGTGGGATAATCGATCTTCATGGTCTGTCCTTCTTTGGCGCGACATGTAACGGGATACCTTCCATGTTCTGGTATTTGCTTGCGCCCAATCATATTAGAGTAGTTCGTAGCATCCTGCCAATTGGTGCAGCTTATCACCGAGGTAGTTGTTCTTCAGCCTGTCGATTCCTGGTAAAACAACATTGAGCAAACAAGCATGTCTGTCCCGGAGGCCGCCCGAACTCTTTCGTCTGTTGGCCGCTGTACGTCCATGTGCCTGTGTCAAACCGCATCGCGGCGGCCAATCGAGCTGCGTCAACTGTGAATGGAGTCCTGCAGAAAACCAGCAGAAATGCAGCAGACGACTACCTTTGATTCTCAGTCTGGTAAATATGTATACCCAGTTTACGTACTTGGAAGGTGGGCGGCGTCAAAGATGAGGTAAGTTAGCCAGGATTCGGGAGGACTAGGCCGACGCAACGGAGACAGACGGAGGAAGCCCGCAGATTGTGGGGATGCGCCAACAGGGGGGCTGGAGGGGTGAACCTTAAGGTACGTACTTTGGGTCAGTACGGTACCTTGCTCTCATTGTGCATCTTGATACGGGTATCGGTAGACACCCAAAGACTATCCGTATACTCTGAAAACATGGTGAATTTTGTTCCTCTCTTCCCTTCTCCCCTCTCCCTCCCCTATCCTCCCGTTCCCGAACCCCTAGCCCCGCGATAGCATGACCCGAAGGAAACGCGGCGGACAGGGTCGGGCCATCGTTATCCTTGGGACGATGAGGCAATCCGATATGTCCTCGCAGTCGCATTCCCCAACCTGCTGCGCGTCTTTTGTTCTATTCTGTCTCTTGTTGCTTTGCAGTGTCACACACCCCGCACACCCCTCCCCCCTTCCATCTTTCCTCCACACATCTCTCCCGTACTACAGGCCTCCATTCCTCCCTAGGTAGCACCATGCAAAGATACAAAGTGACAAGCTCAAGACAACTCTGTCCCGAGTCCCAAGTCTCTCCGATTCTATCCCTATTCCTCCTCTATTCCGAACCCGCGCAGGGATCTACGCCCCTCCACCGAACCCGAGATAATATCGTGAAGCTCGCAGCAACGGCAATTCGTCCAGTTACGTCGGCGTCTTCGCCCCCGCGACTCCACAAGCCGCGCCCGTTCTTATAAGTCCAAGACCCCATTCTGGCCCTTCTATCCTCGGTTCAGGTTCAGACCAAGCCACCAAGCAGCCTTGTCTACTCTTGTACTCACTCCATCTACTCCTCTATCCCGGCAATTTATTCCAGAAGTGTGGATACAATTCCTTTGCGATCCCTGAAAGCGGACGAGAACCACAAGCCTACAAGCCTTGACCCAAACCATCTTCGCCCGATCTCAAAGAGCTCTTAACCAACGACTCAATTCTTTATAACCATGAAGGATCCCGTCCAGAGAACCGCTTCTCCCTACACCGATCCCAAAGTAAAAGGCCCAAAGTCTCAGATTCTTGCAGAAGGAACCCAGACAGATTTACGCAAGAGTTTGTCCACCCTATCTCCGTTATATCGTCATATCCCCTTTTGTATTCCCATTTCCCCCGATATCTCCCACTACGACGCAAAAACAGTTTTGGTCTTATTCCCATATTCCCTCTACATCGCGTATCACCACACCCTGATCATCATCTCCATCCAAATCTATCAACCGACGGGTTATAGCTAACATGGCGGCCGTCACAGTGATCGCTAGCAACGTCAACAAGACCCCCCTCCACCCTAGTGGTGTTGCGTAAGTTTTTCTATGCTTCTTGGTTCATTGCGTCCAGTACCAAGTCTCAATGTACAAAACGCATCCGGCTAATCAACTGCTTGCAGTCCTCACCAGGAACACACTGAGCTTGGTATGATCAATCCCGCCACGAATCGATCCTCTGCAATGGTATGCTGCCAGAGCAAGTGAACATGTCTAACGTGCTCGAACAGAGGAAGAGCTCCACGAGACGGCACATATTGACTACGACCGTGTCGCCATTATCCCCAACCCTTCCGTTCCCGCTCTCTACGAAGATGCCCTAGTCTACGAGACCGGTTCCGCCATCACGTCAAGTGGTGCTTTGACTGCCTACTCCGGAAAGAAGACTGGCCGTTCCCCTCTCGACAAGCGAATTGTCGAGGAGGACAGCTCAAAAAATGATATTTGGTAGGCCTTCTCTCTATTGTAGCTATGATGGTCGATGCTGCAGCTACCGAACAGCTGGCGCTGACCATTGAGAGCGTAACGATTTGCTAACACCGCATTTACCAGGTGGGGTCCCGTTAACAAGCCCATGTCACCCGAGGTAAGAGAGACCGCGTCCCAGATCGATTCATGGTGCTGTGGGCACGCTTCCTCTTGGTTCTTTGTTTGTGTGGCTCGCCATCGGTTGGATGTTCGCATTTCCCCAAGACACAATGCCCTGCAAAGTGCGCTAGCACTCAAACTAGCCCGCCCGTCACGCGACCATTAGGAGCCATTGAAAAGTCACTCCTGACTTGTCTGAGCCCTATTCGCTGCAGGCTTGGTTCTACCCCTGAGTCAGCAGCGAAACGAACTTGGGCACTGCCGAAGTCTCGCTGTCAACGAATGCGTCATGTTTCACTCAGTACAGCTACACCTGCGCGCAGCAAGTTTACTTCCAGTGGTCTTTTCTGCACAAATCCGAGAAGGGATGCGCGCGCATCGCATCGGATCGGTTCATGCCGGAGGGGTGTCATCGAGATTTCATTCATCCAATGTTATCCGATGTCCCCCGCCACGTCCCTCGGTGCGGTTTGCGACTGGGAGTGTCGTCATCAAGCCTGCAACACCCCTCCCTCCCCCTTGTGTTCTGCGCATGAGAAAAGAAGGCACTTGCCGGCCCCGCGCTTTCCAATGCAAGCCGCGCTATACCCTTTTCGCATATTTTCACTCCTGATACCCACCCTTTCTTCTTCTCGCCCCGCGTACTGGTGGCTTCCACGTTCCTGCTTCTCCCGGACCTGGACCCACACCAGCGTCCGGGCCAACTCTCTGTTGAACATTTACTGACATGTGAGATTTCTAGGTCTGGAAGATCAACCGCGAGCGTGCCATCGACTACCTCAACACAAGAAACCGTATCTACGTTGTCGACGGCTATGCCGGCTGGGACGAGAAGTACCGTATCCGTGTCCGTGTCATCTGTGCCCGCGCCTATCATGCTCTCTTCATGAGAAACATGCTCATCCGCCCTCCCCGTGAGGAGCTGGAGCACTTCCACCCCGATTACACCATCTACAATGCCGGCTCCTTCCCCGCCAATAGATACACTGAGGGTATGACCTCCGGCACTTCAGTTGCCATCAACTTCGCCGAGAAGGAGATGGTCATCCTCGGTACCGAGTACGCTGGTGAGATGAAGAAGGGCGTCTTCACCGTTCTCTTTTATGAGATGCCCATCAAGCACAATGTGCTCACTCTGCACTCCTCCGCCAACGAGGGTAAGAATGGCGATGTCACCCTCTTCTTCGGTTTGTCCGGCACTGGCAAAACCACACTTTCTGCCGACCCGCAGCGCGCCCTAATCGGAGACGATGAGCACTGCTGGAGTGATCGCGGCGTCTTCAACATTGAGGGCGGCTGCTACGCCAAGACAATCGGTCTGTCCGCTGAGAAGGAGCCTGATATTTTCGGCGCCATTCGCTTCGGCTCCGTCCTTGAGAACGTTGTCTTCGACCCCGAGACCCGTGCCGTCGACTACGATGATAGCACCTTGACAGAAAACACCCGATGCGCCTACCCCATCGAGTACATCAACAACGCCAAGATTCCTTGCAAGTCAGAATCCCACCCCACCAACATCATCCTCCTCACCTGCGACGCCCGCGGTGTCCTGCCCCCCATCTCCAAGCTCGATCGCTCGCAGACCATGTTCCACTTCATCTCCGGCTACACGTCCAAGATGGCCGGAACCGAAGATGGTGTCACCGAGCCCCAGGCTACCTTCTCCTCCTGCTTCGCCCAACCCTTCCTTGCTCTGCACCCCATGCGCTACGCCAAGATGCTTGCCGACAAGATTGAGCACCACAACGCCAACGCCTGGCTGCTCAACACCGGTTGGGTCGGTGCCGGTGCCGCTCAGGGCGGCAAGCGCTGCCCCCTCAAGTACACTCGCGCCATACTCGACGCCATCCACTCGGGTGAACTCGCCAAGGTCGAGTACGAGACCTACGACGTTTTCAACCTCCAGGTCCCCAAGACCTGCCCCGGCGTTCCCGACGAGCTCCTCAATCCCAAGGCGGCCTGGACTGCCGGTAACGACAGCTTCAACACCGAAGTCAAGAAGCTGGGCACTCTATTCAACGAAAACTTCAAGAAGTACGCCAGCGAAGCGACTGAGGAGGTCGTCAAGGCCGGCCCCGTTGTTTAAAGTATAAGCATGCTCTGAATTGATTAGCGATCATATTTATGGATTTTTGAAAGGCTTTTTTCTTTAAACATCTTTCTGGGTATATTCGGGAAATTAGGATGTGTCGTCGACATAGGTCCGACACAAACATAATGTCGCGTGGATTGGAATCGTGGCATGTTTGGCATTCGGGTGGATTCGGGTGTCAAAACAGGAGTGATGTCAGTACCGGGCGTCATTTCATAGAATGAGAATGAGAATGAATTCAAATGAACTAAGGGGTTCCTAACCTCGTAAGTGTACGTGACGAGCCGTTCCTGGTCTCACATCGTCTGGTAACAATCAAGTATTCTCCATGTATAGAATGTTGGGTGAAACCTTGTTTTCACTTTCAAACCCCATTTTCCCGTTAACACGCCATCAATTTGCCTCACTAAACAGTACGAGGAGCAATGTTCAACATCATATGCTTGCAACGGTAATAGGCCCTCATTATAGTCAATGAATGACTGCTTAATGTTCACGTGTACGCATTATTTAGAAGCCTCCTATAGGCTTTAGGAACCCCTTAGCCGGGAAAAGACGGTAAAACTTTCATCTACCCAACACGACCCTTTTCCCGATCTGTATGGTTCTGCTGCTGAAGATGGCTTTGCACAAGGAAAGATAGCAAGTCGCTCTTATACTTTTGATCTGTTGTAACCCCACTCCGTCTCAATTTCATTCTATTCTTTCCTTTCCCCGAGAAATTTACCAATCTCTAGACGAAATCTTCTCGGCCACGATCCATCTCACGGATCCAATAGGTGGCATATACATCTCCTTGCCACTCTTGAACTCCCACCCCTCGGTACGGCCGCCGCATGACTTCATCAACGCCTCAACCTCATTTGGCGTTCTCGTTCTCAACGCAGATATATATCCATCAAATACCAGAACAAAAGGGATAATCGGGATAAGATAGGTGAAGACGAGGACCGAAAAGCTGCGTAGCCTCCAGGCATAGAGGGGTGCGAAGATGAAGCACCCGATACCGAGGATTGAGGGCATGAGGAAGGACAAGAGATCACGACCCTGCAGCTCCATGATGGCAAAGCCGTCCGAGGTTTCAAGGGTATTCTTGAGAATGGCCTTGGCCAACGGGTCGTCAAAATGATGAAACGCTAGGTTGAACAGCCTAAACACTTTTTTACCATTTGTGGTGTATCCGTCGACCAGATCACGAGGTGCGTGGGCAGCGTCTACGCTCTTGAGCTCGTAGCCGATGTGCTCGCTCCGCGCAGCAGCGCGGGCCCACGCCTCGGCGTTGGGGTGTAGGTCCGTCAAGACGAAGTCTACATTGGGCTGTTTCTGGGCAGTCAGGTGGCGGTTAACGAAGCGCTCGATGGCCGGCGTGGGACCGCCGGAGCCGGCACAGAAGTCGATAAATGTGTACGAGGAGAGGCGTGGGCCGAGGACTTGTTGGAGAATCTGGGCGGCGACTCGGGCCGGGGATGAGGTCTGGAGGATGGGGACCCGGTACACCCAAGCTGCGTGAAGGCCTTCTTGGACGTAGGCTCGGAGGAATGATGGAAACCTGGTCAAGAGAGAGTTGAGGAGTTAGATTCGGCGATGGAGAGAGCTGGGAAGGCAAGAAGGGGAGATATCCAAGCGGGGCTTACCAGGTCTGGTCGTCGATTTCGAAGAAGTGGAACCGCGGCACGAGAGGCGCCATCGCGATGGCGTCGAGATCGAAGGGGTTGGCGACAATGAATATGCTACTTGCCAGTGGGTCGATGGAGCAGTCAATGTAGTTGATCGTGCTGGCAGAAGACTTTCGGCGGCTAGATCACATGTAAAGCGTCCGATGTGTAGCTCTTTGCAACCCGCTGGAAGTTAGTTGGCGGCCGCGAGGGCTTTATTACACGGTGCTTCTAATTGAGGCAGAGGAATTAGAAGCAGTATAGGGGTCCCCTGGCCCTGCCGTTAGCTGGCACGGGGTGGCGGGTGCGGGAGCCATCGCATTCGCTAGTGTTGAGCTCGAGACAGGGAGAGCTCCAGCACGGGCATGGGTCTGATACCCTAGGTAGCTCCGCTAGAAACGTGCCTATTCGTACTTAGGTACCTACACTCGATAAGGAAGTTGCAGGTACATACGCAGGTCACCGCGATGAAAGGCCTCAGACCGGACAGGTACTATAAGGGCCGAGACGACCACGAGTTGTGTCTGGCCCGCCGTTGGGGCGCTTCAGATCCGTTGGTCTACTGATTTCGATACCTTTTGGTATCTTGGCGCGTAAAGTCAAGATGGTGAACCAAACAGGATGGGCATACCTGAGAAAAGAACATCAGCATCATACTTAGTGTGGAGCTATCCATACAGACTACAGACTAAGGTAACGGGGCGAAGAGCTTGAAGTTTCGACACAGCAGGGGGCGGGGGGTCGCGTTCCAGTGTAATGTGGATTCAGCGGTGCAATGGAACTCTGAGTTCCCCGTCAGGTGCAAGATACGAATTGCTCTCCTCCCACTGGCTAACGCTGATTAAGGCGTTGGGTTATTGGACAATTGTATTAGCCTATTTTTTTTCATCATTTAGCATGTACGTTTCGTACTCATTTCTCCTCAATTGCCCTCCCCCCGCGCCACCTTCCGTCTTCAGGTTGAAGTAGTCAAAACCAAGACCTCAAAAGGAGCGTTCCAGCTGATGATTCTTGCCAATTACTTTACGTTAGCCTGGATCTCACAGCGTAGAGGATTTCTTGGGCATATTGTGGGGGACAACTGTCCAAAGTTCCCGCTCTGGCACACCAAGCACGCTGCTTCGAGATGGGACTGGTCAACGCTCAAACAGCCCTTGTAGCGGCTGCCATCTCTCTCCTGATGTATGCTATCTTTTTCCAGCCAAAGTTGAGAAGGAATGGCGCCCCATTACGGTCAGTTCACCTACTCTTACGTCTATGAGACTCATAAACATCCCGTTGCTGTGGATATTAACTTTGATCCAGACGTCCTCCCAATACCCTGCCACTCGCTGGAAATGGCATCAATTTCCTCAGAGACCGGCATAAGCTATTTGAATGGTTCACCAAGTGTGAACGACTCTATGGCTATGAAACGCTGCAAATATCCGTTCCCACTCTACCTCCAGGGGTTATTATCAGCGATCCCGAGAACCTAGATTATGTCTTCAAGAACGAGGGCATTTTTGCCAAGGGCGAGTTTTTCAAGAGGAGATCTAAGGACTTGTTTGGTTAGTATCAAGGCCAAATCTCAACTATGAGGATCATCTCGCTCACAGACCAACAGGTAATGGCATCATCAATGTTGATGGTGAGTTGTGGAGGGTTCAGCGGAAGGCTGGCCTCAACTTCCTCAATACAACAAACCTGAGAGTCCTGACAGACGTGGCGCTGCCACAATATCTATCTCAGAGTTTGGCCTACCTGAAGAGCCAGGCCAACAATGATGTTGTTGATTTACAAGCTGTCTTTCACGAAATAACGACCCAGCTCATGGGCAAGATGGCCTACAACGTATGTTGGTATCCAATTCTAGTCTAACCTGACCCTCCTCTTGCTCATCTTCCCTCCGAGCTTTGTTGTCTGACTAATGGCGCAGATGGAAATGCACGCAGAAGATAAATTCAGCCTGGCTTTTGATTATGCATCTGGAGCAACTGCCAAACGGTTCCAAAATCCCTTTTGGCGTCTCACGGAGCTCTTCACCGAAGGCCGTCTGAGGAATTCCATCTCTGTTGTCAAATCCTTTGGACAGAGCATAGTTTGCAGTGCGATGAGAGGCAGACGAGGGTCTCCCAAAACCGCGCTTTATGTATCAAAAGACCTAGAAAGCGACAGACTTAACGATATATCCGGCAGTCTGATCCAGTCATTTCTAGACATAATCGGAGACGAGCAGCTGGTCGCCGATGCCGCGCTGAATTACCTCTCTGCGGGCAAAGATACCACAGCGCAGGCTCTTACGTGGACATTCTACTTGCTTATGCAACATCCCCAGGTTGTGGTGAAGATCCGTGAGGAAGTTGACCGCATCAAAGAGGATGGGGAGGACACCCTCGAGAAAGCCATAGCGGAACGGGGTAACCCGAACGCGATGCCCTATGTCTTCTCGACGTTCTGCGAAGCGCTGCGCATCTTCCCACCCATCCCTTTCGAGATCAAACAGGCCGTCCAGGCGACAACGCTTCCGGATGGTACCTTTCTACCCCAAGATTCTGTCATCGTCTGGTGCACCTGGGCGATGAACCGCTCGCGCACGACTTGGGGTCCTGATGCGGACCAGTTCCGGCCGGAGCGATGGCTGGTTGATGGAAAAGTTATCAAAAAGAGTACCTCCGAGTTCCCCGTCTTCAATGGCGGGCCAAGGACGTGTTTGGGGAAGAAGATGGCCGAGATCATTGCTGTACAAGTGATTGCGACCGTGGCTGGTCTGTTTGATTGCGTCAGAGTTGACGACTCGACCAGGGTCAGCAAGAGCAGTCTTACGTTGCCAATGAAAAATGGCCTGCCTTGTTTTGTGCGCCCTAGGTCTGATGTCTAATCAGAATGATCAGTCTGTCATCTTGGAAGGTACCCGGCAGTTTTCTTTGGGTGGACGGGCTGAGCTGCTCCAGGTAACCTGTGTGTATGGTTCAAATGTGAGTTGGGAAACATAATGTTACCATCGGTAGGCAAACCATGTTTGACGCAACCGAATAATTATCACAGTTCTCGTCGAACCCCAATAAAGGAAACTCGAGAACAAAGAGGTCATACCTTGGTTGAGGAGAGAGGGAGAATAAAAAAGACTCCAGCAGGAACGCAAAAAACAAAAATCTTCGCTGCATATCCGTAGCACAACCTGGTTTCGATCCAGGGACCTCTGGGTTATGAGCCCAGCGCTCTACCCCTGAGCTATTGTGCTTTAATGTGGAGCTGGATGCTGCCCATAGTTCCGGAATCACCATATATGTATGTTACATTGCTGTAACCAGAATCATCAATTTTGGATACGGTGCGCTTGGCTCATCTTTACCTAAGCCACCGATTAAACCTGAAGTATCGGGCAAGAAACATTTACTGCCTAGATAATCTGGAAATCCCGAGCTCCCTATGAAAGGTTCAAGTCTGTCACTCGACCAAGAACACCAACTCGGGGAGTTGCACCACTGTGTAAGATTCATCACCGAGTCAGCACACTTGCCATGCAAACGTTTAATGTTGGAATTCTCATTTGGACTGTTTAGTTGTGCTATGCATCCAATAATCTTTTGATGTGCTGAAGGCTCATATACACTTTCAAATTTTCTCCTGGTTACCTGAACCACCAGTTTACTGAGGCATTCAACCTCCCATCACGATGTCCACTCTTGACACTGTGCCACCAACCCTTCGGAATGAAGAGAGCATTTCCTGGGCTTAACTTAGCTTCTGTAATATCCTTATGGTCTTCCAATCCCCAAATGGCTGTATTCATAGCTACCCTCTCGCGGCCCTCCATCATTTCTGTCGATCTGATGCGACTGTTCCCTGACTGATGAACCTGGATCTGTACTCGGCGATATAGCTGATCGCCGCAAAACGGTGGTAGCAGGCGAATGGTTTTGTTGCCGACAAGCTGGCAGAACAGATTAGGGTTCGGATCGCGGTGCAGCGGGGTATATGTCGGTTCCAACCCAAGCCATACGCTCGAATTGTAGACATCGCCTTTACCAGCTTCCAAAACAATGCGTGGGACGGGCAAGTCTTCCTGAAGTTCCGGGGGCAGATCCGGGAGTTGAGCCTGGGCTATGTAAAGTTGCCTGATCTTCTTTTCGTGCAGACTGTTGAACTCTGCAGCCTTCAGGAGAAGCAGCAGAGGCGCCATGAAAGAAGAGAATCTTGGTTCCGAGGCATCTGGGTGGGAGGCTGCGTGGACGATGCCTGCCAATATTGCGCCCATAGGATCCGGGCCAGAGGCAAGCCAGGTATGAAACTGGGTCGTAGTATTTACCGAAACTCCAGAATTGTCGGTGATTTGAGGGCTCATTAGTTCGTAAGGAAACATATGGTGGGCGAATCGGTCCACGTGAGGAGTGAACTTGGTGATGGGTCCCTGGCTGGGGACTTGAGGTTGGATGTCCCCGTCTTGAGCGAACCATTTCGAAGATGCCGGGAAGGAGCTTTGACGACTGAGGTTGGAAGGTTGTTCAAAGAAAAGAGGTTGACCCGGCGTGAATGCCAATCTCCGGAATTCATCAATGTCGACTGCGTCAAATGGAGAGTCTGTAGCTTCCACCGAGCTCACCGTCGAAAACCCTAGTTGGTTTTGGGAGGCCTTAGGTGGTGACCTGAACGTCCGGCAACAGCCCCGGACAAGTTGTCTCATATTTGAGAGCATCAGTCGAAGGACAGAGTGTTTCCAGAAGTAATAAGTTTTTCTGCCTAATAACATGAATTGACATCAGGGAAGCTAGGACAGAGGTGGGCAAGCAACTTGACTTGATATCACGTGGCTACATACCTACCTAAGCACCTATTGAAATGGCATCTCGGTGACCGGGCTTTGGGTAAGCGAGAAGGAGCACCCTCACCGAGAAGGTCGGCTAAGGGAACAATAGCAGGCCCGCTCACCACAACGACAGTGTGCACAGACCAGCACAGTGATTGGGCGTAATCTCCTGCTCCAAGCGGGCTGGGCTCTTCGTGAGGCACCGCACCAAGTCCACAACCCACCCACCACAACTTCAGCTTTTGCTCAGAGGCTCCCAAATACCGTTTCCCCCCCCCCCCCCCCCCCCCCACAAGGAAGGGCGAAAGTTCCCCCCCCCGCCCCCCCCCCTTTTCTCGGGGACACGTAATCCCCCCCCCCCGTGACCCCCCCCCCCCCCCGCGCCCCCCCCCCCCCCCCTGCCGCCAAAAAGGAAGGGGCAAAGTTCCTCCGTACTGCAGCTCACCTTTGCTAAGGGAACAGTATACGACCTACTCGTGAAATCATTCCTCGACCTGGCATCTTCTCCATCATTGACATCGTCCTTTGCGCTCGGCCTGCGCCGCATTTAACCCGACACGCCCACCAACTACCCCGCCACCTTTGCGCCCCTGCTAAGAGACTATCGATATCCAACGCAGTCGCACGGAGACCATCGCTCTCCTCCATCCGAAGACTGTATCGCGCGTGCTTGCCCGCGTCGCAAACAACCCCATTTTAAACTGACAACCCGTCAATACCACCACCTTGGATTACCTCGACGACATGTCCACCTCTTCGGGGGCCCCGGAGTCTTGGATATCTTCCTTCTGCTCTCTCCTCGGCCATGAGTACTTTGCTGAGGTTTCCGAGGAGTTCATCGAGGACGACTTCAATCTCACTGGCCTGCAGAACCAGGTCGCGATGTACAAGGAGGCACTCGAGGTATGCAGGATTCCTAATGCCCATATAATTACTTGTTCGCGACTGGACGCTCGTCCGACTTTCTCGGGCTTCCGACGCTCAACAGACGTCATTGCTAACTTGGCCTGCACAGATGATCCTTGATGTGGAGCCTGAGGAGGATGAGGATGAAGAGGAGGACGAAGACGAGGACGAAGACGAGAACGATTCGGGAGATCAGGATCGACTTGGCCCCAGACACGACCGAAGACAGCATAGCCGCATGGCCAGCGACCTCAGCGTCATCGAGTCATCGTCCGAGATGCTTTACGGCTTGATCCACCAGCGATTCATCTGCTCAAGGGCAGGTATCCAACAGATGAGCGAGAAGTACGAATTAGGCCATTTCGGCTGCTGCCCTCGCACCAACTGCGACCAAGCGAGAACACTCCCAGTCGGTCTCTCTGATATCCCCGGCGAAGACACCGTGAAATTGTTCTGCCCCTCCTGCCTCGACGTCTACGTTCCTCCCAACAGCCGTTTCCAAACGGTCGACGGTGCCTTCTTTGGCCGTACCTTCGGTGCCCTCTTTCTCCTCACATTCCCAGAATACGATCTCACCAAGCGTGGGGCGGAGGTCCTCAGCAGTGGCGGCGCACGCATCAACGATGAATCTCTCGAAATGACCAACGGCATGTATGCCAAGAACATTGCACCTGGCTTGGGTGCCGGACGCATATATGAGCCCCGTATTTACGGTTTCCGCGTTTCGGAGATTGCTAAGTCGGGCCCTAGAATGCAGTGGTTGAGGGACAGGCCGGAGAGCATGACTGAGCTGGACGAGGCGCGACTGTATGCGGACGAGCACCCCGATTCGGACGAGGATGATGAGAACATGAACGGTAATAGACGGCCTACACCCCGTCGCCGTGCCCCGCCGGGTAACTCGCGCCTCCGTGCAACGCAACGACAGGCGCAGAACGGCAGCCCCATGGCCGTTGAGACGAACGGTGCGGAGTCGGAGCTCTAAGAGAAGCGTTGAATAGCGATATTGCTCTCCCCGCGATGTCCTCATGGGTTCTGTGGGCCTCCGAGGTCGAATGGCTGGCGTAGCGCCGCGCCAAGATGGAGGCAACAAACCAGTGAAAGATGGCAGTCGAGATCGAGCGAGGCGGTCAATACGGATGCCCTGCATAAGGTAGATGGCGTTTAGGAGGCAAATCCCGATCTCCGTTGATGAAAGAGGAACGGCGTTGCTACGGGAGGTGCATTACGGAAATAAAGAACTCATGCCGTCACACGAACTCGGGTTTCGATTCTTTTTGCAGGCAACGGAGCCTGTTGTATAGGCTTAATGCGATGCGATGGCCATTGCATATCTGGGCCTTGAGAAACAGAATATAGACTGCATGCAATCCGACGGTCGAAAACAAGGCCTCTCCATCTCGCACTCATCACGACGCAAGGAGACGATTCTCTGGATAACAGTCGTTGCTAGATCCTCTTGTAAACAGCGAACGCCTACGTGAGAACCAACTCTTCCCAGCCACGGGGTGGGCAGCTTTCATGTACAAGCCGCGTGTGTCTTTGCCGCGCATCTGCTGGCTCGGACGTTGCCACTAGCAGTATATTACTGGACCAACGCTTTCAGTTCCACACCACCCCTCCTCTCACTACCTGTTTCTCTCCTCCCAGTCGCATGTACCTGGGAACGTCATCGTCCAGACAATCATCGCAGACCCACAGGCCCATGCAAGGAGAATCGATGAGAGGACTACACGACCCCGGGTGAATGCTGAACAAGTCTACAATTGTCTAATTATCCTTCATCTGCTATTTATCCAGGTGATGTCACCCTGTGACATCGATGCGGGGGGCAGTGCTAGGCTTGTCCATCGTTGGATTTCCTCGGCGCGTTTGATATGTTTGCCATGGCTCTTCGGTTTGCCTATGGGTCGCCTATATAATCTCGAGGGTAACTCATGAATACCTTGTTACAGGGAAGATTAGTTCACATGCGTTGCAGGAGATATGTTGTTGTCAATTCTAACAGCGGCCTCGTGGCTCATCAATTACTCAACTTCTGGTCATGCTCGCGCTGGAACGGCACGGGGATCCAACTTGACCTTCTATAACCCCATAATCCCAGGATTTCATCCAGATCCTAGTTGTATATTCGTACCTGAGTGGAATGGTACCTTCTTCTGCGCATCGTCTAGTTTCAATGCATTTCCCGGTATACCCCTCCATGCTAGCAAGGACCTGCGAAATTGAGAACTGATTGGTACACGCGTCTGATGGCCCAGGTACGAAGAGAATTGATCCACTAACCAACGTGGTCTAGGGCATGTCTTGAATCGAAGAGAGCAGCTTCCTCGACTTGCAGAGACAAATCGATCCACAAGGCAACTAACTCTCTTGGTGCCAAAAAGGTTTACTCAGGCTAACGGAGTCCAGTGGCATCTGGGCACCAACATTACGCCATCATAATGATACATTCTGGCTTGTTACAACTCTCGTAGACGATGATAGGGAAGCGGCAGATGCTTCGAGATGGGACAATGTAGGTTTCGCCCCGCGTCTTCTCTGGACTTTTACAACTCAACCTTAGTTCAAGATCATCTTCAAGGCGCGAGATCCCTTTGACCTGGGATCTTGGACCGACGCGGTTCATTTCGAATTCGAAGGATATGATACGGAGCCTTTCTGGGACGATGATGGCAAGACATACATCAATGGCGCCCATGCCTGGAAGATTGGGTAGGTGTTGCAATGTTAATGACTTCTTTGTGAGGGGATAGCTGCTAAGACTACCAAAGACCGTGGATTCAACAGGCGGAGGCGGATCTCGACACCGGGGAGGTCGGAGAATGGAGAATTATTTGGAACGGCACAGGTGGCATGGTCGGTGAGACACACCTCGGAGATCTCGGAAGAATTAACGCAAAGCTAGGTACCGGAGGGACCGCATATTTACCGCAAAGATGGTTACTACTATCTTCTCGCTGCCGAGGGTGAGTCCAATGGAATTGGCCAGGCACGGAAAGCTTATGCAAAGTTGACGGTTTTCGACAGGTGGCACTGGACTTGGTCATATGGTCACAATGGCCCGCTCAGAGAGAATAGGCGGCCCGTACCAGTCGAATCCGTGGAATCCGGTTCTGACCAACGCCAACACAACCAATTACTGTTAGCACAGCACAGAAGTTCTCTCTTTCCAAGTGGTCATTGGTGACTCGGCTAATGGAGATCAGTTCAAACTGTCGGGCATGCCGACCTATTTCAAGATGCGTCTGGCAATTGGTGAGGGGATCTCTCTATCGTACTTCAAGAGGCTAACGAAAGCAGGTGGTGCGCCGCCTTGGCCACGAGATCTGGACCAGAATGGCTCAACTTCCCTATGGGCCGTGAAACGGTGCTGACTTCGGCCACTTGGAGTGAGGGGGAATGGCCATACTTGACCCCTATCGAGGGGAAGATGAGTGGATGGAAGATGCAGTCAGAGGATCTAGATATTGATGGCTCTGGGTACGGATTACGTATCTCGTCTTCCTCACGTGGCTTCAACTAACTAGTTTAGCTACCTAATTTCACTAGGAGAAGGCCAAGGTGACGCTTTTGACTTTGCTCTGAATTCGACGCTCCCAAACCATCTCACGTATTGGCGGTACCCAGTCGAAGACTCCTATACAGTCTCACCTCCTGAAAAGCCTAACAGCTTACGTCTGGCGCCCTCTAAACTCAACCTCACTGCTTACAACGGCAACTACGCGGGGCCAGAAGGCCAAACATTCATTGGGAGAAGACAGCAAGACACACTATTCACCTACAGCGTCGAACTTGACTTTCAACCAACGGAGGAAGAGGAAGAGGCCGGCGTGACGGCTTTTCTCACGCAGAACCACCACTTCGACCTGGGAGTTGCTTTGCTGCCTGCGAGATTGAGTACCCAAGCCTTCCCTGGCCAAAACTTGTCGGCGGGGGGAAATTCGAGTGATCTCAAACTTCAATTTCGGTTTCGAGGTATATCATATGCTCCCGTTCCTACCGAAATTGTGATACCCGTGCCAGAGGACTGGGTTGGTAAACCACTGAGACTGGAGATCAAAGCGGCGAATGTGACACATTACTCCTTCGCTGCTGGACCGGCTGGAGCAGCTTCCCAAATCGAGACTATCCTATACGCCTCTAACGATGCGGTAAGCTGGGGATTTACAGGTGAACTCGTTGCGTTTGCTAGATCAAAACTTCAGCTAGTTGTTTATTAGGCGTCTTCCTCGGTGTCTACTCGACCAGCAACGGCGGTACTGGAACCACACCAGCGTATATCGCGAATTGGAGATACAGCCCTCAAGGGCAGTTCAGAGATTAGAAGCCAATCATGAAGCACGGCATGTTTATTGGAGGCCGTCTACGTTCCATACGAAAGTTAAACGAAGCGCCCTCATGTTTCTATTTTCAGAACACAACTCCTTTCAAGCCCCCGCCCTTTTTTGATCTACGATCAAAGCCGCGATTTTACACCTGCGTCTGCAACCTCATTCCGTCCATCGTATGCTTCTTTTGCCACAATCACTATGAGAATGGCAAGATGGCCGAGCGGTCTAAGGCGCTAGCTTCAGGTGCTAGTCAAGTAATTGGCGTGGGTTCGAATCCCACTCTTGTCAGAATTTTGCTCTGCAAAGTGCCACCGAGCTGAAACCGTGTTGTGAAATTATCGAACGCCATTGCCCTAGTCGGTCGATGCTGTTTTTTGTTCATGGGCATCGTAGCGTTCTACATCGATAACTTTGAGTGGATATTACGAGACTAGGCCTTCGCTTTTGTTTCGATTACTGCACTCGACCTGGGCGTTAAATGTGGCCGCGGGGTAACTGTGTCTTTTATTTTGAGCGTTTACAATGGTCGTGTGTATATCCGTAGCACCAATCAAGGAATTCATGAGGTTACTTCAACAATGCCTATAGGAGTCAGTGAGGAAGAGCAGGAATATAAGGGAGTGCTAAGGGTATCTGTAAGCCCCCTTAACGGAGTTCGCCGCATCACTATTCACTGGGTACCTCAGGCTCGGGACTGACGGGACGTTGCCTTTATAGCCCGTTCCACAGCTGCACTTGAGTCTTCACTCACCGTCGCTCATTAAAAGTGTTCACAAGAACACAATATAGGGGATACGTCACCACTGCACAATCTGACGACATGTAAAACACGGGGGGGAGATGGATGCAAGTTTTGGAATTCATGTTCATTATCTTAGCATAAATGTGCAGCTGATAGTCCTTCCTAACGTGTCAGATTCATTGACCAATAATGCTTGTGCGGGAATCTAATAGTGACCAGGTTAGCTAGTGCTTTCGGGTAAACAGCTGGTTGATCGAGTATTGCTTCAAAGCTACATTCAGACTGTTGAGCTTGATAATTTTTGAATCAACATAGTGTATTCTGTTGGCCGTTCTTAATGGAAGAGTTGATCATCAACATAGCAACCCAGAGGGGTTATGTGTGTGTAGAGGAAATGAGACTCAAATGCTTACCGAGAAGAAGAAATCTGTGTGCAGAGTGTGGTAAGCTGGACGCAAAACCTAGATAGAACAGTGACGTCACCCAAAGACCGGCCGTGGTAGATAGCACACGTTATGAAACAGAGCAGTGAACAATAGCTGATCAACGAGGGACTCATCAAAGGCCGACGCTTGTCGTGATTCATTCTGGATATCGGAATGAGGAAGGGTTTGAGCGGCGGCAGGAAATGGAAAACATTTTTTTGTAGTCGAAGTCTCGACAGCGCACGGCCCATGCGTCCGGACGGGCTCGCTTAAGGTACTTCGGATGGTGACGATAGAGCCTTAGGTAAGGTAGCTAGCCGGGTAGCCAGCACCCAAGTGAGAAGTGCTTAATTGCATTCGTCCCTCGGAAGTTGAATCACCCCGCCATTTATGAAAATAGCTGGAATACAGTAGCTGCGCAATTGCATGACTTTACTGTTGAAGGGGTTGCCCACTAATTACGACCAGATGGATCGATGTCAGAACCCCGCCATCAATACGGATATTGGGAACCCAAACCCAAGGACCAGGTACTGCCCTATGCCCAAAACCTGGAAGTTGCCCAACGGGTGACCTCAGGTACCGCAACGGATTGGCGAGGTGCCCAAGGCACTTTGACGTCCCAACCACCTTCCATTGCATGTGCGCTGTGCGCGGCGCCCCTGCCATGTAGTAGTCCCCCCCTCTTTCCACCACCCCTCCTTTGTTTCTCAGCCTGGCGACCGGCGAAAGCTCTCCTCCGACAAAAGTCTCGATCGCTTCAGAGCCCACCGTAAACAGACCGACCCCTCCTCCGACCCGAAACCTCCTCGTCTGCAACGCAGCTACCCCTTCCAAATCAGACAAGATGGCGGCCAGTAAGTCAAAATTTCCCTCAACCACCTCCGTCACTGCTCCAGCTGCTGTGCTTGCGATGTGAAGGAATGTGCACGCCCTGGTTGCTGCCCCGCACGTCCGTGATGTTTCCCTGCTTCTTGCTCTTGATCATGTCTGGCGAATAGATAGATAACTAACCGAGACGTATTCGTAGACTTCGAGGAAATCGCAAGTCAGTTTCCCCTTGCTAGACAGCCGAACAAGCTTGCTTTCCAATGCCGTTGCAATATGCCGCCCCTTCTTCGACACTGAGCATACTGACGTCCTCCACAACGCAAACAGAGCAGTTCATCGAGTTCTACTACAACCAGTTCGACTCGGATCGCAAGGGACTTGCCAGCCTCTACGTGAGAAACCGCATTGTCATTCAACCAACTGTCTTGGTCTTCGCTGACAACAACAACAACAACAATAGCGGGAGCAGTCCATGTTGACTTTCGAGTCTGCGTCTTCCCTTGGTGTCAACTCCATCGTCGAGAAGCTCTCCGTACGTATGCCCCAAGGCGATTGCGCAAAGAAAACGCCCCGCCTCCAGTTGACTCGCTAACCTCTTTATTATAGTCCCTGCCCTTCGAGAAGGTCAAGCACCAAGTTACCACTCTCGATGCCCAGCCCACTACCGAGGGCGGTATCATCATCCTCGTCACTGGTCACCTCTTGGTACGTATACGATATAGCTTGGCTATTCTCTCACTACAAGTCTAGTCTAACTAACGAGAACAGGTCGATGAGGAGCAGCGCCCTATGAACTACACTCAGGCTTTCCAGCTTCTGCGTGATCCCTCTGGCAACTACTTCGTCTTCAACGACATTTTCAAGCTTGTCTACGGCTAAGCGTTACGACTATTGACGAGACAAATGCATGAGAAGGGGGGCACGATACTTGCATGCACTTCAGAAGAAGACGATTTGATGAGGCCCAATATCTGACTTCGAGGGACTGGGCATGGTTAAGGGCAGAATAAGAAGATCTCGCTCTCACTCGATTTCCCATTCTCTTTCATCTACGCAGGGTTGAAGCGAGCATGTTGGCAAGGATACCACCTCACACTTTCCCGCAATCCAAAGACGGCCCTGTTAATCATGGTCCCTCAGGGAAATGGGAAAATACCCCTATTATTACCACATGATTTCAACACCCATGACGCCCTTGATATCTGTGCATGACTAACGTGACCTTGGTTTTGCCAATCATCCCGTTTCCTGCGCCTTGAATAATTTTCGATACAAGAATGAGAACCCAACGATGATTCAAACGTCGCTCCTTCACTAACTAGCCCAAGACAAGTGGTTAACGTACCTAGACGGCGCCTTTGGTGTCACGTCGGTGGTGCCTTGCCGGGTTTTCCCACTTTCAACGAACCTGCATGGACGCGTCTCCGCCGTCACGGAACACGAGCTGAGCATGCTTGCCGCGAACGATCTCCTCCCCACTTCCGGTGTTGATAATGCTGTTCCGAGTGGCCCCCGGGCCTTTAGTTCCGAACCCAAGGTCGCGGATACGGCCAGTCGCAATGTCAAAGATGCAGCCGTGGACGGTCATGCCGCGCTCTTTGATAGCCTCCTGAACGGTGAAGTTGGCCATGAGGACGTTTACACCGGTTTCGACGTTCATCTCGGCGATGCGGATAGCCCTGTCGTCCTCGTCCTTGATGGCATCCAGCTCCTTGGTATTCTGAGTGCGGACTGTCTTTAAGGGAGTGAGCCAAGTATCGAGCACACCTCCGACACGGGAGTCGCCCAGCGCTGCTTTGGCACCTCCACAGGCCGAGTGACCGCAGAGCACAACATGCTTGACCTTGAGGTGAGCAACGGCGTACTCAATAACAGCCGAAGTGTTGATGTCTGTCGGGGCCACAATGTTGGCAATGTTGCGGTGCACGAAGACGTCGCCAGGTTGGAGGCCCAAGATTGTTGTCTCGGGCACACGAGAATCGGAGCACCCTAGCCATACTATATGTCGGCATACGTTAGCATCGGATCAACTAAGACATCGACGCTGGGCTCGCGGTCAGACGTACAAATTGAAGGCGACTGCCCTGAGGCAAGATTCTTGAAAAATGCAGGATTCTGGTGTGACTTGTACCCAGCCCATGCTTGGTTGGAGCTCAGGGCATATAGAAATTTATTCTCTTTATCCACGACGACGCAACGTCAGTATATAATTATGGTTCAGGGTTTTTTTTACCCAAGGGAAATCAACGAGTACTCACGGTCGTGTAATGCCATTGTAATCGGATACACGCTGACGCAGCCGAGCGCAATGCAATTGCGACGCTGTGGGTTGCCTAGGGGAACTCGACCACAACTCGACAGTCGGAAGATTGCAATAGCTGGTTCGAGTGGGCAAGGAGGAAATGGTGACGTGTTGCTCTTGTGTCCAGACGCTGTGTGCTTGCAAGCTGGCTGAGACCTGCCCAGCTAGAGTTATTCAACCAAAAAGAGTACTGATATATGAGCCCCTTGGCGGAAGCTGATTCTTGCTGCGAGGTGGACAAGCCGGGCCGGTCGGTCACTACACGTAGAACGTAATTTCTGACTGGGTATACAAAGTGCGACAGACGTCAAAGTCGTCGGAAATCCGGGGCCCTGGCTAATAGGTAGGGTGCCGGTCGGTGTAAGTGGGGACACAGATACAAGGCCGCAGAAATGAACATAGGATACGTGACTTTCTGTACGGCCGATGGTATACGACGGGAGCTGGTTGGAGAGACTGGGGAGTCTGAGAATCGAAGATGGTGGTGGCCAACGCCGAACGCCGTCGTGAAACCTAGGGTCTTCTAGCGGACTGGTCGTGCCACTTCAGTATGGGCAAGAGATATTAAGCTAGTGATGCGTGACGATAATCGGCTTATGGAACGAGGTTCCGAGCCTTTAGCGAAGCAAGTGAGAGGGGGGAAGAAGGATGACCCAATGAGCTGTATGAACAAAAGTGTGTGTGTGAGTGAGAGTCTGGCATGCGAAGGGCAACTAACAGTGTCCGAGAGACTTGCGTTGAGATGAGCAGAGAACTGCGGTTGAGTTGGAGGGGGAGCGCCGAGGGAGTGGTTGATCCAATAACAGAGAAGTTGTTGAGACAATGCAAATGAGCTTCAAGATCAAGCTGAGCTGAGGAAGGCACTATCAGACAAGGTAGTGGACAAGCAGAAACATAATAGACTCGAGATCCTGCAGCAGACTACATGCAGTTATCATAAGATGTCATGCCATGAGCACGCGGGGGAACGAGACATGGAAGATAATATAAGTAGGATGGCGATGCATACTTGGGCTTTGCATGAGCCGCTGCATGAGACGAGAGAAGACAGACAGACGGAATACACCTGGCTACAATGAAGTGCGCCCGCGTCGCTTGACCGGGAGCATGACCATGACCATCTGGTGGAGAGCTCTGCGCACTTGGAGACACAGCCAAGACTTTCAGACGAGTCGCCCCAGAGGGTTAACGGTGCCACCCCTGGGCATCACCATGGATGAGCATACGGCAGGAGACTGTAATACCTAGGGCGGAGGAGGCAGAGGGAGAGGAAAGACGGAGGGAAGCAGACGCCATACCCCGGTCATCTCTTTGTGATGCGCACTATTTCGGGATTGTGACCTGTGACTTGGGATGTTTGCGTTATGCTTCCGTCCACCCACCACCCTGGGGCGATGGAAGCTAGGCGAGCGTTCACGGCATATGTCCTGGCTATCATTTCTGGCGACTTCTGGCAAACAATCGCCAGAGCAGATCAAGATGAATCCAACCGAATAAAAAATTGGCGAGGGCACCGCGTCATTGTCTCCGATCACCGGGTGGGGGCCAAAGGACCGTCTCCGGGTAATGGTCAGTCAGGCCCGGCCTTCTCCGCCAGTCGGGCACTCATCTCCGTCCCAGCCCAGTTTGCCTTGGATAGTCTCACTGAGCAGCTGAGAAGTTGACTGCCTATTTGACAGACAGGGGCAGTGCCATATTGAACATCCGTCTCTAATGCGGCCATGGAATATGATCCATGCTCTGTGTCCTTGGGCTAAGAGGCAGAGGGGCAGAGAGGTCATAGGAAAACAGTTGAGCCAAGGGCGACTCCAGGCTATCAGGCTATGAAACAGCACTTGTCAGTGTCATCCCTCACAATACCGCCGCAAAAGGCAAGGCATCCTTTATAATCCTATCCCTTCCCTCATTCGCCTCTCAGAACTCTACGGTGTGATCGGCGGTGATTTGACGTCTCGGTGCGCGTCGCCCTCAATTGCGATGCAGGCCGCGATGTTCCCCAATAAGACGTAGTTTTTGGGGACGTGGAAGTCCTGGCCAGTGTCTGCTAGTCTAGCGGGAACCGTTTCGTTAACGGTGATGCAAATAGAGTAAGAGGAGAAAAGCAAGCTTTATTGCAAGTAGAACTATGAATAGCGTTTGGTTTTCTAACCTAAATCAGTTAGCGAGGCGATGCATGCTCTCAACGAATGTCTGCATAATTAGTTGCCGGGCACCTCTTGGGTTTCCCTCACTTTTTAGAGGTACACTCACCTCCTGTTCCCCACAGAGAGTATGTGGCCGGGGAAACGGCCCGGTTCTGTCATGAGACAGGCTACCTGACCTTCGCAGCGTTGTGACATGGTCCGCCCGCCCTCGTCGGGCATGCCAGACCTCAGGTCGCAGCCGTGCTCCATGGATAAGACCGGGACATCCGCACCAGAGACGGAAGTATAGGTGCACACAAATGCCAAGAAAAGCAGGGCGTTTTGGGTATTTGCGGTGGCAGCGACTTTGGTCCTGGGGGAGGAAAGAGAAAGAGGGGGGGATCCCAAAGACAAACCGGGCCGGGGCTAATTCAACTTTGGGATTGAAGGTGGCAGGGCACACAATGATTGCAAAGAAGGCCCCGGGCAGATATCCGGTCCAGGTCAACGACGATGGAAAGCGACGTTCTCAGGAGATCATTTGCCAAAGAGGAGGCGAGACACCAGGAGCAGAAAAAGGGTGAATGTGGAGGGCCAGAACGGGACTGTCTGTATCTACCTAGGCACCAATCTAGAAAGCTCAGCTCAGAATACAAGACGCGAAACGCACCACAAAGTTCGCCGGCTTGGCATGCAGCAGCTCTTCAGCGTCGTACGCGCGAAGAGGCCGTCGCATCACCAAACCCGCACTTACAGCGAGCGTATTCTTAGACATTCATCTTGGCATGTTTAGTCACCTAAAGTTTTGCATCGTACGGTATTTCGATAATCGATCTACACTACCATTGTAGAGCTTTTGGACCCTTGAGCCTCCCTGGGTCTCTCGTGGAACCCCCTGTCGCCGATCAACTATGACCGATTGCTCCATTCTACACTCGCTCTACGGTTCTATTGGTACAGTACCTCGCTCTGCCGTATCTCTCCAGAGTCCAGACTGCAACCCGCCAAGCCTTTGAGGAATTAACCACATGGCAGACTTCGGTAAGTAGATCTCAGCATCGTTGGGCAGACCTATCGTCCACTGTGATAATAAGTTGAATCGGCTCTTCCTAGTTCCCGCGCCGTGACAGACGACTATGAACAGTTGTTTAAGCGGCTCGTTATTGACAGCTGAAGCAAACGAAGGTTTGAGTTTGATCCAACGATGTGCCGGAAACTTTTTTTTCTCGTTACGATGCCTTCGTTAGCTTTCGTACTGATAAATACTCCACACGAACATCCTAGTTCGGCGAAGAAGCAGAGTATATAGGATGGCGCCACATTCAAGCGTGCAAGGACACACGTCCGCAAGTATTTGGGAGAGTTTTGGGAGAGTCGTGAGATCACTACGTCATGGAAGCAAAGCATGAACTTGAAACCCAATAGAATAGTCATCCCGACGCCATGCCAAATTTTTATGAACCAATAGCCTCCAGTGGCCTAGTCTCCTAATACACTAAAGTAGTCCGGGTATAGATCCATCTTAGACCTTGATGGCGTTGTCGAGAGCCTTCTGCTTCTTCTCAGTGCGCTTCTGGGCCTTGGCACCCATGATACCACCGCCCCACTGCTTACGGGCGCTGTCGGTCTTCTCGAGGTAACCGTCCTTGATGGCGGAGACGAGCTTGGAGAGCTCACTCTTGTCCTCGGAGCGGACCTCAGTGAAGGCGAGGACGGCGGCAGTCTGTCATAATTTAGCATGTATACTATAACGGAAGCTGCTGTGCCGGCTGAGTTTGAAACATACCTTCTTGTGAACAACGGTACCGAGGCGGGCCTTGCCCTTGATGATGGCGAAGGGGACACCCATCTTACGGCAGAGGGCGGGGAGGAAGATAACCAACTCAATGGGATCAACGTCGTTGGGAATGAGGACGAGGGAGGCCTTCTTGTTCTCAATCAGGCCAACAACATGGTTGAGGCCGTACTTGACAGTGTAGGGCTTCTTGGAGACGTCCTCCTTCTTCTTGCCGTCCTTGATAGCGGTGGCCTCCTTGACAAGACGCTCCTTCTTCTCAGCCTTGGTCTCAGGGCGGTACTTGTTAAGGAGCTTGAAAGCCTGGGCGGCGGTGTTGCGGTCGAGGACGTGCTGGAACTGGGCGATCGCAGGGGGGACCTTGAGACGCATGTTCAAGATCTTCTTCTGGCGTTGAAGACGAACATACTCGGGCCACTTGACCATGCGGGCCAAGTTGCGGCGGGGCTGGATGTCCTGGCCGATGCCGAAGTTACGGGGCTTGCGCTCGATAAGAGGGTTCTGCAGCAATTGTGAGCGATCGACGGAGCTGCGGGAGCGATGTTGGAGAATAGTCACTAACCTTAGGAGCCTTTTTGGAGCCAGCCTTTCCCTGAGGGAAAGGGGCGGGAGCCACCTTCTTGCCGGACTTGGGAGGCTGTCATTGAGAAAGCAAGACATCAGTGAATTGTTCAAATTGACTTGTGTCTTCCTTTATCTCTAAGGAGAAGGACGGAGAAGTACTGGAGGTGAATCCAGCATTTCGCCGTCCTCTCCAGCCAAATCATCATCAACGCCCCGTCTCCACAAGCAAGCTTGCGAAGAACCGACGGCCGAGATGGAAAATCGCAGCGCGCATGACAGCGAAACCGGATGTTGGCCTCGAGGGCAGATAGAGTCGTTTTTCATTCAACATGTACTCACCATTTTGTCGGTTGTCGTGATACTGCCTTTGGCGGGGATGGATGAGGGACAGGTCAGTTGAGGGAACTGCACGTCTCGGGAGAGGAGGATAAACTGTTGTTGGTGTGGGAGCCAAAAAAAAAAAAAAAAACTTGATTAGGGCAAGAACAAGTGGATACCCGATAAGAGAATTTACGCCGTGAGCGCACGTACCCGGGTTGGGGGTTTTCAACAACGCCTCCAGTAGGGTGTACCCTCAATGTGTCGAAGTACCTATATAAGCAGTACAAGCGCACTTAGGCATTACAATAATGTGGGCCTACGTCCCGTTTTGCGCTTTGACACCATGCGCCTAAGGGTCATAATTGCCTACCAGTCACTCTAACTAAATGGTCTCCATGTGTCTTCTAAATTGACCTGGACCTTTATACCTTCTTTGCCCTTATTTACTACTTTTTCTTCTATTTAAAAAAAAAAAATCTAACCTGAGCTCATTTAACCTCTCTTGCCTCTTGAAATGAAATATTATGGACAGATGTTTAATGATAAAGAAAAAAAGATTGAGAATTCTCACTTTCAAAATCACTAAATAAATTATATGTAATGAGACTTTACACGGGTATAAAGATACACTTAGAATACAATACGTTGTGCAATATTAGGACAGGGCAATGTCCACATCCCACAAATTCAACCCGAGTAGGCAGGTAAAGTATCTTTACCCTACCGAGAATTTGTATGTTAGCTACCTGAGGCGCCGCCAAAGTTATCTCTACGTGACGACCAATAACTGCTCACCACTCGTTCGATTGAGTGGTCACGGCCAACCTGGACAAATTTTCTGATTGTTAATGTACTTATAGGCTACCTATATCTGCTCGTTTGCCGGCTCCACTGGACAAAATGGCAGGTAATGCAGGCTCGAGACAATAAAGGTGGCAGAAGACTGTCCCCTGTTGTCTCGATGTTCCTTGTTGGACCGGATTCGTCTCAGGAGAAATGCGAAATTGGTGGAGCCGATGATGGTGATGCGTGACAATGAGAATAATCATCGCAAAGACAGCAACGTCTTGGGGAGAGAAAATCCCGTCGATTTTCTGCAACCTAAGGTAAGGTAGGCATCTTAGGTAGAACCCAGGTGGTCTGGTACCTCCCAGGTTTCCACCAAGTGATCGAACAGGTCCAGGCATGGAATCCCACTTTGCGGTACGTACTTACGGGGCCGATGATGATGACTCCAATGCCATCAAAGCCATACGGCGACACATGCAATTCTCGAAAATTTCCGTTACTTCGATCCAACAACGATAACCCTGTTTTTCTTGTTTACTTTTTCACCGACCCAAATTCTTACAGACTTTACTTGAACAAACTCCCATCCACATAAAGTCTGCTCTCTACTGTCCCGCTCAGCCGAGTTTGGTCCTGTTTGGTCCACCGCGGGGTATCGACTTCGAAGCTTGTCGATTCAACTAAGGAGACGAACTCCCCTGTGCGAGTTTGGCGCAAAAGATCCGCCGCCGACACGACACTGTTTGTCTGCGACAATTTCCTTCTCGCAAGAAACTATTTTTCCTCCTCCGCGTGGTCCAGCTCGCAGGATGGCTCCGGTGCTCTGCGCAAAGTGCAAGGCTGAGCGTGCTCTCGTCAAGCGGCCCAAGAACCATCAGAAGCTTTGCAAGGCCTGTTTTATATCAGTCTTTGAAGAGGAAGTACATCACACCATCGTCTCCTCATTGCTCTTTTCCCCAGGGGATCAAATAGCCATCGGGGCGTCGGGTGGCAAGGACTCGACCGTCTTAGCAAGTGTTCTCAAAACCCTGAACGACAGGTATAATTACGGCTTAGATCTCGTGCTCCTCAGCATCGATGAGGGTATCAAAGGCTACCGAGACGATTCACTGGAAACCGTCAAGAGAAATGCCGTCCAGTACGACATGCCCCTTACTATAGTGGGGTATGACCAGCTGTACGGCTGGACGATGGACCAGGTTGTCGAGGTGATTGGAAAGAAGGGCAACTGCACGTATTGCGGCGTTTTCCGCCGACAGGCACTAGACCGTGGCGCCAAGCTTTTGAACATTAAACATGTCGTCACCGGTCACAACGCAGATGATGTTGCTGAGACGATTCTCATGAATCTCTTGAGAGGGGATTTGCCTCGACTTGGTCGCAGCACAAGTATCGTCACTGGTGACGACACTAGCGACGTCAAGCGCAGCAAACCACTCAAGTACTCTTACGAGAAGGAGATCGTGCTATACGCCCATCATAAGAAGCTCGACTACTTCAGCACCGAATGCATTTACAGCCCCGAAGCGTTCCGTGGAACTGCTCGCACTCTGATCAAGAATCTTGAGCGGGTGCGGCCAAGTGCCATTTTGGACATTGTCCGCAGCGGTGAGGACATGGCTCGACATGTTGCGGGCGGATCGAGCAGCTCTTGTGCCTGCAAAGGAAGTGCTATCCGTGTCGCTGAGGATGACTTTGCTTCTGGTTGTGGCTCGCAGCAGAGTAAAGGCCTTGAGACCGAAATCGCCCATTTGGATGCAAGCTTGAGCCAGGCAACTCTGGCCAAATCCCAAGAGACAGATTTCACAGGTGTTTTCACACCTCCACCAAAGACAGAAAAGACGGTTCGGAATTGGTCTGAGCCGCCCAAGTCCAGGTTGAGCCAAGCAACTTCAAGTGCTCCACTACAGACGTTGGGCAAGTGTAAGAGATGCGGCTACATGTCTAGTCAAGCCATCTGTCAAGCTTGCCTGTTGGTGGACGGGCTAAACAAAAACAAAGCACAGATTCGCTTATAGATATTATTTAGTAGAGTTAGCATTCCATTCCCAGTATTTCCAGAATGGCGAGCCAAGGACCATGTCTCCGCATGGCCTCTTTCCCGTCTCTCCCCTAGGTGCGAATTCGCGTTTACATTCCGGCACGATCGACTGAATAATCGCACGCAATAGTGACTTTGAAACCGTGCTGGAAGTATTGTCTCGTTGGATGGCTGGAGTCTATGCTGGCAGTGAAAACCCTCATGGTTTACAAGTAAGGTAGGATACATATTTTTCGTTGACCACCATCCTCTACGACATACGTTTCTCTAACTTTACGATATGGTTAGCCCATGCTCAGTCATTTCCCACAGGTACAAACCTACTCTCCAAGGGTGATTCAGCTCGAAGCCTGGAGGCGCCTCATGATTGCCGATTTGTCCACGTAAATCGCCAGTGAGTCTACGATCTCGGTCCATCACTAAGTGGCCGTCGAGTTAGCATTCGATCGAGCAATAGCGTATGGTTCAACCGGACTGGGCGCGTACTTTGCTGTAAGAAAGACAAATTAGCACTGTAATTATGAAACAACACCAGGTCGTAAGTACTCACCCTATCCCACTGGTCCAACCCCCAACGGGGCTTTTTCCCACCGTTCTGGATGCCCTTGATGACGTGCAGTCCGGTACCAGTGATACCGAACATCTGAGAGGACCTTAGTTTCCGTCGCGGTAGTCAATGTTGTTTTGCGCCGACGCAATGGCAGTCGCAGGGGTAGCTCTTACGGCGATCATGATTCCATAAGGAATCAGGGTCTCGAACGGGACGGGCATGGTAGCGGATAGCCGTTCGGCAAGGCGTTATTGGTTGTCTGTATGAGTGTATCAAGTGGGCGCAAGACTGACAAAAGATGCAGCTTGCAATCGTCGGTATCTGCAGTTGACGTCGTTGGACTGCGGCTTCCTTAGAATGTCTGGCCAATTGATGGAACCGATGCGCCGGGTCGTCGGACTGTGACCTTCTCGATCACGTGATCAAGCAAATTCGTGCTTAAGGTCTTTGCGATCAGGCTGATTGGCTGAGCACTGTGTAGGGTCTCAGCAGCTTGCTATTGGTCACTGTGCGAGAAATTGGATTGAAACGGGAATCACGCAGTGCTCCCCGGGCTTGCCTTGTACCTAAGCTTGCACACCTCCCAGCTGAAGCACTTTCCAACCTGGAAGATTGCGCTCCCAAGGTCCCACACCTCGTGGCCCCGAGGCCATTTGCACCTCACCTTCAACCCCAGTGCGTGCACAGTACTCAATTACCCGATTACTGTACGCGCCATAAGGTAAGCTAGGTCTCGAAGTCGCATCCCTTGGCTTGACTTGCGCCACTCTGTGAGCTGGCAGTTTGTCAACTCTTTGCGCTTCCAACAAGACTTGGAAGTCATTTCTGGCTATTCTACAGCCCTAGAGGAACTGCGCCGATCAATTGGCAACGAGTTCTACCCTTAGCTCAGAGGTAGCATCCGTGTTGTATTGACGACTGCGCATCCCTGCCGCGCATCGCCGCTCAAGGCCAAACGCGCTCATCTCTCACAGCAACACTCTCTCACGACAAGCCGATTCACAACTGTTGCGCGCCAGCTTTGTTCGATTCTTTGCCCTCCTTGCTAGCTATGGGCTGCGAAGATCGAAATATTGTCAGCTACGGGCGGATTCTGAAATAATAGCTCCGAAAACCAATCGAAACTCACAGACTCTGGCGGCGTTCGAGCCTCGCTGGCAGGATGGCAAGCGCGCAACTCACCGAGGAAGAGCTGCAGCAGAGCGCACTTCTCTCAGATGAGGATGCCGAAATCGAAGACGCACCGATAGTACCCGTTGAAGGGGTGCCTCAGGGTACCGAAAGTCCTTTGACGAACCTTAATGCACACGATGACGAACTTTCGGACGCGGACGCGGTCGGCGACAATGACGACGAAAGAGACGCGCCCACCTTGGATGGCGATATTGAGATGGCCGAGAATCCAGACGATAACAGCGAACTGTCTGAGCAGGAATCTCTAGAAGAGAACCTTGATGAATATTCTGGCGCCGACATGGATCAGCGTCTGGAGCAAGACGATGGAGATGAAGCTTCGGGCGGTCCGCGGAGCCGCAGCAGCAGTTTGCTAGATGATATTGAGGAGGATGAGGCAGAGGGCGTTGGCGCTGTTAAGATCAGGCCAGGCGAGACAGATGATGAAGAGGTAGATGAGCCGGAGAGCGAGCATTCGGATTCGCATAGCGAGTCTGGCAACGAATCCGAAGGAGACGATGCCTGGGACGAGGTCGCCGTAGAGGAGGAAGAAGATGAAGAGGAAGGTTCAGAGGATGCAGCGATGAATACTTGTATGTTCTGCAAGCAAGATGAAGAACATGACCCGGCAGAGGACTTCGAAGAGTACTTGGCTTGTATTGGATGTGGCGAGAATTGTAAGTGTTTTGCATCTTCGGGCGGAGCAAGATCACGAAGAAAGCTAACAACATATTGCTAGCACACCAACATTGCGCCAGAGAAGCTGGCGCGTTCCAGGAGTTCAGCAGTATACACCTTCCTCCTCTGCCAAGCCTTATCGCGTCTGACTGATCATCCCCTGTAGCTGCTTTCCAGTGGAAGTGCCCCGATTGCGCATCTGTTGACGATGCGCCTGCCGATGGGTTTCAAGGAAAGGCTTCTCCCGAATATGCAGAGAAGCTTGGACTTGAGCATGGGCGGGAGCCAGATGCCGAGCACGAGGTTGGGCTATCTCCGTCGTCTAGACGGTCGATAGCATCCCAAGTAGCGCGAGACTTGCTCCCGCCCCAAAAAGGCACCTCCAAACCCGACTCTCACTCGGTTTTCAACCATCTCCTTCTGAACGACGATCCCATGGATGGAACTCGAGTTCTTCGTAAACGCAAGACGTCGTCTGTCGAAGCTGAGGAGGTTGTCATGTCGCTCAGAAAGCGCCGACGAAACACATCAAAAGATAGGGAATCAAGCCACGGGGCAGGCACAGCACAAGACGGCCTGAACGGAACTGGGGAGAAGGATACACGACGCAAGCTACGCCTGCACCCCCCCCGAAAGTCACAGGCAATTACCGTTACTCGACGGACTCGGTCCACCATCATCAAGATGCGTGTGAAGCCATCCGCTCTTCGCCGAATCCTGTCAAGAAAGTCTTCCTCCAATCGAAGACGAACGGAGAAAGTGGTAGACACGGCCGCGTCATCCCACGATGGATTGGCTGCCGCCATGTCAGCTTCATTCACTTCCACTGACTACTCACATCCCTTTTATTCCTTCTTAGACCGGGAAACCGACGATATGAGAACAAAGCCGTATGGTGGCATCCTCAGTGAGAGCGAAGCCGACACATCAAGGACCTTACCGACCAATGATGATCGTCGAAAATTTGATGAAGCCAAACAAAAGGCAGAGGAGGTATGGCGAGCTCGTCTTCATAGCGTCCAACTCAACCTAGCGACACCTGCCAAGAGGCCCAAGAAAAACGCTGGACCAGCGAGCCAGATTGAGTGCATCGATTTCGGAGGCTGGGAGATCGATACCTGGTATGCCGCACCCTATCCCGAGGAGTATAGTCGGAATCGCACTCTCTACATTTGCGAATTCTGTCTGAAATACATGAACTCGGATTACGTCGCCTGGCGTCACAAACTCAAGTGTCCAGCTAAACACCCACCGGGGGACGAGATATACCGGCATGGATCCGTTTCCGTCTTCGAGGTTGATGGGCGAAAGAACCCAGTCTATTGCCAGAATCTTTGCCTTCTCGCTAAGCTATTCTTGGGGTCCAAAACGCTTTACTACGATGTTGAGCCTTTCCTCTTCTACGTCTTGTGCGAATACGATGCTCTAGGCTATCACTTTGTTGGCTACTTTTCCAAGGAGAAAAGAGCCAGCAGCCAGAACAACGTTTCTTGCATTCTGACCCTGCCCATACACCAGCGAAAGGGCTACGGTAACCTCCTGATTGACTTTTCATACTTGCTCACCCGCGTGGAGCGCAAGACTGGATCACCTGAAAAGCCTCTTTCGGACATGGGTCTCGTCTCCTACCGCAACTACTGGAGACTGGTACTTTGTCGATATCTCCTTGACCATGTCGAAGAGGACAAGTCAACGGCACCGGGTCTCAGCGTTCGGCAAATGTCCGACGATACAGGACTGACTCCTGACGACGTTATTTCTGCCCTCGAAGGTCTCCGATGCCTCGTCCGTGACCCGCTTACGGAGCTTTATGCATTCCGTGTCGATCTCTCGTACTGTAACGATTATATAGCAAAATGGGAGGGCAAGGACTACGTCAAACTGAATCCAGACTCGCTCACCTGGACTCCGTACGTTATGGGACGAGGCAATGCTACCAACTTTGAGTTAGGCCCGGCTATCAGCGCGATTGCACCACGAGAAGAAGATGAGATCCACAAATCTACACAGGGCGCACCGTCAGCGGCGTCTCAACAAGCAGCTGCGGCTAATGACATTGTGGACAAACCTCCGGTCGCCGAAAGCAGCTTATCAAGTAGCGCTGAGGGTGCTGATACAAGAGTACATGGCCCGAAGGTGGAGTCTACCATCTACGAATCGACGGAATCACATCAAGAGGGTCTGGTGAACGGCGAAAATGGCCTGGAACAGGCTCACGAAGAGGCGTCTCAACTCAACGAAGTACACCAGTCTACTCCTGAACAAACTGCTGGAGGCTGCTGGGCCAGTTCTTACAAAGATGTGCCTCCTTCGAGGTTCGAGGTGTACCCACCTCCCGGTGGTCGTCGTTCGGACCGGCCGCGAACCAGTGTCACACGGCCTGCTGTAGCACGTACAGCGAGTAGCAACCCCAGACCACGGCGGTCGGGCGGTGGTAGCAGTGCGAGACGGACCACGTCGAGCCGACCCAAGGGCAAAAGCTCGTCGTCGTCGTCACGGCGGAAGACGGGGGGAACGGGACGTGGACCGGGTCGGTGGCCAAAGGGTACCAAGAAAAGCGACTATGGCAATGCTGACAGTGGGCCCGGCCTCCCGCCGGGTTGGCTCAGAGAGAAACAAGAGAGAGAGCGGCTGGCAGGTCTTATAGTAACCAAGGACAAAGAGGTTGAAGGGCTCACGTCTCAGAGCAATGAGACGATGGATGTGGTCCGGGTGCAGTTCCAAGACGGAGGACACGAGGATGCCGGTGCTGAGGAAGCTGACAGTGACCTCGACGGTGGCGTTGACGGTGACGTTGACGGCCAAGCAGAGGATGAGTGAATGCTAAACAGCCGATACCCCTTTGAAGAATTAATGTCACTCGTGCCATTCGAGTCGACTTGTAACATATTGTTTCCAGTAGTGCAGCGTAGCAAATTTTCATGTTTTTTGTCATCCAGGTATTTCATTTCAACCAGTGTTATCGTCGTGTTGCAAGGTAGCTCGGAATCGGATAGGAGATGTGTCAATGCTCAGCTACATTCAAACGGATAGTCTGTCCTCGTCTGGCCTTGGCGCTCCCTGTCGCTCTAAACACTCCACGTCCAGGTGCGATAGTCTCGAGGTCAAACACTATCGGGCATGGGTTGGATTTAGTCCAATGACGAAGGCAGCGGTCAATATGATGGGAAGCGTTAGTATTGTTGAAGGCGGGTGACATTTGCGCTCTCGTGTGAGTAAAAAGAGCACTGTAGATCGGAAGCGTGCCGCTGCTTGGCAAGCCAGTGAGGGTCTCGCCAAGGTTGAGACAACGTCGAGCAAGCTCATACTCGGACACATTTGCCATGGGCGAGTCACTTGAAGGCATTTCGCTCACTAAATCTGAGTGGTTGGCGAGGTGCATAGGTAGGCACAACAATTAAAGCTAGAGGCGGACATTCCTGAGTATTTAGATGCGGATGACTGAGGGGAGGGTCCTTCTTCCCTGTGCTAACCTCTATCCGTATGGCATCCACCCTTTACCAGCCAGTCAGCGAAATCTAGCCAGCCTTCCCGCCCTTCCAACGTCGCGTCATGAGGGGAAATTGGCTTCGTACAAACGGGAGTACTGGCACCTTGATCGTAGAGGAGCCGAAGCTAAACTCACTCAGCCTCCCTCGATTACTTGGCCGCAGCCTCCGAAGTGGCCACTCTCCTGTTGCTTTCTTCCCGCAATCGCGTAGGAAAGTGTCGACTTACGTGTTCGAGAGTGCATGTTCTCGGTCCAAAGCACACAGGCGGTGAGGTGCAGTAATTGGACGGGCAGAGACACCGTCCTATTGGAACTGCGTCCAAGTAAATGTAGGCACTGTTACGAGACAGGTAGGAAAATTGGCTACCCGTGGGAAAGTGCCCGCACATTGGATTGGATCCGGCATGAGGGTATCCGCCAGCCGCGTATCCGTAGCGGTCTACCTTATTATCATCCTCAAGGCACATGCTTAAATACCTGAGGAGGTACCATAGGGTGGCAGGTGGGTAGCTTTCGTGGTCGCCTGCGACATGTGAGGTACTTCTCGTACCAATGGAAGGCGGGAGGTGCAGAGGTATACCTTAGTATACATGGCGTTTTGTTCAAGGCCTACCGCCAGCTTTGCGTTAGCAACACAGAACCTATGACACCCGCTACACGACCTGACCAAATGCTTGCCTGGTATCCGTACCTTGCTTGCGATAGATGTCGTAGGTAGCCTTGGATGCTATCCAGATCCTCCCTCAATGTCAGGTCACTTCGAGAGATGGATGTGAGGGAAGGAAGGTACCTAGTTATGGACCCTCCTCATGTGCTTATCACAGGTCCCCACCTATCTAGGTATGCACCTATATGAGGTAGGTAAGGCAAGGCTCCTTGGCATCAGACACCTGAGTACCATACCTACATTTCCTACACAGCCTTCAGCCCCCACATTGCACTTACGTGGGAGTGCCCGAGGAGTCTTGGATCCCCGAGTCTCAGTCTCCGTCTCCGCCGCCCGGCCCAGTTGCATTACGCACACGCACTCGCCGCACCGCCAGAGACGTGAGTGTGACACTCAGGTCGTCTCTTCCGCCCAGTACCAAGTGCCCAGTACCAAGTTCCCAGTGCCAAAGCCAGTGCCAAAGCCAGTGCCAAAGCCAGTGCCAACCGGGACCTTTCTGCCTTTTAGCCTTTCGCGTTTCTTCCTCAACTCTGCCAGCTTTGGCAAACGTTACTGCTTCATCTCCAGAACAACCGTCTCCGACAATCGCGACGCTCAAAATCAAACGTACTACCTACCTCCTTGTCGACCAAATCCACCCAGTAGCAAGGCAGTCAATCCATCCATCTGTTAGTCTGCTGTGCTCCGCTGTCCGTCGTCATCTGCCCAACCACTGGCGAAGTCGGCCTTTGCGACCCATACCCCCTCGCCGACCCTTAGTCTGCCAACGCTCTGCGCTCGGCCGCCATCTCGATTCGTCGGACCAGGCTGTCGTCACAAACGCCCCTCCCACCTGTCCAACCTTTGCTTTCCATCCATCTTCAACCCGCTTCTTCGCAGCGCTCCTATCTAACCCTCCAACAACACTTTCAACCATTCTTCGTGCTATTGCCCATCGCATCCGCAATCGCCTGCGTTGGGCTCAAGCTCTCCGTTGGCCCAATCGCAACAAGCTACACCACGCCGCTGTAGTCTATTTCTTCCAGCCCATCCGACAGCCCACTTTCTCCGAACAATACCCAAACTCCCCGCCGGACCTGGCATCGCCTGCCAATCCATCGCACGTCATCCACTGATAAACCAGTAGCCTCAGACGGACTGACTGACGGACTGACGACGACGACTGCGCCAAAATGTCTAAGGTTATGCGAAGTGTCAAGAACGTGACCAAAGGTTACTCCAGTGTCCAAGTCAAGGTCAGAGAAGGTGAGTCCCAGCTTTCCCAAGCAGTTCCATCCTCCTTTATTCTCTACAACACCATCTCACACTTGTCTCTTTAGCAACCAGCAACGATCCATGGGGTCCTACGGGAACTCAGATGAGCGAAATCGCTCAGCTCACGTACAATACGTAGGCTTCGCACTCCCAATCGACCTTGGCAGCACGCTAAATAAATTTCTAATCCAGATCCACCGAATTCTATGAAATCATGGACATGCTTGACAAGCGTCTGAACGACAAGGGGAAAAATTGGAGACACGTCCTGAAAGCTCTCAAAGTGCTCGACTACTGTCTGCACGAGGGTTCTGAACTTGTCGTGACATGGGCGAGACAGAGCATCTACATCATCAAGACACTGCGCGAGTTTCAGTACATCGATGAAGATGGCAGAGATGTTGGGCAGAACGGTACGCACCCTCACTCTCAACTCTGGGACATTCACTCCAGGCAAATCTCCGTCTTTCTAATATGATCACTAGTGCGTGTTGCCGCAAAGGAACTTACGTCACTCATTCTAGACGAGGAGAGGCTCCGAGCCGAGAGAAGCGATCGCAAGTCATGGAAGTCCCGTGTCACCGGCCTCGAAGAATTTGCTCCTCAGCATACCAGCCCTACTCAGCCGCGGGTCCGCCGCCGTATGAGCAACGAAGACGACACCGAATACAGACTGGCTATCGAGGCTAGCAAGCACCAGGAGGAAGAGGACCGCCGAAAACGAGCCGGCCGCAATGCCCACGAATCTGAAGACGATGACCTAGCCAAGGCGATCAAACTAAGCAGGGAGGAGGACGAGCGGCGCAGACGAGAAATGGAAGACAACAACGCCTCGCTCCTCTTTGATGACACCCCTGTTCAGTCAACGCAACCGCAGTACACTGGTTTCAACCAAGGCTACCAGCAAGGAAGCGCTGTAGACTTCTTCGCCAATCCCATTGACCAGAACCAGCTTCAGACGCAACCCACCGGCTTCATGAACAATGCGTACACCGGATTCCATCAACAGCCCCAGGCGACAGGTTTTCAGAATGGCTACGGCAGCGGCGGGTTCGGGATGGCGATGGACCCTTACGGACAGCAGCAGGGTATGCAGGGCTTCCAACCGCAGCAAACGGGCTATAACCCTTATGCTCAGCAGAATTCCACTCCCCAGGAGACAGCCGCGCAGCCGGGAAGCAACAACCCTTGGTCAACGGGTTCGATGAAGGCAGGTAATCCATTGAAGCCAATGCAGACGGGCTCCAATAATCCATTCGCATCCTCGTTTGGCCGTCCTCAGACCCAATCTTCTATGCCCGCCTTGCCAGAGCAAAAGACACTCTCAGCGTTTAGCCAACCCAGCTTCGTTCAGCAGCAGCAGCAGCAGCCTCAGCAACCTCGGCAATCTCAATTGACGGCACAACCATCCTTCGGAACTCCGCAGAAGGAGCTCACAGAGCATGAAACCAAACTGAATGCCTTGCTTGCTGGAGGAGACGGTATGGACACGTATGGCAACACCGGCCAGACACGTATCCCCGCACAGCATACCGCACCTGGGACCTTTGTCAATAGCGCCGGCTCTGGAGCTCAGCGACTTACCGCAGAAGCTACAGGAAGCAATCCGTTTCTCCGATCACAATTCACAGGTATGCCCAGCATGTCATATGGCGGGCAGCAAATGCCAGCTGCAACAGGCCCCGCAGGTGTCAATGGCAGTAACAATCCATTCGCGGTTGGAAGACCACAACAGCAAAACACCCAGCCGCAGGACCTCATTCAGTTTTAGGCTACCGCATCCGGGGACGTTTTAATTGCCCGGATATTACAGGTGTCCAATTGTCAGCACTGTCAAAGCCAACGGGTACCTGCACGATCCAAAAGAGCTATGTTGTTTTTTTTAGAGTTGGGGGGACGCGGAGGTTTTATCTTGCAATGCGGTCACATACCCGTCAGAGGACTCAACTGGTTCCTGTTCATAGTTGGCCGGCGGTTTGCTCCTATTTTACATTTACACAGCTTGCGTATAGTGCTCTACAATGAGCGATTTTATCTTTTCTGAAATCTTGCCACAACATGTAATATACACCCCGAGGAAGGCTGTCTGCATATGCTTTAGGTGACAAGGTATGGGACAGGAGTGACTTACCGTCTCATAATGACTGCGAATAGCGCTAAGTCTTCCTTGCCAAAATATGAACTCACTATACCCGATATTCTGGGCGGATAGTGTCCGTGACATTAGGCTTCTAGCAACGGGATACGACGGGTTTGTGGCCTTGAACATGTGGTCTGCAACTGGGCGGCCTGAAGGAGTTTGCGCAGAATATGAATCCAAGCACGGCCAGACTTATGACAAATGGATAGGATCCAGGCGCTTCCAATTCCAGCAGAAGGTAAAACGACCAATTGAAATTGAAGAACCGAGGAGAAAATATCTTAGGCTGCCACAGGTGATTGGGATATGTGCCTTCTAAAATGTGAGTAATCGCTCGAGTTTGCGAATCAAATTCGGTGGGAAAAGCGCGGTCTGGTGACCTACCGGGCGTTCCCGCGGCTGTCGTCTACCTTATGCCCATGATTGGACAGATGGAAAAGTACGATTACTAATGGAACTACGGATAAGCTGAAGTTACATGCGGCTTGCTGTGCCTACCTACAGGCTACAACTGCCAGTCATCGCCTGCGACGAAATTCTAGCTTTTCCATTGGTTGGTTCTACTAGAGCCCATCATAAGGTCGAATCGGAGACACCAAATGTCCTCAGGCAGCAGTTGCCGGAAGCTAACTTACCTACCTAGCTACCTACCTATCTTAGCCTACCTAGATCTCACCACGGGAGCTATCGCCTCACCTTACCTAAGCTTCCCACACTAAGGTACTCAGGCACGTTCCCTCTCGCGCCAGCTTGGAACGAACCTCTGCGAAGAGACGAGAGCCCAAAGCCATTTACCTACTTAAATCATTTCACCCTTCGCATTGACACACGCGACTGACCCGCAAACCTGACCTGGCAAGCTTGACAGCTATCGTAACAGTTGCCATCTTGTTGCTTTGCAGTCTCTGTCGACGCCTTTGACTACTTGCATCCCCCAATTCTTTTTCGGTTGTTCTATTCCCTGCCCCTTTCGTACCAGTCAGTTCCTGGGCAGCGCGCATCCCTTCCCACCCCCCAGCCTTTTTTTCTCCACGTATCTCTCCGTTCCTCTGCGCCGTTCGCAAAGGCCCGAGGAAGAAAAAACTCGACCACTGCCTGGAGTCAACCCAGCTCACCCAAAGCACGTTGTCAATCGATTCCTCCGACGCGACAACGGAAAATCAACATCACTGGCCCCCTCCCATAAGTTTGCTGTGGATGTCTGTCCGTAATTGATCGTCGGCGGCACATACTGCGTCCACGAGTCTGGACCCACGCCCTCGTCGCGGCATCAACTACCTTACCACGACTGTATCACGACTTCGTCGCTGCTAGTCGTCGCCCATCATGTCCGGCTTTGGCAGCACTGGCTTCGGCGGCTTTGGCTCGACCAACAATCAGCAATCCACTGGTTTTGGAGGCTTCGGGGCCGCCAACACAACCAATACTAACTCTGGTAAGTCGAGAATATCTCTGTCGCATCACCTCATCTTGTCGTCCTGTTCAGTCCTCCTCCTCCTCCTCCCCCGATTGCCTGCCAACTAACTTCCCCGTGTGCTTAAGGCTTCGGCTCTGGCAGCACTACCAACAATGCCTTTGGGTCCACCGGTACCAGTACCGGTGGCGGCTTGTTTGGCGGCAGCGGCACGACTGGTGCTTTTGGCGGCACATCAACGGGTAGGTTGATCTCGCGCAGCTGTCAGGAGTGTATTATGCGCAGGCTTGAGCAGTATCGTGCTAACTTCGTGTGCTCTCTAGGCTTCGGCTCCAACACAGGCACTTCGACCTTCGGTGCCGCGAAACCCGCCTTCGGAGCCACCCCATCTGCTGGAGGTGGCCTATTTGGTGCATCCGGCACTACCAATACAGCCACGCCATCTACGGGCTTTGGCGGCTTCGGCTCCAACACCACAACGACGAACACCTCATCGCCTTTTGGGGGGGCGTCGGGTGGGGGCTTGTTCGGCGGTGCCAACAAACCGGCGTTCGGCTCCGGCACCGCCAATGCTACCAGCGGCACATCGCTATTCGGCGGTAATGCGTCTAGTGGCTTTGGCGGTGCTACAAATACTGCCGGCGGTGGCTTCGGCGCAACGATGAACCCCGGCATCGGCTCCAACATTGGCGATCCGCCAGGCACCGCACTCTCTCCCTTCCAAGCACATCAAGAGAAGGAGACAACCGGAGCTGGGAATCAGTCGAATTCGTTCCAAAATATCCTATTCCAGGAGCCGTACAAGAAGTGGTCGTCCGATGAGTTGAGGTTGGCTGACTATGCTCAAGGTCGTCGTCACGGCAATGCCAGTGGAACAGGGGCCTTTGGAGTATCCAACTTTGGCAGCGGTGGATTCGGAGCGGCAACGAACCAACAGTCCACAGGTTTCGGCACAGTCGCCGCTAGTGGAGGAGGCCTTTTTGGCAGTGGAACCAACAACACCACAAACACTGCAGCAACTACCAGCGGCTTTGGTGGTGGCTCCAATGGAGGTTTCGGTGCTGGCGGCGGTGGCTTATTTGGAAACAATGCAGCTAAGCCGGCGACCGGGGGAGGCCTCTTCGGTAGCGGAACAACGACTACAGCAGCGCCTGCTCAGTCCGGTGGTCTCTTTGGTGGCAGCTCTGGAGGAGCTTTCGGCTCCACAGGCACCACAGGTGGGTTCGGGGCTACTACTAATAACACTGGTGGTGGCCTTTTCGGCTCGAACAACAACAATACTGCAACACAAAACAAGCCTTCAGGCTTTAGCTTTGGCAACACTGGAACAACTACTGGTGGCTTTGGAAACACCCCAAGCACCGGCTTCGGATCGAACAACAACGCCGCCGGCAACACCAGCACCACGGGCGGGTTATTCGGGGGCAACACTGGACAAGCTACAAGCGGCGGTCTCTTTGGCAATAATCAGTCACAGCCTCAGCAGCAGAACACCGGTTCCGCTTTTGGAGGTGGAGGATTTGGTCAGACAAATCCTCAGACGGGCGGCGGTGGACTGTTCGGAAATACTCAGCAGAAGCCGGCAACAGGAGGTGGTCTCTTTGGAGGCGGCGGAGCGACGACAAGCGGAGGACTGTTTGGAGGCGGAAACACTTCTTCCACCTCATTCGGTACCACGAACACAAACACCAACACTGGCGGTGGTCTCTTTGGGGCGAAGCCGGCAGCCACCGGCGGCGGTCTTTTTGGATCCAACCCGACTGGACAGGCCAACAATACAGGTGGTGGTCTCTTTGGCGGTGGCTTGGCCCAGAACAACCAGCCCCAGCAGCAGACCGGACAATCTTCTCTATTCGGCGGAGCTCAAAATCAGACCAAGCCTGGCGGCCTGTTTGGCTCGTCCCAACCCGCTGGCAGCGGCATGTTTGGTGGACAAAACAACCAACAGCAGGGCATTGGTTTGTTCGGCAGTACTAATCAGCAACAGCAACAGCAACAACCACAGCATTCGTTATTCGGTGGTTCGCTGCTGGGCAATTCCCAAGGAGTGTCTCAAGGTCCCCAGTCTCTGACGGCGAACATCAACGACGTGTCTGCGTACGGCTCACCCTCCCTGTTCTCCAACTTGGGAGGCTCAGAGACGCCCAATCCGGGCCCTCTTGCCACACCTCTTTCCAGCAAGTCTAAGCCTAGACGTAGCTCCATTCTCCCCATGTATAAGCTGAATCCCGCGTCAGCTGCTCGCTTCGTCACTCCCCAAAAGCGAGGCTTTGGATTTTCATACAGTACTTATGGCACACCTGGTGGAAGTCCTTCAAGCGCAGCAAGCACTCCCGGTGGTGCCAGCCGAAGCCTGCTAGGATCTTCGAGCTTTAATCGAAGCTTGAGCAAGAGCGTGTCGACCAGCAACCTTCGGAGAAGCTTCAATGCCGAAGATAGCATCCTTGCACCTGGTGCTTTCTCTGCGAGCTCAGGACCCCGCTACTACGGACAGAACGGAAGTGTCAAGAAGCTGATTATCAACAAGGACATGCGCAGTGACCTATTCTCTACACCCACCAAGGAGAGGCCTTCTGCTGATCTGGTCAATGGCTCTCGCAAGCTGTCGAAGAGGGTCAGCTTCGACACTAGCACGATGGATGCCCCCGAGGTTGATGACCATGACAGTGTCTTTGCATCTACTCCAAGAGTCGGAGCCGTGGTCCAAGAATCAACTCCCGTCAGTGCCAACGTTAACGGAAGCAAATCCGCTAGCGCTTCCGGAGACCCGGACCCAAGCAAGGGCAAAGAACTCGCTATCGTCCATGAGGAGGACACGTCCTCCCAAGCACCCGAAGTTTCCAAGGATGGCCTCGACGCTGCTCCCGGTGCCTACTGGATGAGTCCAACCAAGGAAGTTCTAGCCGGTATGAACAGAGTGCAGCGTCAGCAAGTCACAAACTTCACCATTGGTAGAGACAACGTCGGCAGTGTTCGGTTCAAGGTCCCTGTAGACCTAACCAACATTGACCTGGACGAGATTTTTGGCGGAATCGTCATTCTCGAGACTCGGTCTGCGACTGTCTACCCCATTGCAGCCAAGAAGCCTCCTGTCGGTAAGGGGCTCAATGTGCCGGCTCTCATCTCTCTGGAACAGTCATGGCCACGCGGTAGAGACAAGCGCCCTAGCAACGACGCCAAACGGTTTAACAAACACGTTGAACGCCTCAGGCGCATTGAAGACACAACATTCGAAAGCTACAATACAGAAACTGGCGTCTGGAAGTTCTCAGTCGAGCATTTTACCACGTACGGCTTGGAGTATGATGAGGATGACGATGAGCCTGAGCAACCTGCAGTCGTGCATCCTCACGAACAGGTATCTTTCAGCAATGCTTCCCAGCAAGACTCCCATGATTCGGAGTCCAGCCCTCGGGAAGACGACACATTTGACTTCCGCAGAAACAAGCGACGCGCCCTTCCTGGTGCATTTGACCACCGTGATGAAGACTTTGGTGGCGAATACGCACAACGCTCCTCCCAGCGCCAGTCTTTTTTAGGGGATAGCTTCGCGGGTTCGACGTCCAATGCGCTCATTCTGTCAACTGAAGAGGAGACCGACGAACAGGACAACGGATATGGCACATCTGAGGACGAGGACATGTTGGGTACTCCAGTCAGACGCCATCTTGCCGCGGAGCAACCAATCGACTCGCCAGAAGGCGATGGTAACGTCCCAACAAGCGAAACACCGGGAGGCATTCTTCGAGCTAGAATGCGGGCACTGAAAGGCTCGGCTACTCCTATGAAACTTCAGGTCGCTGGTGGAGATGAATGGATGGACATGCTTCAACGGTCTGTCAGCCCTCAAAAGAGAGATCGAGCATTTTTACGGATTGCGAATGAGACAGCATCATGTCCACCCGCCGAAGAAGCGGAAGCAGCGAGCCGAAAAAGCCGAGTTGTATCAGATGGACGTGGATTCGCCACAAGCATCGACTTGATGAACTCGCTATTCGAGAAAGCCAAGGCGCCGCCTGCGCCTGCGCCGACGAGAGGCTTCGTTCAGGTTGGTAAATACTTCATGGTCTAGGGATTGTCAAGGCTCGGCACGACGGGCTCGGGCTCTGAAAGACCTTCCTGTAATCAAGATGAGATCAATTGACTAAGATAAAATTCCTTTTAGTGGCCCTACGAACGACAAACCAAGTCTTTCGTTGACCAGTCCGACATGAGTGATGCCGACCAGGCCTTTCACAATTCGATGAGGCCCAGCTGGGGACCTGACGGGACCTTGTTGTTCGCATCAACCTGCTCTTCTCTTGAGGATGCCGGCAAGCAAATCACAGCCAGCAGCCTAATGATCACGAAAAATATCATCCAAGCACAGGGTCGAGAGATTCAGGCGGCCAAATTTTCCAATGAGGTAAGCCAGTCCAGTGGCATGTCATGGCATGCAGCAGCTAAAATGCATCAGGACTCCGCAAAAGCTCTCGAGAATCATATTCGCATGACCAATGTAGAGCTTGTCGGAGGTGTTCCGAAGCTATCGTTGCACCCGGGTCCGCTCAAGTCCCTTTTCCATGATCAAAACTTGAGTAATCCCGCGAATGCTCACGAGAAGCTCGTGTGGGATCTTGCTAGCATTCTCTTCGACGGGGACGCCAGCACGGTCCCTCGCAGAAGCACTCTGTCCCAATTTTGGGCAACGATTGTTGACACTGCGTCGTCTCGGTCTGTTGCCCTGGCAAGGTCGAGCGAAGAAAAGGCCATCGCAGCTTTGTCTGGTCACCGTGTCCAAGATGCCTGCAAGCACTTGCTGGACGGGAAAAATTTCCATCTAGCTACGCTTGTATCATTGATTGGCAGTAACGATCAGTCAAAGAAGGACATGCGCGAACAGGTCAGCGAGTGGCAAGAAGCCAACTTCCTCTCTGAGTTCGCCGACCCGGTCCGGGCGATATACGAAATCTTGAGCGGCAACGTTTGCGTATGTGAAGGCAAAAAGGAGGCTCCTCTTCATGACCGCATTGAGTCATTTGTTATTTCCGAACGATTTGGCCTGGATTGGAAGCAGGCATTTGGTCTTCGCTTGTGGTACTCAATCTCGCGCGAGGATGACCTTTCCGCAGCCGTGCGTGTGTTCCAGGAGGACGTGGCCCAGGATAAGGAACAGCGCCCGCAGACATGGTACGTCGAGCAAGGTATTCCGGCACTCTGGGAAGACCATGACCAAGACCTACGGGAGGACCTCTTATGGGGCCTGCTTAAGCTCTACGCGAACAAGGAAACCGACTTGGAAGCTGTCTTACGGCCAGAGAACAGTCAATTGTCACCATTAGACGCCCGACTTAGCTGGCAGCTCAGTCGCGCGCTCCTCTCTACTAGAAAGGTGTCTTATGGCCACGACGCGATCGAAAAGGCCGACGCTTTAACAATTTCTTTTGCCGATCAGCTCATCAATGAGGGAAGTTGGCTGGAGGCTACTTTCGTACTTCTGCATCTCTGCCAGTCTGACAGAAGGGCGAAGGCTGTCCAGGAGAATCTTTGCCGCCATGCTGGTCTTTTGGGACCAGAGAACGGAAGCAATTTCGCCACGCTCGCTCATACTCTGAAAGTGCCGGCCTCGTGGATTTGGAATGCTCAGGCTCTCTATATGCGAGCGGTGAAAAAAGATGCTGCTTTCGAGGTGCAGTGCCTTCTCCGTGCTGGTTCGTACCCCGAAGCCCACGAGGTGTTCGTGCACAAAGTCGCACCTTGTGCTGTCATCAGCCGTGACTACGACGAGCTGGCCTCTATTCTGTCACCCTTTGAGGGCCACAAAAACGACATTGCAGGCTGGACTCTGGGTGGTGAGGTTTACAAGGCCTTCTTGGAGCTTGTGGACCGTCGCAGGCAGCGACAGCAGGTCACCTCGTCTACACTCGAGAAGTTGGTTACAGGCCTCCCCGCCATGCGCGAGCATGCAGAGAGCGCCAATGTGACAAGTTTGGCAGCCATCTCGGAGATGAGCTCAACTGTGGCCAAGGTTATGATGGAGACGTCCAGACAAGATCAGGTAAGTATAGGCCAGGTTCGCTTTTCTTCTACATCATTCACTGACGTTTTGCCTTCACAGGACGTTCCGCGTGTATTGGGTCTCCCAGTTACGGAGGACAGTCATCTCAAACACTCGCTGTACCTGGGTCTTTCCTATTACGAAGGATTGATGGCTGGGGCTAGATAGCGGATATGAGAAATTGATGCAGAGGACGGGGCACACACAGACCTAAAGCGGGAATAGAAAGACTGCTTTCTGGAGTTGGGCGTGGTATCACAACTGCCCAGACCGAAGGAAAAGGGAGCAATGATGTATTATGTAACCAATGTTGTAAGGCGTAGCTGCATTCTGGCTTATCCAGAATCCTATAAGTTTTGCCAGTGTGACGTTGTTTAGTCCAACGCACTAATTTGATTGTGTCGTCATATCTGAATGGCCTGGGTTGAGTCAGTTGTGTCGTTTGTACCTAGTCCCGCGTTTTGACGAGGCCGTGAGATTAAAACGTCGATCGCAGGTCCCGCCCATAAGCCACTTGAATCAACCCACTTTGAAACCTAATATTCGCCCAGCTGGGTGGAAGCTTATTGCTGAAGCTCCGTCTCTCACCTTCAACCCCAACTGCAGTAACGCACCACAAGATTGGAAAGCCTTTTCCTTCACCCACTCAGCCCGATATCTCAGCATACTTGCCTAGGTACATCAAGCAAACATTCACCAAAACCCACATGGAACCACCGTCAGCCATGTCGCAGCCCAAAAATTGGCCGTCCGGATTGCCATATTTTTCGGCGCCGGCGCACTCCGGGCTCCTGAGCCAAACCCAACGACATGCCATCACCCAGAAACCAGCAGACGTGCCTGACATCCCCGCGCAAGCCACCGTGCTCCCCAGTCCGTCGGTAAAAATCACGCCCATCACGGACCCGGGACACCCTGCAAAAGGCCAGTACGGGCTATTCGCGGCACGGCACCTCAAGCCGGGGACATTTATCCTACCGTACTTGGGTACTGTACACCCCGAGGTCCAGGAAGCCGGGATGGAGAAGTCAGATTACGATCTGTGGCTGGACAGGGGTGCGGAGGTCGCGGTGGACGCGGACAAGGGCGGGAACGAGGCGAGGTTCATCAACGACTACCGAGGTGTTAGAGAGAGACCGAACGCGGAGTTTCGGGAGGTCTGGTGTCAGAGGTGGAATCAGAAATGCATGGCTGTGTGGGTATTGCCTGAGGGCAAGAATGGACGCGGGAAGGGAGGCATTGGGAAGGCAGAGGAGGTTTTGGTGAGCTATGGGAAAGGTTTTTGGGGCTGTCGAAAGATCGAGGGGATTTGAAATTTCTCTAGCCTTTGTCCGATCATGGCTTTCCAACTCATACTAGCGGTGATGGGGCATAGGTTCTCTCTTAATAGTTGTTATGGACGATCGTCTCGCGCCAAATTGAGAGAAGCAATGGTCAAGACGGTCTTGGAAGCAGACCCTGCCTCTCTGCTCGGCGTTAGAAGCCACAGAAACATTGACCGACGCCAACGAGTTGTGTCTGCTTGGCATGGAGACACAATTGACAGCGTACCTCAGATCTGGTGGACTATGCCAGAAAAGGTGTCCTTGTAGTGTAAGGGATGTAAGGAGTTGATGAGTGAGGCCCTGGAAACTCTGTAAACACGGATCTAACTGATCAATGCAGCGTGGCGCGTGTAATGGCTAAACAGAGACAAAAGGTTGCCCTTGAATAACGTTGCCCCCCGCCCCCCCCCCCCCCCCCCCCCAACAGACCACCATAACCGCGCCACCGCCCGCCCCACCCGTTCCCGCTCCGCGCCCCCCCCTCTAGGCCCGCGGCGGAGTACTGCTTGTCCGCCGCCCCCCTCCCCCCCCAACAAACCATCCTTGAAGGTTGACACGCCGAGTCCACTGTTGTGTGCGGCATCATTCACTTATGGACCTCGCTGCTCTGGCCTGGGTGGTACACCACATCATCACTTCAGACGCGGGCTTGGTCACCCAATATGAGCCGAGCGTCGGGCAACCAACTTGGACTGGGTTACACCGGGATTGCACCAATCCCGCGCGAGGCTAACGCTTACGAACACGTCTGCCTAGGCACGGTGCCAAGCCGATGGTGGGTTGCCTCTGCCTTGACCCAGATGCGTAGTGTGTCGTAGCCTGTAGGTAGTCCATCAAGCTTCATCTAGTTACCCACGGCGCATCGTAGAGGAAAATGCTTTGGTTCGTGTGGCTAACCAAGCTATAGGTTTACGAGGACGGCAAACTCGTTCGAACACGCACGGGCCAAGTTTCCTTGCTTTGTAAACCTTTGGTGTTGTATTTTATGATTAAGTTAAGGTGGACGATTGAACGGGAGACTGCACAGTGGACGGGATGGCCCACGCCGGGGTTGGGACTAACTAGTTTGGATTGAGTGGGGAAGGCACCGCCCGAAATGCAAATCAGCGTTTACGCGGGCAGCTTCGCCTTTGTGGAGGCCGGTCCCCTGCCATCCTACAACATGGGAGGAAACTCTGGTGCCCGTACGGAGTTCAGTAGGAAACGCCTTTCCTTTCCGGGTGGCGTCCGGCGCGTTCATCCCGAGTCTGCACACCCTTCGAGTCGTTCCGACGTTCATCTCAGGTGTGCGGAAACGCATTTCACTCACTCAGGGTGATTCAATCGCGTATTACTCTGCAAAGTCGGAGAGATACCGAGTCGGCGATTCTGCTCTTGATCCGGGATCCATGCTACCACTCTCATTTACAAAGCATCGTCGCGACTTGTTATCTTCTCTTCCTTGGCTTTGTACCCGCCCGATTCGCATCCTTTGTCCACACCCAGGTAACCCGGACTTTGCCATCTTTCGACGCCATCGCCAACTTGGTACACACCTCATGCGGCAGAACCCCTTAGCCTTTGCCAGCCTGCCCCTTCGCCGCCATCGTCGACTTGGGTACCCTCTCTGAACACCAATCCCGGACGACAGTGGCAGATAACGGAGAGTGAAATACGGCTGTCTGGCGACGCTCGCCAACGATGGCGTTCCTACGCCAAACATGGACACTCACGCTGAAGAATTGGAAAATCATCTTCCGCCACGCCATCTCCACCGTCTTCATCGCCTTTATTCTCCCAATAGCTCTGACGACCTTCTTCAGCTTTGCAAAGAACCTCTTTGTTCCCCCGGCTGTCTATGGCGTTTCTGATCCAAGGCACATTCGTACTCTCCCCAACGCTCTCGATGCTGCCGCCAGCGCTGGAAGGCAGACGCTCGTGTTTGTGAATAGCGGCTTTTCTGGAGGTGACATCGACAAGGTCATCGATAAACTCGCCACCTCTGTCGACAGCGCCGGCAAGACCGCTCTCCGCCGCTCGTCCGCGACCGACCTTGCGCTTGATTGCCCTACTAACCTTCGCGGCGTATCTAACTGCTATGGCGCTGTTGTGTTCCACTCCTCACCTTCAGAAGGGCCCGGAGACTACTGGAATTACACCCTTCGCAGCGACGGGGCTTTGCGAAGCATCGTCATTGACGTTAATTCGGACAAAAACGATGCCCAGATCTACCTGCTGCCACTGCAGAGGGCCGTCGATGAAGCAATTGCTTCCGTTCAGGTCGGTTCGGGTTCTAGCTCTAGTGCTGTCCAGCAAGGCCCACTCCCCGACATCGTCGACGAATATCCATTTACCAGCCTGAGTCAGCAAGAGCGTGCCGTCCGTGTTAGGATCAACTATCAAAGTGCCATCACGAACTGGATGGGCGTTGCCTTCATGACCAGCGTTCTCTTCATCACCTATCACCTTACTGGCTTCATTGCAGCCGAGCGCGAGAGTGGCATGATCCGCCTCGTTGATGCGATGGTGCCTGTCAAACACAGATGGTTCACCCAGGCTGCCCGAATCATTTCCTACCACGCCGCTTTCACTGTCGTCTACCTTCCGGGCTGGGTTATAGGATCACTGGTGCTACGTGCCGGCGTCTTTACTCGCACCAGCGTTGGTATTGTGCTCATATACCACGTCCTGAATGGAATAGCCATGGCGTCCCTCTCCATTCTGACATCTTCGCTCTTCAAGAAGGCTCAGCTTAGTGGTATCGCGGCCGTAATCGCCATTATTCTCCTCGGAATTCTGGCACAATCCATCTCCTACCCCAGCACCGCTGCCGTTGGCGTTCTCGCCTTTCTATTCACGCCATGCAACTACGTGTACTTCATTACTTGGGTGGCACGTTGGGAGCGAGAAGATCTCCCGGCCGACCTAACAAACGTCGCTCCCAAGAGCCCATGGGAGATTTCCGGCATTATTCTCTGGATATTCCTGATTATCCAGATCTTTTTGTACCCTTTGCTTGGCGCTGTCATCGAGTCCGCCTTGCACGGCACCACTACCAGAGGCAGGACAATTGTGTACAAGCAAAATCAAACCCAGCCCGATCCTGATGAGCCGGCTGTGCGTTTAGACGGCTTCACCAAGGTCTATAGCCCTTCTCGAATCCGACATATGTTTTCTTTCATTTCACGTCCCCGCGAGCCCGTCCGCGCAGTTGACGGCTTGACATTGGGTGTTCAAAGAGGACAGATCTTGTGCTTACTTGGTGCGAACGGTAGCGGGAAGTCCACAACATTAGACTCTATTGCTGGCACAAGCAAGCTCACGGGCGGTACCATCACTATCGATGGTTCCGGTGGGCTAGGAATTGCCCCGCAGAAGAATGTCATGTGGGATGACCTGACGGTGGAGCAGCACATCGAGATATTCAACAGGCTCAAGTCCCCTGGGAAAGGTGCAACCAAGAAGGAAATTCACGACCTAATATTGTCTATCGACCTGGAGACGAAAGCGAAAGCTGTATCGAAGTCTCTTTCAGGCGGTCAGAAACGCAAGTTGCAATTGGGCATGATGCTTACAGGAGGAAGCGCGGTTTGCTGCATCGACGAGGTCTCCAGTGGCATCGACCCTCTGTCGCGGCGGAAGATTTGGGATATTCTACTAGCCGAGCGCGGAAGACGGACGATAATACTTACGACTCACTTTCTCGATGAGGCCGATCTTCTCGCCGACCACATCGCTATTCTCTCAAAAGGCACTCTACGCGCTGACGGCTCTTCGGTCGAATTGAAAGATCGCCTGGGTGGCGGTTACCGAGTCCACGTGAACAAGGACGCGGGTATCGAAAATACACCCGACGTTGAGGGAGTTCAGAAGAAGATACATTTCGATCTGATAAGCTATGTTGCCCCATCTTCGTCGCTTGCCGCGCAGGTGATTCGTACCTTGGAAGCCCATGGCTTCCACGATTACCGTTTTTCCGGGCCGACCATCGAGGACGTTTTTCTTCAGCTAGCAGAGGAAATCCACGGTTCTGAGGCCAGCGACACCGTCCCCGATTCCGGTTCGGACCTGAACGAAAAGGGAGTAGCGAGTGAGACTTCCCCCGTTGGCGCCACACCTCAAGCGGGACTTCAACTACTAAGGGGTCAGCAAATTGGGTACATGCGGCAGGCTGCTATACTTTTTCGGAAACGAACGACGGTCCTCAAGACAAACTGGATTCCTTACCTCGCAGCGCTGGTGTTGCCTGTGGCAGCCGCTGGCCTCGTTACGCTGTTCATTAAAGGCCAAACGCAAAGTGGCTGCGCTCCATCTGAAGAACAGTCGCTTGATCAGACGCAAGGTATCAGTCTGACAGATTTTACATGGAAACTGGTTCTCGGACCCAATTCGCGATTTGACCTCAACACTGCCGCCAGCGTTCTTCTGCCAGTGTTTAACGCTGCTGCCGGTAACTCTGTTAACGGCTCCACCTCTGGGACCGGAATAGACTTCGCGAGGCAATTACTCGCGGGGAACGCCACTTTTACGGACAGCTTCAAAGCCTTTCAGGACACCGTCGTTGCACGGCGGCTAGAGACTGTCCCTGGCGGGATCTGGCTAGGAGACGACTCCACGGTGCCCACCATCGCATACATGTCGAACTACAATGGCTTACTGAACCCCCTTTTGAGTCAGAATATCCTGGATATGCTTCTGAGCAATGTTACGGTCATGATGTCATGGGCACCCTTTGCTACACCTTGGCAACCTAATGACGGTAACTCGCTACAGTTCCTCGTATACACCGGAATCGCACTTGCATGCTACCCCGGATTCTTCGCCCTGTACCCGAGTCTAGAGCGTCGACGCCAGATTCGTGCCTTACAGTACAGCAATGGAGTTCAAGTTTTGCCTCTATGGGCGGCGTACCTGGCTTTTGACATTATTATCGTTCTAGTGTCAACAGCTTTGGTAACCATGATCTGGGCTATTTCGTCCGGCATTTGGTACCACATCGGATACATCTTTCTTATCTTCATGCTCTACGGCCTGACTGCAATTTTGCTGGCCTACGTCATATCCCTATGGTGCAAGACGCAACTGTCAACTTATGCTTGGGTAGCTGCTGGGCAGGCGGTTTTATTTTTGATCTACTTGATAGCCTACATGTGCACTATCACGTATTCCCCGGTCCCGAAAGTCGACCGCAACATTCTCGTCGCTCACTTCGTCATCTCAGCTTTTGCGCCTATTGGTTCTGTTGTTCGGGCTATGTTCCTCGTTCTGAACTTGTTCTCAACGGCCTGCGACGGACGACAGCTTGCGGCGAATCCGGGCGGCATTCTTCAGTACGGTGGGCCAATCTTGTACTTGGTTCTGCAGTCCATCCTTCTTTTTGCACTTCTGCTATGGGCCGATAGTGGCTCCGTTGGTTCCTCAGTCCGGCGACTTTGGCAGCGGAAGTATGACGGACCGATGGAGGATGGTAGCGTCGCTGAGGAGGAAGTCACAACCGAATTGAAAAGAGTGACTACGACATCGGGCAACGACGACGGCCTCCGAGTGATACACCTGACCAAGACTTTTGGCAAGAACACAGCGGTCGATAACGTAACATTTGGGCTCAAGCGCTCTCAGGTTTTTGCCCTTCTGGGGCCCAACGGCGCTGGGAAGTCGACTACTATATCACTCATTCGCGGAGACCTCAAGCCAAGTCGGAACGGTGGTGAGATCCTCGTCGAAGATCGATCTGTTATTCGCAATCTAGCGGCTGCTCGAGCTCACCTCGGTGTGTGCCCTCAGCATGATGCGTTGGATCTGATGACTGTTCGGGAGCATCTCGAGTTTTACGCCCGCATCCGGGGCGTCCCTAATATTCACCACAACGTCAATACCGTCATGCGCGCTGTTGGTCTTCAGGCATTCTCATATCGTATGGCGGCGAACCTGAGTGGCGGTAATGCTCGTAAACTGAGTCTTGGTATCGCGTTGATGGGATCTCCAAGTGTTATCTTACTCGACGAGCCGTCCTCCGGGTTAGATGCCGCCGCCAAGCGAATTATGTGGAAGACACTGGCAGCCATTGTCCCGGGCAGATCCCTCCTCCTCACTACACATAGTATGGAGGAAGCCGATGCTCTCGCAGACCGTGCAGGAATTCTAGCGAAGCGTATGCTTGCTTTAGGCACGACGGATGATCTCCGTCATCGCTTCGGTGATGCACTTCACGTCCATTTAATAAGCAAAACGGCACCACATACGACAACTGAGGAAACCACACAGCTTCGTGACTGGGTGACGTCGACATTTCCAGGAGCTGATGTGGAGGAGAAGACGTACCATGGTCAAATGCGCTTTTCCGTACCCGGTAGAGAGGTTCTCAGAGAATTCAGCGGCGACAAAGCCAGAGATATCACGCCGGCAGAAGATCGCTCGTCGAGTGCAGTTGGCCAGCTGGCTGTCATGCTAGAGGAGCAGAAAGGGACGCTGGGTATCAACCATTTTAGTGTTTCGCCGACCACTTTGGACCAGGTGTTTTTGAACATCGTCGGCAAGAATAATATTCAAGAGGAGGGTTACAAGGAGCCCGAGAAGAAGGCGTGGTGGCGGCTCGTACAATGAAGAAAGACGCAAATGGATGCTGTTATCGATTACTGCGGTTTCGAAATACCCAATGAATGAACGAAGCGCCTTCTATGAGGAATGCCGGGGCGAAGCTCGTTTCCACTGGAAGCCCTGCGTACTCAGCTTTTCCATCTTGTGCTCTAATAAGATAATTGACCTCTGCATTTCCATTCCTGCCGGGCTCATATCTTGTCGCCGCCATATTGGGCTACTGGCCGAAGATCTGATTAATTCCGAAGAGATACCAGTCAAGCAGATTCCGTATGATTAGCTGACATAGACAATCTAGGTTCGACTTCGTCCGTCACTCATATCTCAACTGTCCATTCCCCCCTTCAAAACGATGTCCCATCTCTCCGGACCGAATACGACTTGGTGGAACTGGAGGCGGTCCGAACTGGCCGGGGGCTCAAAGGACTGAAGCTGGACTTGACTGGGGTGATGGAATCCACGCGTACGCTAGCCAGACTGAAAATTGTCTCGCTCGACTCATTGGCGTTGGTGTGATGCTGATACGGTGACCCATGTGTGATGGACCTCTCGTCCTTGAGGCGGGTCAATCTTTCGCTGGATACTCCAGAGGCCGTGGTTTCGTTTTCAGCGTCCCTGGGAAAGCTTTTTGGGAGGCTCGAATTCGGGCGGGTCGGATGTGTGCCAGGCCACGTGTCGGTCTGATTACTGCGAAGAGAAGTCATGTTGATTCTGCTCATTAGACCCGGGAACAGCTAGGTCAGCAATGGACGGAGCCTCGGCAGACAGGCGTAGCTGACGGCGGATGAAATTTCGCCAATAGACCAGAGCGAAGAATTAAAGCTTTTCCAAGTAAAGTCGGCCAGTGTGCTAAGATACCGAATGCATATGATGGAGATGGCGACAGTGCTGAGCCTGGGCGTTCGTACTGGACGAGGGGATAGAGTCAAGCCCGAGCACTTGGAAAAAATCCAAGACTGAAGATACCCGTGAGGAGGGCCTATTTTTTCCGCGGCAGACTGAGATGCCAGAAAATCGACAATGGTAGCGCGAAGACGGCGACGTCGGTGATGACGTTTCCAGCTGCGTTGACGTACCGCTGTGGCTGATTGGAGATGCAGTGCGACTTGACAGATTTGTCCCAAAACCCTTCCACTGGGAGGCATTGAAAGGCAGCAATAAAATCCTTGGAGGCTGACCAAGCGCCCACCACAAGGAGGGCGAGGGCGTAGGTTCTACGCATCCGAGGTACGGCCATAATGCGGCAGTATTGGCAAAGGAAGGAGAGCTTGATGGCGAGGAGGGCAATGTTGTGGAAGACGATGGATACGTAGAACATCTTGGCTTCCAGCGTCAGTCGTGGGGCCAAGCCAAGGCTGCGCTTGCACCGAGGCCAGAGTGGCTTTACTTACGTGCATGTATTCCATTATATCCTGCGGCGTCAGGGCGACGATATGTCTGTCTAGATCATGCGAAGTCACTTTCATATTCGCCAGCTATCCAATCCCCCTGTCCTGGCTACGATTGTGGCTTGCTGGGCGCCATGGCAATACCACAACCTTTTGTTGCCAACTAAACCAGATATTTAGACTTGGTCAATCAACATTCAGGTAGGCTCCCGCACCATCACTCACCAGAGCCACAACAGCAAGTATGTCATCGAGTCCGAAGAGAATGATAACCCGTATTCTCGTATAGATTCTCAGCCCGATCGTCGTCGTTGCAAACAGGATGCAGAAAACCACATATCCGACAACCGTGGTCCTTTGCTCACCTTGATAAATTTCCGGTGAAATGGGAGTGTCTATGTTTCTGTCGAGAGGGAGAATAGACAGTAGCTAGCCAGGCCACATTCCCGATGAGACTGATGAAATTACCGGCGAGCGCCGCCCCTGCAAGGCTGGTGACAGATGAGGAGTGAGAGGAGAAAGAGAAATAGACGAGCAGGATGATGTGGTCGGAGATGTCTATATGTTTGTTGAGGATACTAGATAGACATTAGTGAAGGAACGGGTAATGACAGAGAACCAGTTCAGGTCACCCCGAAATAGGACGACACGAACGGGCATACCCAGACTTTCCCAAACAGCGTTTGCGCGAGGAATTGCTTCTCGTTCTAAGTGCCCAGCACCCCAGCAGTAACACAGCCTACCGTAGTCGAGTTATTCATTCTAGGCCTCCTCACACGAGGCCTGCAACGCCGAATGTCTGATCCTGGGGTGGTAGATTAAAGACACATAACATAGTACGTGCTTCTGGCGGGATTCACATCTGCCAACATCCATACCGCATGAGGAAACGAAGATGGGAACAGGTTGACAGGGTTTCCCTCCCTCAGAACAACTTATCCACCCACATCGCGTGAGGGTCCACACTTTCAGTTGCAAACCTGCTACTCTGTATGAATAGAGAGATATGGGAACTATCCTCTCACATCATCTCTTCATTTCACTGCCAGAGTCTAGTGATATCAGGGGCGGGCAAGAGGGGGTGGCTGCTAGTTTACGCCGGTCGATAAATGGCTCTTCCGAACCAATGTCTTACTTTGTGAATGCTTTGTATACGGCATATCCCTATATACACTTATTCCACCGGGCCCGGTCAGAGCGAACACATGGATCTTGTCGTGGAAGAAGAAAAGAGGGCGTGGGGTTATATACCCTGTGGAATTCCCGAGGGATCGTGGATGATCATAGTTTAAATGGCGGAAAGCCAATTTGCGAGAACCAAAGAAGCGAGGCCTATAGGTAGACCTCCATATATAGCACTTAGTTATATCCGGAAAAGAGTAAACCGTCATGGATACAAGATCAGACGCCATCAGCGTTCCCTTCCCGTCGGCGTCCTCTGGAAAGCGGCTCTTCCAGATCATTGGCTGGTCCTTGTCAAGACACACAGACATATCGAACGGCAGTCAGAACGGTGGCCAGCACAAGTGGTGGGGACAACCATGGATTGAAACCTTGATCAGAAAGAGGGGCAGAAGGACCATACGCACGGATAGTCAAGACACGCTGCGATGGCAGCGGGCGACCTTGTTTGATGACTCTTGACGCAGGTCGTGCATCGAATCACGATGCAATTCTGCAAAATTTGAGCAGGCAGAGTTGATCCACTACGCGCAATCCCCTCGCTCCGCCATCCATTATCCCACCATCCTGGAAAGAGACCGTCAGGATCACCAATACGATTGTCACCTCCGTAGGGTCCTAGATTGAGCGCGTATCCAAAGATTCCGAGTCGCATAGTTTGGCCGTCTACCTAGTGTTTATCCCATCCTGCTGATGTTTTTTTGTTATCCTTTTCCGCAAGTACGGCATCTGGTTCTCCCGGCAAGATGTCGACAGGCCCGATCACAAGACGATGGATGGAAAAGTCTAACGTCGTTCTAGGGAGTGAACGAGAAAACGGCTTTATAAGCGATTTACGATCACATATCAGTTCCACCCGCTTGAACTCTAGCCTGCTTCGCACTCCTATCAACACACCCTTCCATCCATCAACCTTCTCGACTAGTGAGAGAGGAAGGCGTGCTTCAAACCTTGTGGAGAAAAAAAGGAACCCCGAAGCTCCTTCTGCGGCAGCGGGCCACTCCGAAAGCTACTGCAACCAGGCGTTCAGTCATGCAACCCAAGCACGGCCTACATGCCAATGTTTCCTATTCTCCCCTATTTACTTACTTTCATCCCTGTCATCCTTTCGTATCTCATTAGTTAGCGGGTGAAGAAGTGAAGCAAAGAAATAGGAAGGATCAGTGGATGGGTTGAGTGGAAGGAAGCGGAGCACTTGCGTCTTATTTTCTAGGAAGCGCAGGCTGGTTTGTCTAACATGCGCGTAATCGGAGAGATAAACAGGATGAATTAATACAGCATGAGCCCAAAGACGAATGAAAGAGCACGGGTCGCACCCATGCCAGACCCTGATGCCGCCCCCGTGCCCAGTTGCTGCAGCCGAGGCCGAATTCTTGCCCATCGTGGGCTGGCCGTCTACGATTGACTGCTTGTCGTGCCTATGCTTATCTCGTCCTGTCTCGACGCAGCTCGTCGCGGCTCCGCGGTTCGTCGTGAGACATGACTTTCATGCTTCCCATCGACGAAGAAGGCGGGGGAAGCCGCTCGCTGTGTTGTTCTTTTCCTCTCCTACTAATCCGCCATCTTCGGACACAAGGGCCACCATCGCCGCCTTATTTCCACCGCCGGCTGCTTCGACCAAGCCTTGAACTCAACACACGCTCCTCGCCATTCGGTTTGCTTTCTTCGAGGGACCGTAAAGACGGGACCCGCAATATGCGGTTCGGGGTTCTCTGAAGTGGCGTTGAGCAGAAGGCCTGACTCAAGTCGTGCCCCGATCCCCGAAGCAGCATGAGAGGATCATCGCCTCCTGAAGTCGGTAAGTCTGACAAACGTGACGAACCCACAATGCGCCAAGCGAGGTTGAATGGCACCGCAGCTTGAAAATAAAATACTGAAAGCTCACAGGCAAGTGACCGGATTTAATATCCCTTGCCACAAGATGATGGGTTGCCCCGAAACCAGCCCTATACAAAGAAACGTCAGCCATATCGGTGCGTTTTGCACCCCTGGTGAGGTATGTCCAGGGTCTTCAGCCGTCATGGCAGAAGATCGCCCGCCACGTGCCATTGTTCCATTTTCCGTTGCTTTCGTGGTAGCCTCCACCACCGCGCTTTATGAAGCACAGCCGATCTGGACGCGATCGAAGACTTGTGTCGAGACTCGGATACGTGTTGGATGGGTGAATGAAAGACTTGTAGGTATCTTTCTCGTCCTTCAGCTTCAATACGCCGCCGCTGGCACCATTATTTTATAATGTCAAAGACATTGCGCACGGAACCGTCCGGTGGGAATGATGAACATGGACTGAAATATGCCTCGCAGACGAGGCCCGTAAATGGTATATTTTGTTGAAAACCACGATATGACATATACTCTTTGCAAAACTCGAGAACGCCTCCCAGTGCGGAGCCCTGTCAGACCTCGAGCCCCCCTGGTGTCCCTTCCCATGCAATCCGTATGCTTTTGCCATGGCATCATTGCCGAATCCCCCTGAGATCTATTTTCATCACGCTTCAACAAGCTTGTGTCCCATTTTTAAGGTCCATCCCTTTGACTGACCTATGAACTCCGTATTCGCCAAGAGCCATCACGACGATATTGTTCAGCGTCAATGCTCGGACAACTCCCAGGTCTGCGCACATTCCCAAACACCAAAAGGGTTCATCGAGGTCTCAATATGGCGCTTGTCCACATTTCCACCGCCAATAACGTTGCACGACGTCTTCGAGGAAGAGAGAAATAAGTAGCTGACAAGCAACGCCTTGAAGCTATGCTCTGTGCTAGTGGTCGCTCACAACTATGTTGCTGCACCAGAAACTGATGAATCTTAGCTCGAACTGTCCATCTCCGGCGATGAGTCTTTTGGTTCGTTCGTTGGGCTTTCCGCAGACGCTCCCGTGGTCGCAGACTCCGGGGCGTCTGTAGGTGTTGATACGTCGTCACTCTTTCCCTCCTGGGTGTCTCGGACATTGAACCAGCCGCCTTGTTCCCATTGTCCAGGAGCATATAGACATGATGAGCGCACTTCATCATCCACAATTCCTAACAGCAAAGTGTTGAGCCTCTTGAAATCAACAGGCTTGAGGATCCACCCGTCGAATCCGGCACTTATGTATTTGTCCTTCTCTCGTTCAATGAGAGATGCAGATACAGCAAATACAGGAATACGGCCGTTGTGAGCCGCAATCGCTGAGTGCCCACCATGGTCACTGGACTCTTCGTGGGTTCGTATCATTTTTGTGCTTGTGAGGCCATCTACGATTGGCATCTAGGAAGCCGAGGTGTTAACAGGCATCGCACGAGGCTCTAGCGATGGGCAAACTGAAAATCATAACATACCTGCATGTCCATCAAGACTACATCAAAGGCCTCTGGCCTCTCCTGGTAGACAGTAGCACAATCTTCGCCGTTGACAGCATGTGACACTTGATGACCAGACTTCTCCAAGCGCTTTCGCAAAATTCTTAAATTGATGGGGTCGTCTTCCGCAATCAAAACTTGCAGTTTTGTCTCATCAACACCCGAAACGACGCTTGGGGCGGTGCCAACAGTGCTACCGATAGTGCCAGCCTCCGATGCAGCCCCTGGCTTTGCGCGGTTGCTGATTTCGAATAGAATTCGTGAGGAATCGCTTTGCTGTGGCTTTGGTGGCTTCGGCGGCTGATCCGTGTACTCATCTGGCACCTTGACGGCTCTGACGGGCGTTTTCGCATCGGCAACTGTCGAGTAGCCAACTTCTTGAGGCTTTGAAGATTCGGTATTCGAAATGCTTGAGACACTGGGATGGCTTCGGCGCGAGTTGGGGGATATCGTGCGGCTTGCAGCCGCGGCCGCAGCTTTGTGACTGTCCGAAGACTTCGGTCTCTGAGGGTGCTCCCTTGAATGCTGCCGCATCGTCGTCGGCCGGCTCATGTCAACTTCACCGATGGAAAGGGGCGTCTGGATCGCGTCGATAAGACGATCTGCATCACTTCGCGAGCTCCGGCCACTGATTCTACTTCCACCCGTGTCCGCCGTCTTCTGACTTTCGAGACTCTGCGTCTCGGCACTCGGAGCATCCGTCCAACCTTCCTCAGCCGCCGATAACTTGCTGCCGCGGTCGATGAGCATCATCTCGCCGTCATTATCCGGCATGGCTGCTATCGTGACAGAAGCTATGCTTGAAGTAGCGGCTGACTTCGCAGACTTTTGACCGCCCTCAGCAGGTGCAGGCAGGTCGTCAGGCAGGTCAAACGGCAACTGAATCACAAATCTCGACCCCTTCCCCAGTTCTGATTTCAGCCGCAGCTGGCCGTCCATATTGCGGACGATTCTCGCAACGACAGCTAGGCCCAAACCCAATATCCTAGTGTCTTTGCTAGCCTGATCGTCGTCTGGAAATATGGAGCTGACTTCGTCAGTCTCGACGCTGACTTGTTCGAGATCCCGGAAGAGTGTGTCTAGCTGCTTAGCCGTCATTCCCTTGCCAGTGTCTTCCACGACAATCTCGACGCGTACTCGTCGTTCGAGTACCTCGCTAACATAGAGTTCGATATTGACTGATCCGCTGGACGTATTCTGCACTGCGTTGGCTGCGACATTCGAGATGGCCTGTCGGAGGCGCCGGCTGTCACCGCAAACATGCTGTGGCAGCCCGGGATGCTCAACGACCTGATACTCGATGCCCTTTCTCTTGGCATCGTTGGTGAACGGATCCGTCGCTTCTCGGATGCACATTCCGAAATCGAATACCTCATCTTTGATCAAATTCTGACCTTCCTCTGTTTTCGTCAAGTCAAGCAGATCGTTGATTACATATATAAGCGACTTCGATGCGGAATGTGACTTGGCGAGATTGTCGCGTGTCTCTTGGTCAAGTGAGCCCTCCAACGCTATTTCCAAATAATTGATGATAGCATTGAGCGGCGTTCGGACCTCGTGCGCTGAATTTGCCAGCAAGAGACGCGTGAGACGGCTGCTTTGCAATGCAGCTTCCTTCTGTCTCCACACCTCGATGAACTTGCCGTATACCAAGCACAGAACGGCGGCTGTCTCGACTTGCTCCTCTGACCATTCTCGGCATTTACGGAGAATCGTCTCGTGCCAAGTCTTGAAGCTCTTCCTAGGTTCGAGATAAGCTTGAGTGCCCTCGCGAAGAGTTTTTTCGTACGGGTTCCCGGCCCATTTAACCTCCTTGACTTGACACTTGCGAAAGAAGACAATGAAATCATTTCCTCCAACGCTCAGAGGGACATAGAGCAGGCCCGCGATGACGGTAAATCCGAGGGGATATCGCAGATCTGGGAAATCTTCTCTGATGTCCTGAGAGGTCACGACCGAGGTTAGCTTGCGCAAGCGTAAGTATTCCAGCATGACCAAAGCTTCCTGCGAATGTTCAAGGTCGCCCAGGATTTTGGTTTCCCCTCTAATGGAGAGCATGCCAAAGTCAGCATCGAATAATTTCAGGAGATCGTCGGAAGAGGCAATAATGTAACCCGAAGGGTTGTTCTCTGACGGTGCCGTATTGATGAGCTTCCTGGCTTGGAGTCGAGTAGCGTATGACAGCCTCTCAATGTTGCGGGACGCAGTGTCTCCCACTAAGCGACACATCTTTCTGATGGGGAAGGAGACACGCATGCCCTTACGACCATAGGAATGACAGGCAATGAGACCCCAAAGTTCGTTGAAGGCATTGATAGACACCGACATTGATGATCGGACAGCCATGTTCTTCAGATATTTGATATGAATGGGCGACATAGCACGGAGATAAGAATGACTGAGGTCTAGCGGTACCTCAAGGTCTTCTTTCGCCCTGCAGACAAGACGGGCTGTTTCCAGGTCCCTGTCATATAGAAGCCTCACCTTGTTCAGCTTGTACAAGTCGCGGGCCTGCCGCGGTATATCAGAGGCGGGAAAGTGCAGGCCCTTGTATAAATCTTTGGTGTGCGAGGTGTCGACGAGTTCTGTGACGACTTTTCCGTTAAAGGAGGAATCGAACTGATATATCATTACTCGGTGGAAGCCAGTCAATTCCTTGACGATACCAACGAGAATCTTGAGAAAACCTTCGAGGTTTGAGGCCGCCGCAAGCTGCTCCTGGACTTGGGACATGATGTCGAATACCTGCATGGCACCAGCATCGCCTCGGCGCTTGCGTGCGCTTCGCAGTACTCTCAATGGCTTACTGAGGATTTCAGTACTCTCTGCTAATTCCTCCGAGGTAGGATTCGACTGTAACGTGTCTTCAGGGCTCATTGGCGTAGACTCTTCTGGCGGTCGGAGTGGAAATTGGTGGTCGTCATCGACTTCAAATTCGCAAATCACAAGGTCGGGATGAGCAGGACTGATGTGAATTGCGCACCAAAGTTTGACGCTCTTCTTTTTTGGCGGGCGAATAGAAAGACTGAAGACTTCGGGTCCGTTGATAGCTGGGTCGGCGTCTTCGTCACGAATGAAGTCGATGTGGTCCAGTAGGTTATCCTGTTGCTCCTCACTCAATATATCCAGGAAGCTTTTGAGTCGAAAGAGCTGCTGTGGCGCGTATCCAATCAAGTTCTCGGTGTTCTCGCTGGCGCAGCGAACAGAAAACTGGCCGTGGCTTTCTTCTCGGATGGCCACCAATGCGCCGAATCCTTGCACGGCTCCGGGGGTATGGATGGGTTCATCCTCGCAACATTGGAGGACCCCATCAGTGCCTGTGATGACATGATGCCCCTCGTCCGTCATGACATATCTAAAACGCGCTGTCAGGAGATTGTCGCCAGCCGTGTCGCCAAGGGCACTGGTAGATGAAGACTGGTATTGCGATTGGTCGTCACCAGGCACTGATTCCTCTTCTGCGTCTGAGGCAACATCCTGAAATATATCCAGTGGCTGGGAGTTGTTGTGACGTGCAGCATCGGCTTGGACGCTGGACATAGGACCAGATCCGGCGAATTTTCTCCTCGTCTGGATTCCTTGACGAGCGCCAGGGAAGATGACATTGGATGAAGGCGTGGACGTAGAATCGCGACGAGAAACAGCTTCGGAGGCGGCGGTCTCGATTCGAGGATTGCTCGGACGAGGAGCTTGGTATTGGCCATGGTCGGGTATTCTGGGGAAGTAGTCATGCTCGCCAGAGGCCCTGCCGGTACGATCAACACGCACGACAGAGCGGATCGGGAAGACGCGATCTGAGGGATCGGGGCTCGCATTGTGGCCGAGTTGGCGGTCAGAACTGGCACTCCATGACGAAGAACAGCTTAGGGGAGCGTTGATGGAGACAGGAGTAGGAGCTGCGGACGAGTCTGGCAAGTGTGGCGCGACCGAGTCGGAACGGACGCTGGCAATAGGCGTCGCCTCCGAGGAGGAATTTGTCGCGGAGCGGTTGAGAAAGGAAACGGAGGGCCGCTGGGCGTCGGACGGGGCGTCCATGTCCTCACTTGAATCTGGGGAGAGACCTGAAAGTCTATCGACTCCGACGCAGTTACAATGTGAACGAGGCCTCGCCGGGAGAGGCTCGAAAGTCCGTAATCAGTGGACTTGACATGGGGCGAAGGCGCGCAGAGTGATGGGTTGATGCAGATGATAAGGTGCGACGACGCAGGAGGAAGTGAGGGCCAGAAAGAAGGAAGAGGCCGACGAGGGGAAGGGAAAAGAGAATGCGAATGTGGTGAAAGTTTTGGTAACGAAAAATCGAAGTTCAAGGGTTCGAAGCGTAGCGGCTCGCCGTGATCTAGAATTTCCCTTGTTTGCTTACTCTCTCCCCCCCTGCTTGCAGTGCGGTGCGAGTGATTTGCCTAGGCACTTGGTCATTCGGTCGTCGAAGAGGGGCGTGCGGGATGGGGATCTCGGGGTGGTATGCAATTGTGCGCGGATGGGTCGAGATTTGGTGGCAGTGGACCGGGGTTGGGAAATGGGAAATCGAAAGCTGAGGGCGCAGGGCCGGCTCGCGGCGAGGTGGGCGCGTCTACCTTGGCCAGACCGTGCAGGACTTTGTAGACGTCGGAAAGTCGCTTGCGATCTAGAGAGAGAGCTTCGCCGCTCAGATGTGGTGTAGGTTGCGGCGAGAGCAAGAGTGAGAAAGAAGGGAATCTGGAAATGGGCACCTTAGCCTCGGAATTCCTTCAATTGTCGGGGCTCTGCGTCCGTGGTGATGTGTGTACCAGGTTGGGTCAACGGGATCGATGGGATCGATGGGATCGATGGAGGAGAGGTGAAGTGTGTGGGTAGGTCGGTAGGTAGGCACGTAGGCACGTAGGTAGGTGAGTGGCAAAGCAAGCCGTAAATCTGTGGCTGAGAGAACGGGATGGTGGCCAAAGCAGTACAGCTGGAGGAAGCGCTACTTTGATGCCCTATGTTCAATATCAGGCGAATAGGTTAGGGGTTCATGGCACACACGGATGGCTCGATCAAGGACAAGGTACGTACATTGTTCGACCAGAGTTGGATCTCCAATCAATAGGGGCGATGCGATGCAATCGGCGGAAGGTGGTAAGGTAAGGTGAGGTTTTCATTGGTTTGGAAAGTCCAGTCGGAAGACGGGACCAAGAAAACCTAGCAAAAGACGGGGGCTACGATGGCTGATTTAACTTGCAGAATGCGAAAGTCGGGTAGGTAGAACGTCAGTGATGGGAATCTTGCAGGCCCCTGTCCGAGAGTGGCAAGCGAAGAATTATCACCGTGCAGGCACACAGGGAAGGGGAAGGCGAAAGAAGAGCGGCAAGTGGGCACGGTTGGCAACGGGCAAGGTATGGACAGCCTATCTTACCTCAGATCAAGGACAATGGAACAATTATTTGCTCCATGTGTGTGTGCAGACAACTAAGAATTCACACACCTTCGAATTACGCACGAATGAGCAGAGGCAAGGCAAGGGAGGGAGATCCATTTCATGTGCTGGCCGGTATCATCAGTAGCAACAGTATACGTGATTGCTGTAAGGCTCGGCAGGGGGAAATCGGACACCTCGATGACAGGGCAAACCTCAAAGCAGAAGACCAAAACAACAATGACGTAGACAACACAGACAGCGAGGATGCACCGCAGGAAGGGCAGACGGAGAGACAGGGAAGGCAAGACGAGATGACAACGAAAACAGGAATGAGGGCCGGCGTGGCCCAGCTCAGTCAACGATCCACAATCCAGTCACGGAGCAGTCAATGGGAAGGCCGCCCCATAGTTCTACTGTTCTACCTTATACAGCAGATGCTGCAAAGAATAGAGGAAGAGAGAAGGGGGGGAAACGAATAAAAGGACCATGGATCCAGGATGGACCGCCTAGCTATGCTTAGTGCGTCGATCACCTGTCGAATGGCTCCTCGTGGGACGTGTTGGAATCGTGGATTAAGCCCACACGCCAGTCTTTGGAGAAGCTTGCTGGTTGGGGGGAGACACAGAGGAGGCAAGGAGGGTTAGAGGGCACCATTGCTAATGCCATAATCCAAGGTCACCAAAAAGTAGTGTACTTCGTCTGCCCGCCCGTCCGACCCACCTCAATGTTGGGACATGACGAGCTAGGAGCATTTCGTCCGGTTCCCCACACCACACCAGGTGGCTCTCCTGCTCTGCTCCTCTGTACTGTGTAGGCTGGTCTGTCCTGGGCTCGACTATCGAGGGCACGGCGAAATGCGGCGCTTGACGGTGACTGGGGTGGTCCTGGCCCCGAAATGTCTAGAAACACAGAGGGATGACCGTGTCTACCAAAATACGGAGCCTCGGCAGCCATGGCTACATATCGGCGATGCTTGCCTCTTCCACCACAACTTCTCAAACACATTACCTGCCCCGCCCATGTTGGCGCTGGATTCGGACGGTGTGAAGTCCGGCGCAACCAGAGTATCGTAATCCACGTATCTGACGAGGTAGCTCCTCATAGAAATGGGATTAATGGTGCGAATCGCTGCAAGGGCATGGAGATGTACAGGAAACAGCAGGGGGAAATCCACGGCAAATGGACAGATACGTAGAGTGTCAGCGTCGGCGGCCTTGCTGGTGTCGAGTGTTCGACTGTCGATGGCTTTGGAATCTTCGAAGTCCCGGCAGCGATGCACCAACAAACTACTTGGCAGGCCGCAGCACCCGTTCGCAATGGAGTTGGTACCAATAGGAATGTTCATTCCGGCCTAGTGGTTTTGGAATCAAAGTATTAGCGTATTCGTACCTCAGGCAAGAGTGGGTGCGGTGGAGGGGAGGAGGGGTGGAGGGGAAGGAAATCGGAGTTTCCAGTGCGCTGAAAGGGCGGGAACCGTGAACCCAATCTTCCCTTTCGCCACAAAGACAAAGACAATCACTGACGGTGACCTGAAGAAGATTGGGTGACGGCTGCAGCGTTCCCCTGACTGCTCTTCTCCTGGCTGTGGCTGGCCTTCACAGGAGTGGAGTCGAGTGCCGAGTGTCAGATCCCCAGGCCTCCAGGCGAGAGAGATGACGGTAGGGGGACTAATCGACCAAAAATAAGTGGGGCGTATGAAATCGTGGTATTCACGCGGATGGGATTCTCAAAATTGCCTATGCTGGAAAGGGCGATGCCACTGTCGATCCTTCCTTGGACAGATGTGACTCCCCACCCACGTCGACCCTGACGGATCATCAGAGGCACGTCCCCGCCCACAAACCTATCTAGCTTACCTAAGTAAATAAGGTATCCGTACGTCCGTACCGTACCTTATGCGGATACCCACCGCACCGCGCTAGGTACGGAGCACCTTTCTTTCTTTGCACGCTTTGGAAGGTTATGGTGAGGGTATCGCAACCCAGAACGAGACACGTTTCCAGAAAGACAAGCTCAGGTGAAAGATAGCCAACTCTGGGAACTAGAGATGCCTCTTGCTGTTCCTGGGTCATCCACATTCCAGCAAGTTTCAATTACAGTACTCTGTGTTCATCGGGGCCGGTGCCATTCATTCGCTGAGCTGAGTCTCGAAACCGAATTGGAGCCCAAGCATCGGTAAGGCGCCCAGGTATCTTGCATTCTTTGAACTGCCGGCAAACTCCGATGCTTCTCCCCAGTCGCCTTGTCCGTCGACCTGAGATGTCTTCCATGTGCCTTTCTTCCGTGGCAGGCAGGAACTATGGTAGGCATGCACCTTAGCAAAGCACGTAAGATATTCGTTTCCGTGCCTAATTGTAAGGTAAGGATGGGTTTACCTTAGGTGAGGTGGGCAAAAAAGTAACTAGGTAGGTAGGACTCGGGAGTCTTCGGTTGGTTTTCGAGGCAGGTACGGATACGACCAGGGCTATCTCAGCCTTGCCCAGGTCATACGTCATAATATATGGTCCGTGCTCCTGGCTCCAAGATCTCTTGCTCCAATCATGGCCCGCTCATACCCACCCACGCGGTTGACAAAAAAAAAGGACACACCTAACATAGCCATCTAACTACGACTACATTTCTACAGTCTATAAAATTAAAATTAATATTTAAAATTTCTTAAATTATATTTTAATATTTAAAGAATCATAAAATACTTTTTTAAATATTTTAAATATTTAATTTTTATATTATATCGTATTATAAAATAGGGAATTAGATAGGAAAACACATGTGAGAGGGCTAAGGTGTGTCCTTTTTTTTGTCAACCGCGTGCCACCCCACCCTCAGATCCGAACCCGTGTAGTTTCCGTCCAAGGTGACATCTGCCTTAGGTAGGTTAAGTAACGCGCCGGTGACAAAACACATCGCCGGTTTTCATGAGCTCCCTAAAAAAAGACTACCGTTGTTACGCAAAATTAATAATATTATTATTATTATTCGTTATAATAACCAATATCTTCGCGCCTATATCTATTACAGCCTTATATATATGTATAGCTCAGAGTGGTGTTAATAGGACGTACGGATCCAGCGTCTAGGTGTTGTTAATAGATCGCCGTGAGGTAGCCTGGCGACCGGCGTTGTATTTTGTCACCCGAGTGGATGATTAAGTAGGTATTCGAACCAGAATCGGCGAGGGAACCTCTCCTCTCCTTAAGTACAAATCCACCAACGGACTGCATTCAGCCAAGTGGGTGACCAAAAAAAAGGTTGTACACAAACCACCGACCACAACAGTCATTTCTGTTCAGAGCCTACTACCCATATAATTCACGAATAATATTTATGCACAATCATTTTCCCCTCCACTTATAAATAATGCTTATATTGGAAATAAGACGACGAGAAGTGGCGGTATAGGCTAGTCACTGCGAAACAGGGGGGCGGGGGAGTAGTGACTGTATCGCTCTTTTTGTCATCCGCTTTGCCAGCTTCCATTGCCACTGTGTCGACAGGACTTTCCTGCGCTGTTGTGCGTTCTGGAGGTTCAGTGTCGACCCAGTTGTCTGAAGATAAGAAAATAAGGTACCTCATCCATTACCCTTCCTTTTCGAAGCACGACGCCACCGCCACACGTTTTAACAATACGTCGCCTTCCGCCCTCCGCCCACCAGCCATCAATAATTCCTGAGCTTGCTTCGGCACATCTCACTGTGGTGGTTAACCAGTGCCTCTCTGCTGGATGTGATGCGTTGACTCGCCATCACTGCCGCGCCTCTCGCCAGATGAATACGTTTATTGTTTGCCAGCTGCGCTCCGGTCATCAAGAAAGAGGCACATGATGGGCCCAGCTCTGGACGAGATGCCCGTGCAGTGGTAAGACACGGGCCACACGGCACATCCTTTCTCTGAAGACGCCGTACTTGTTCCACTCACGTGCTTCTGCCGCCCTTGGTGCTTGGTACCGCACATGAGCCAACCCGCTTTCCGGCGTTCGGTGTCTGCTGTCCGAGTATTTCGATCTCTAACGTTGTGCCAGCTCAGCCCAGATGTGGGTGCCGTTGGGGCCGAAGGACCATCGCTGGATCAGTCTAGACTCTGACGACATTCGGAACTCTCTATCATTTAAGCATAATCTTGCGATAATCAATCCCCAGTCTCCGTGGTTCGGTGTGGTTCGTTATTGCACTCGACTTGCGCGTACCGTGTACGATAGCCATGAAATCATGCAGGTACCAGTCCAACACGGGCAATGCGTCGCGTGAAAGAGAGCGAACATGGAGTGTCTCGCTTGCCAACCAGCCAGAAAATTGATAATATTGGCCAAGAGGATCAAGCCTCAGTTTGCGGGAAACCAGCAGTGGTTGGGGTGGAGTGTCTCCTTAGCTGGTCTCGAGGAAGATGCAGACGTCACATCATCGTAAATATAATGGTCTAGAGGTCCAAGTGAACATAAAAAGCCCAACCTGGAAGTAGGTTGTGGAAACAGAAAACACGCCTCAAGATGCTGCGGCTTATATGAGCATATCGAGCGTGCCCCGATCTGGGTGAGGGATTCTAACTTCAGTTATGAAATAAGAGTTCAACTCAAAGTTTTGAATGGTCATTTACCACTTGACGGTTGCATCCTACAACTTCCCCTTAGATGCCCTCTCTTCTCGAGTCTTCTGTGCACTACTCAACAAGGCATATAGTGTCTGTAAACGTGGCATCTCCACGCCGTGAGCTCTAGCGATTCTGACCGGATTGCCTAGAATCACTTCTAGCTCCAGCGGGCGTCCGGCCTCCCAGTCCAATAACATGCTAGGCCTTGCACCCGTGTTACGCTCCGTGCTCTTAACAATGCGATCAGGTTTTGCGAGGTCGTCGGGAAACTCTCGTCCCAGGATCTTAGGCACCGCTGCTCTGATCTCGTTCATGATGCCCACCACGTGCTCCCGAAGCTCCGGATCCGTAACCATGTCCGCATTGCCCCTCCCACCACTCAGAACGGCACTAGGATTAAATGCGGCGTTGATACAGAGCTTGTGCCATCTCACCGTCTGCAGCCCGATCTCGTCGTGAGGCTCCACGTCGCGGATACCGCCCCAGCCGGGACCCCACCAAATGCCGAGCTGCTCGACTGCTTTGGTACCGCGCTGGCCGAGCTCGGGGTCGCCTGTGCCGAGCCCGTTCGTATGCGGCCCGATACTGATCCTCGTCCATCGGTTCTGACGGATTACACCCGGCGAGGTCTGCTCGGCGCTGACGATCGTCACGGCGCTCACGATAGGGTTGTTGGGGAACCGCTGACGAAATGGCTCCTCGACGCCGACGCCATTCTGTACGAGTACAATGCTCGTATTTTCCCCTACGAGAGGCGCGATCATGGCAGAATCATCTGAGCGGTCTGGGAGCGCCTTAGTCGTCACGAAGACATAGTCCCACTTCGTCTTGGAGTCGCCCTTCCCATAAGATGCGGCAGCCTTGACCGATGGGAAGGCAGCATGCGGCTGGAAGAGGTAGTTTCCAAAAGTGTGAGTCTGGAGTTGTACACCCGAATCTTTAAGAGCCTTATAATTAGATCTGGCAACGAGTGAGACACGTATGTTATGGTCGGGCTAAGGTGTGAGTTAGCCAAGCTAGACGAGGGATGTGAGAGATGCGAGGGGTTCCGAATGATTACATGGTGTAGCCGAGAAGCGTAGAAACACCCGACAGCTCCAGCTCCGATGAAAATGATATTTATAGCGCTGCGAGTTGGTGGTTGAGTTCAGTCCTATCATGAAGTCGTCACCGTATTGTGGATGTGGAAGGAGACGTACCTGTCGCCAGAGTTGTTCATCTCTGAGCCCATTGTATCTTCTTCCGCTCACGATAGAGGTGGCCGAGCGATCAGTTTTCTTAAGAAAAATATGTCAGAGATATAAGAGCTAGCAATCTAGAAGACTTGTACATGAAAAACTGTTGAGGGAACTCGATGTTACGACTGAACTTGACCGAGGTGAGGTTGAATTCGTTCCGAGAAGTTGCCGATTGGCACTGACAATGGACTCGCCCCACCTCGCTATGTCGCCATTGGCCGTGCCGTACCTGGCTGGGTAATTGTGTGCCAGCGTGCCCACGAGCGACGTCCTGAGTATGAGATCCCTTCAGGGAGATGCCTTTATGGATCTTAATTTGGGGTCCGGTCTCGAGATGCATTGCAAATCTACAATACTGTTATGACGTGCATATCAATTGCGCTGCGGTGCCTCGACTTGCATGATTCGCAATCGCTTGGTGTAGCTGAGAGATACCGACAATCATTTGTCGGAATGGTGATCTCTACATCTAATTAGCAATGACATTCGGCCGGGCTAGCTACTAGAATCCCCTCGAATATTACCAGAATGACGGTTGAAGCGACGCGAGAAGGGGGGTTGGGGGTTGGGGGGGGG